TAAATGAACAAAGAGAAAGAGCAAGAAATTTTCCCAAGCGTATGAAGTTGAGCTCCGGATTAAGTGGATAGGTAATAATTTTCTCTCCCCGACTTACAAGATTGCCATAGCGATTCACTTCTAGACATGTAGGTAAATGATGACTAAAATAAACGACCCAAGATTTTCTCTTGCCGACCAGTATATTATCGTAGTCTTAAAGAAATTAGAATAAAATAAACTATGTTAAAAATGTTCATGTATACTACTGAAATGAAGATAATATATTTAAGCTAAATGTAATCTATTACAGTTGTAGTAAAATAAGTAACTAATTGTTGAAAATCCAGATCCAACCCTAGATGCCACATTTTTTTGAAAGGTCTACTTATGCGGTTTGAAATTTTGATGCAAAATCTGGCAATACCGCTCAGAAGAAATGTTCCCACCCATACCCACCCAACTTTTTTCTCTTTTTAATACATTTGATTTGCCATTAAGCTGCCTACATCACTGTCTTACACGTTAAAATCCTATACACAGAGTTGACCTGTCCCGATGTGTATATAAAAGGGTATGTGAGCTTGACTCCAGCCACTCCATTGACTCCAGCTGCTGATTGGCTGGCGGCGGTCACGTGACGCTCAACTCGAGCGCTGATTGGTCGGATTGTCGCGGGCTGACGTATTTTGAATTTGTTGCGTATGATTGACGGATTTCCATGTGTTTGGCGATGCGATGAGGTTTTTTAATTAAATAGTTGATGTTGTAATGTCCTAATAATTATTTATTTTCGTACCTATTTAATATTTATTTTTGATACGCACTACCAACAAGAAGATTTTGTGATTTTTGCGTGAATCGCGTACCTCTGCATAATAATACATAATTATGAATATCTAAATCTGTTCACTTTCGAAATTTAAAAATATCGAACCATCATCAGTCACCAGTCATCAGTGGATATTATACATATTAGAATAATGCATTAATGCAATATTCTACCTCCAATAATGATTATTAGAACAGGTATCAGCAACAGCAGTCTGTCTGTTAGCAGTTGTAGTTCTGTTCTCTCTCGTGTGTACCGGGTGGCCAACTAAGAATGGACGCCGGCTGTATCTCAGATTCTAATAAGTAAATCGATCAAGAGAAATCGCTGGAAATTATTTTCAAGTTCGAAAAATGCCCGCTAGGGGGCGTTTCTCTAATAGCGAATCAGAAAACAGGTATTTTAAATATTACTATTAGAATCATCGAGAAATTTGTAATTTTTTTGATATAGAGTATTTTGCTCTGTCTCATAAAATAAAGTGGTGAGGGTGAAACTTGCTCTTATTAAAATAAGGATAACTCTGGTTTAGGTTGCGCGATTTAAACAAGCTAGGGCTCGTTTAAAAGAGCTTTTCTTCCTTAATGATCTCCAGTATAAATTTTGTTTCCACAATTTTTTATGTGGTAGCTAGAGGGCGCTGTTTGACATCATAACAGATATTGCGCTTTTGCGTCAAAAAATTAAATAGGAGGATATATTTCTCTTTGTGCAGTTAAATAGAGCACAAAATTTCCAAAATATCAGCGCAAACCGCAACTTTCTACCTTCTCTCTAACCGGAGATATTAAGAGAACAAATCACGTTAGGCTGCCGCTTAGGATTGTATGGTCTAAAAATTATAGTAGTAGACTTGGTTTGGTTTGGTTTTTGGTCATCATAAAATAATAGTATAGTGTATATATAAAAGGGTATGTAAGCTTGACTCCAGCCACTCCATTGACTCCAGCTGCTGATTGGCTGGCGGCGGTCACGTGACGCTCAACTCGAGCGCTGATTGGTCGGATTGTCGCGGGCTGACGTATTTTGAATTTGTTGCGTATGATTGACGGATTTCCATGTGTTTGGCGATGCGATGAGGTTTTTTAATTAAATAGTTGATGTTGTAATGTCCTAATAATTATTTATTTTCGTACCTATTTAATATTTATTTTTGATACGCACTACCAACAAGAAGATTTTGTGATTTTTGCGTGAATCGCGTACCTCTGCATAATAATACATAATTATGAATATCTAAATCTGTTCACTTTCGAAATTTAAAAATATCGAACCATCATCAGTCACCAGTCATCAGTGGATATTATACATATTAGAATAATGCATTAATGCAATATTCTACCTCCAATAATGATTATTAGAACAGGTATCAGCAACAGCAGTCTGTCTGTTAGCAGTTGTAGTTCTGTTCTCTCTCGTGTGTACCGGGTGGCCAACTAAGAATGGACGCCGGCTGTATCTCAGATTCTAATAAGTAAATCGATCAAGAGAAATCGCTGGAAATTATTTTCAAGTTCGAAAAATGCCCGCTAGGGGGCGTTTCTCTAATAGCGAATCAGAAAACAGGTATTTTAAATATTACTATTAGAATCATCGAGAAATTTGTAATTTTTTTGATATAGAGTATTTTGCTCTGTCTCATAAAATAAAGTGGTGAGGGTGAAACTTGCTCTTATTAAAATAAGGATAACTCTGGTTTAGGTTGCGCGATTTAAACAAGCTAGGGCTCGTTTAAAAGAGCTTTTCTTCCTTAATGATCTCCAGTATAAATTTTGTTTCCACAATTTTTTATGTGGTAGCTAGAGGGCGCTGTTTGACATCATAACAGATATTGCGCTTTTGCGTCAAAAAAAATTAAATAGGAGGATATATTTCTCTTTGTGCAGTTAAATAGAGCACAAAATTTCCAAAATATCAGCGCAAACCGCAACTTTCTACCTTCTCTCTAACCGGAGATATTAAGAGAACAAATCACGTTAGGCTGCCGCTTAGGATTGTATGGTCTAAAAATTATAGTAGTAGACTTGGTTTGGTTTGGTTTTTGGTCATCATAAAATAATAGTATAGTGTATATATAAAAGGGTATGTAAGCTTGACTCCAGCCACTCCATTGACTCCAGCTGCTGATTGGCTGGCGGCGGTCACGTGACGCTCAACTCGAGCGCTCATTGGTCGGATAGTCGCGGGCTGACGTATTTTGAATTTGTTGCGTATGATTGACGGATTTCCATGTGTTTGGCGATGCGATGAGGTTTTTTAATTAAATAGTTGATGTTGTAATGTCCTAATAATTATTTATTTTCGTACCTATTTAATATTTATTTTTGATACGCACTACCAACAAGAAGATTTTGTGATTTTTGCGTGAATCGCGTACCTCTGCATAATAATACATAATTATGAATATCTAAATCTGTTTACTTTCGAAATTTAAAAATATCGAACCATCATCAGTCACCAGTCATCAGTGGATATTATACATATTAGAATAATGCATTAATGCAATATTCTACCTCCAATAATTATTATTAGAACAGGTATCAGCAACAGCAGTCTGTCTGTTAGCAGTTGTAGTTCTGTTCTCTCTCGTGTGTACCGGGTGGCCAACTAAGAATGGACGCCGGCTGTATCTCAGATTCTAATAAGTAAATCGATCAAGAGAAATCGCTGGAAATTATTTTCAAATTCGAAAAATGCCCGCTAGGGGGCGTTTCTCTAATAGCGAATCAGAAAACAGGTATTTTAAATATTACTATTAGAATCATCGAGAAATTTGTAATTTTTTTGATATAGAGTATTTTGCTCTATCTCATAAAATAAAGTGGTGAGGGTGAAACTTCCTCTTATTAAAATAAGGATAACTCTGGTTTAGGTTGCGCGATTTAAACAAGCTAGGGCTCGTTTAAAAGAGCTTTTCTTCCTTAATGATCTCCAGTATAAATTTTGTTTACACAATTTTTTATGTGGTAGCTAGAGGGCGCTGTTTGACATCATAACAGATATTACGCTTTTGCGTCAAAAAATTAAATAGGAGGATATATTTCTCTTTGTGCAGTTAAATAGAGCACAAAATTTCCAAAATATCAGCGCAAACCGCAACTTTCTACCTTCTCTCTAACCGGAGATATTAAGAGAACAAATCACGTTAGGCTGCCGCTTAGGATTGTATGGTCTAAAAATTATTATAGTAGTAGGCTAGGAAACAAAAAGGGGTAAATTGGTTACGTCAAAATATCAAAACGTTTAAGTTCAGTTTTCATGTATCCGAATTTCGGGCGTTTTCTTAAAAAAAATGATCATTTCATGTCATAATTATTTAAACGTGTTTATGTAACATTATCATCCATCCATATAATTTTTACGAATATCTTGGTTAATTATACGTAAGTTCTCAGATGAAAATGTCCCAAAGTCAGACAATCCATAATTTTATTAAAGTTTCTAGGAATTTTTTGCCGCCATATTGCTTTTAACAGAAAACGGCCGAATTTCGTATGGTCGAAAACTAGGGGTTTATTTCATGTAACGTCATTTAGTTATTAATCCAAGTTCGTCCTTGATTTCACTTGTTTTCGTGTTTTACCTGTTGTTTGTGTTAATTATAAAATTTATTTATATTATAAAGTTTATGTCGTTTAGGTCTTCTATCTTAACAATATGCACTGCTGGTCCAAATCTACCCTTGATGGAAATACTTTAGCACCAAGACCAAGATCATTGGTCGGTAAATGTTTACGCAGGAGTTCTAGGTTGGCGAATGATTGGACTTTTTTAATTATCTGAATGAAATGAACTATCCATAATGTCTAAGAAATGAATTGCCAGTTTTGTTAGGGGAAACATCATGATGAAATTGCATTTGTTGCAATTTCATCAGCATGAATGCAGTTGGTATAGTTGAGGCAGCGGTGCCGCTTATTTTGTTATGAATGTGTGGGGCTTCTTGGATACCACTTACTTTAGTAGATAGAGACGCTGGAGCGGCATATTTTCATGGCCAGCTAGGTCATCGGATTCAATATGCCTGGGTTTTAAATTATGGGGTCGAATCAAAAACGAACATGGATAAATAATAATTAAATAGTATTAAAATGAAATTATAATAATAATAATTTTCGCAGACAATCACGGCACTCGGTCATACCACACCCTGAAGAAAATATAGTAACCGAAGAAACTGGACGGATATTTGAAGAGTACCGTATGAAATATAGTGGTGTTGACTTCTTAAGTCGTCCAAGGCTTCCTAAAATTAAATATAATAATCAAACAAAGTCAACTGTCGCCATCATGAATAGAGCATTAAACCAATACTTACCGCAAAGTTTATCTCTTCAGGACACATGTGATTTAATCTACTGCGCCGCTGCTGCTGTCTGTCATGTTACCGGATTGAGGATAGGAGAGATGGCGCAATCATCAAATCATAAACCTCAAATACCACCTTGGAAGAGGAGACTGGAAAATAAAATAAAAGATATTAGGGTAACTATTGAGTACTACATACATACCTAACAAATGATAACCCGTCGAACAGAACCAAACGAATAGTAAATGATATCATCCGACAAAATAACTTGGAAGCTGGTTCCGTTCGTATCCTAAGGGAATTTATGGACAACCTGAAACAAAAATAGCTGCATTAGGGTGTCGTTTGCGACGATACAATGAGAGTGAAAAACGGCGCAAACAAAATAAACAATTTATTACCAACCAGAAGTTGTTTCTTAGAGCACTGAGCACCCAAAAAGAAGAACCTGATAGAGCGCTTGTTAAAGCTGATGAAATGTATAACTTCTGGAATAACATCTGGGGAAATGAGCAAGAACATCAAGATGCTTACTGATTAAAGAAGAAATACACCGCACGCAAGATTTACTGAAAAATGAGGGAAATCCAGATAACAGAGAACGATATTAAACAGGCCGTTAGCTCACTAGGAAACTGGAAAGCACCCGGAATTGATAAAATCCAGGCATACTGGTGGAAGCACCTCACACATGTCCATGCAGTCTTGGCAATACAATTGACCCAAGCAATAAAAAATCCCGCTGAAACAATACCTGCTTTTTTTTTTTTTTCACCATGGGCATCACGCATATGATACCTAAAAATAAATTTTTTGATGATCCTAAAAACTTCAGGCCAATAACTTGCCTACCAGTCATATAAAAATTTCACGTCTGTATTCGAAAAATCAATATCAAAACACCTAAAAATCACCATATACTGGCAAGAGAACAAAACGGCAGCCGAAAAGGATCTAGAGGAAGTACAGAGTGGCTTAATAATTGATAATGTAATCGGAAAGCAAGCATATAAAAAGAAACATATCTATCGCTTGGATCGATTAAAAGAAAGCGTTCGACTCTGTACCACATTCATGGCTACTTAAAATTCTGGAGATCTAATAGATATATACCTCAATAGTCAGAAGTCTTTAATATTTAATGCAGCAATGGCAAACATCTCTTCTCGTTACTTCCTCAGGGGACAGCTATCAAACCAAACCATTAAAAGTCCGAAGAGGGATATTCCAAGGGGATAGCTTGAGCCCATTAATGTTTTGCATGGCCATAAATCCACTAAGTTTCATGTTTAAGTCTAGCAAATATGGCTATGCTGTGAAGAACAATCCCTAAGTAAAGATTTCCGATTTGCTTTACATGGATGATTTAAAATGTTACGCGAGCAACCCAGAACAACTTAAAAGGCAAATGGAACTTGTAGCATCCTTTAGCCAAGCTGTTCGTATGGAATTCGGTGTGGAAAAATGTGCATTCCTGCAGTGTAAAAAAGGGAAAATCCAAGAATCTAACGAGATTATTTTAACTAACGAAATAACATTATCACCGTTACATCTGGGTGAAACCTACAGATATCTTGGTATCCATCAAGCTCTAAAAATTGATGATGGAGTAATAAAAAAGACTGCGGAGAATGCATTTATGAAGAGGGTTTGTGAAGTCTTGGGAACAGAGCTTCATGCGAAGAATAAAATAGCTGCGATCAATGTAATAAATAGCAGCACCTGTAATTCTTAATACATTCGGAGTTCTAAAATGGTCACAAACCGACCTGGAGTCTCTCGATAGACAAGTCAGAATATCAATGACAAGGCACCGAATGCACCACCCCCATGCTTCAACCATTAGACTCTACATTCCAAGGGACAAAGGTGGAAGAGGAATTATTAGTCTCATTGCTATGCATGAAAAGCACATCAGAAGTCTGCAGCATTACTTTGACCAAGCAAATGACCCTCTCCTTTCAGCTATTAAGACCGCCGACAGGAATTTCACACCTTTAAACTTAGCAGGTCAAAGATTACCTGCAGGTACTAGGGGTGCTGAGGAACTAATCGAGGAGTGGAAAGGGAAAGCCTTGCATGGAAGATATCCATCCAACTTATATAACCCAGACGTTCACCGAAATCTGTCATTACGGTTTCTTAGAGATGGAGAGCTCAGAGCTGAGACCGAATGATTTATTATAGCTATACAAGACCAGCAAATACCAACTAAAAATTTCCTAAAAATAATAGCCAAAAAGGATTTACCTACTGACAGATGCCGACTATGCAATGCCTTTCCGGAAACAATTCAACACATCTGCTCTGGATGTACCTATCTTGCACCGCGATATTATCTGGACAGGCACAACCGGGTGGCTAGTATTCTACACCAAGAAATCTGTAAAAAAGAAAATATTTTAAATGAAATTACACCCTACTACCGATACTTACCTGAAAAAATAGTAGAAAACGAAAACGTAAAAGTATACTGGGATACTGACATCATCACAGATCGTACTGTGCAGCATAATAGACCTGATATAGTAGTCTTCTATTAAAAACAAAAACATGCTTACCTGCTGGATATCACAATACCACTAGACGAAAATATTAAAAATGCAAGAAAAGAGAAAAACACAAAATATGAAGCACTGGCGCAAGAACTAAAAGCTATATACGATTTGAGCAAGACTTTTATATTACCAATAATATTTACCTGTAACGGCCTAGTAGACGTAAACCTTGTTCAAAGCCTTAAAAAACTCCAACTTCACAACCTGGAAAGAATCATCTCTACCATGCAGAAGTCCACAATTCTTTCTACCTGTTCTATCGTTCGCACTGTGTTGAACCGCGATTAGGTCGTTGATAAGAATTATCCCGACTTAGTGGCTAAAACCGGCTTTAAGCTGTGAAAAAAAAAAAAAAAAAAAAAAAAAAAAAATTAAACCATATAATCCTAAGCGGCAGCCTAATGTGATTTGTTCTCTTAATATCTGCGGTTAGAGAGGAGGTAGAAAGTTGCGGTTTGCGCTGATCTTTGGCATGGCCATAAACCCACTAAGTTTCATGCTTAAGTCTAGCAAATATGGCTATGCTGTGAAGAACAATCCCCAAGTAAAGATTTCCCACTTGCTTTACATGGATGATTTAAAATGTTACGCGAGCAACCCAGAACAACTTAAAGGGCAAATGGAACTTGTAGCATCCTTTAGCCAAGCTGTTCGTATGGAATTCGGTATGGAAAAATGTGCATTCTTGCACTGTAAAAAAGGGAAAATCGAAGAATCTAACGAGATTATTTTAACTAACGAAATAACATTCTCACCGTTACATCTAGGTGAAACCTACAAATATCTTGGTATCCATCAAGCTCTAAAAATTGATAATGGAGTAATAAAAAAGACTGCGGAGGATGCATTTATGAAGAGGGTTTGTAAAGTCTTGAGAACAGAGCTTCATGCGAAGAATAAAATAGCTGCGATCAATGCATGGGCAGAACCTGTAATTCTTAATACATTCGGAGTTCTAAAATGGTCACAAACCGACCTGGAGTCTCTCGATAGGAAAGTCAGAACATCAATGACAAGGCACCGAATACACCACCCATATGCTTTAACCATTAGACTCTACATACCAAGGGACAAAGGTGGAAGACGAATTATTAGTCTCATTGCTATGCATGAAAAGCACATCAGAAGTCTGCAGCATTACTTTGACCAATCAAATGACCCTCTCCTTTCAGCTATTAAGACCGCCGACAGGAATTTCACACCTTTAAACTTAGCAGGTCAAAGATTACCTGCAGGTACTATGGGTGTTGAGAAACTAATCGAAGAGTGCAAAGGGAAAGCCTTGCACGGAAGATATCCATCCAACTTATATAACCCAGACGTTGACCGAAATCTGTCATTACGTTTTCTCAGAGATGGAAAGCTCAGAGCTGAGACCGAAGGATTTATTATAGCTATACAAGACCAACAAATACCAACTAAAAATTTCCTAAAAATAATAGCCAAAAAGGACTTACCTAATGACAGATGCCGACTATGCTATGCCTTTCCGGAAACAATTCAACGCATCTGCTCTGGATGTACCTATCTTGCACCGCGGCATTATCTGGACAGGCACAACCGGGTGGCTGGTATTCTACACAAAGAAATCTGCAAAAAAGAAAATCTTTTAAATTAAATTACACCGTACTCCCGATACTTACCTGAAAAAATAGTAGAAAACGAAAACGTAAAAGTATACTGGGATACTGACATCATGACATGTACATGACATCATGACATGTACTGTGTAGCATAATAGACCTGATATAGTAGTCTTCAATAAAAAACAAAAACATGCTTACCTGCTGGATATCACAATACCACTAGACGAAAATATTAAAAATGCAAGAAAAGAGAAAATCACAAAATATGAAGCACTGGCGCAAGAAGCGGTATACGATTTAAGCAAGACTTTTATATTACCAATAATACTTACCTGTAACGGCCTAGTAGACGTAAACCTTGTTCAAAGTCTTAAAAAACTCCAACTTCACAACCCGGAAAGAATCATCTCTACCATGCAGAAGTCCACAATTCTTTCTACCTGTTCTATCGTTCGCACTGTGTTGAACCGCGATTAGGCCGTTGATAAGAATTATCCCGACTTAGTCGCTAAAACCGGCTTTAAGCTGAGAAAAAAAAATTATACCATATAATCCTAAGCGGCAGCCTAATGTGATTTGTTCTCTTAATATCTCCGGTTAGAGAGAAGGTAGAAAGTTGCGGTTTGCGCTGATCTTTTGGAAATTTTGTGCTCTATTTAACTATGCAAAGAGAAATATAGCCTCCTATTTAATTTTTTTACGCAAAAACGCAATATCTGTTATGATGTCAAACAGCGCCCTCTAGCTACCACAAAAAAAAATTGTGGAAACAAAATTTATACTGGAGATCATTAAAGAAGAAAATCTCTTTTAAACGAGCCCTAGTTTGTTTAAATCGCGCAACCTAAACCAGAGTTATCCTTATTTTAATAAAAGCAGGTTTAACCTTCCCCCACTACTTTATTTTATGAGATAGAGCAAAATACTTTATATCAAAAAAATTACAAATTTCTCAATGATTACAATAGTAATATTTAAAATACCTGTTCACCTGCGTATTTTTGAGAAAAACAATGTTTTCTGATTCGCTGTTAGAGAAACGCCCCTAGCGGGCATTTTTCGAACTTGAAAGTAATTTCCAGCGATTTCTCTTGATCGATTTACTTATTAGAATTTTTTTCCCAAAGTTATACGATAAGTAGTTTCTGAGATACAGCCGGCGTCCATTCTTAGTTGGCCACCCAGTACATTACTTTATTCTGCATTTTAGAGCAATGGTTTGATCTCCTACATATATAAATATCCCTTAAGTAAACTAACAGTAGAAGAAACATATTTGGTAACACATATTTTCTTTATTTAACTTAGAGCCATTAAAAAATATCATTCTTAGGTCGAGTCTCTCTTAGTAATTTTGGATAGCCATCGTCCAAAATTGTCTGTAACCGATATATTTATACTTCGAAAAGCTTTAATTTCTTCAGTAAGTATGCATGCGTAATAACAAAAAACTTCGAATAAAAAGATTAAGAAAGGAGCACATCAACAAACTTAGGTAGAACCCGATGGGGGACTAATATGGCATATGGCTGACTTAAATTTCAGATTATCACTGCTGTTCTAATTTAATTTAAAATGTGTAAAAATACAGGGTGGCGCACCTCATTCGCCTCGGTTGATTATACGAAAACGGAAAGATGTAGAAGCAAAATATTTTATGGGTATATATGGGGAGGTAATGTGCACAATTTAAAATTATTTTGAAATGTACAAGGTGTTTCAAAAGATCCATACCAAAGTTATATTTTTTCTTATGGAACACCCGGTATTTTATTTCAATTTTGGATCCTTGGGCCCAAAAAAAGGTATTTATTGTAAGGGTTAAATATGTTTAAAATCTTTGGTTTCTGAGATATTTAAAGATATTTAAATTTGCATGCTACAATAAAATAGATTATTAACACACTGTACATTACTTTTCAGAATCAGTTCTTATGCTGAGTTTAAAGGTAGAGAAATAAACTTTACAGAAAAATGTTATTCCTTTCTTAAATATATACAGGGGTATCAAAAATTGCTGGTCTATTTTAAATATTTATTTTCCATAAAAACTTCGTTATTTCAAATGCAACACTATGTATTTTTTTAAAAAAGTCGAAGCAGATTTAAATGCTCTTTCAAACTATATTAGGGTTTCCTATACCTATCTGGCTCAGATTTTGAATAAAAAGCGATTTTTCAATAAAATTGTAATCAAGGTGGCTAGTGTTGTCATGGCAAATTTCTAGTGACGGTTAGTAGCTATTTTGAAAATCGAAATTAGTTTATGGACTTCTTTAGATTTGTACTAGTTTACTTTTATTGAATTTACCTACAATAGTTTAATAAATAATATTTATTAAATATGTGTATTTTATTCTATCAAGAAAAACGAAGAAAGTTCTTTGAATTATTTTACGATGACTTGTAGATATATGGATTTTCTATAAAATAGCCATTACGGCAAATTCATTTTATTCACTTCCAATGACAGGCTTCTGCCTAATAAGTTTTTTATAAACCACACTACCAGCTCTGCGAAATAGGACAAGAAGTTTTTCAAAGAAACGCTTATCAGGAAGTTTCCTATTTGGATCTTTGAGCATAAGCCCTTGAGGCCAAGAAGTAATTTTCCTCACAAAATAATATCACGCACTAGTAACATCTATTCGTTCCGCCAGTAGATACTGCTTTATTTCTCTTGATAAAATAATGAATACTTACTTATTAAACTATTGTAGGTAAATTTAAGTAAACTGTTATAAATTATAAATAATAATGTCCATAAACTAATGTCGACTTTGAAAATAGTTACTACTGTCACTAGAAAATTGCCATGGCGGCACCAGCCATCTTGATTGCAATTTTATTTAAAAATCGTTTTTTATTCAAAATCTGGGGTAGATAGGTATAGGAAACCCTAATATAGTTTGAAAGAACATTTGAATCTGCTTCGATTTATTTAAAAAAATACAGGGTGTTGCATTTGAAATAACGAACTTTTTATATAAAATATATCCTTAAAATAGATCAGCAACTATTGATAGCCCTGTATAAATTTAAGAAACCAATACCATTTTTCAGTAAAGTTTATTTCTCTACCTTTAAACTCAGCATAAGAATTAATTCTGAAAAGTAATGTATAGGGTGTTAATGTCTATTCTATTGTAGCATGCAAATTTAAATATCTCAAAAACTAAAGATTTTAAACATATTTAACCCTTATAATAAATTCCTTTTTTTGGGCCCAAGAATCCAAAAATTAAATAAAATACTGGTGTTTCATAAGAAAAAATATAACTTTGATATGGATCTTAGTTCTGAAACACCCTGTATATTTCAAAATAATTTTAGATTGTGCACATTGTCTCCCCACATATACCCATAAAATATTTTGTTTCTACATCTTTCCGTTTTCGTATAATCCACCGAGGCGAATGAGGTGCGCCACCCTGTATAATGTTGGGTAGACTCAATAATTGGTTGGTTTTGTTTTATAGTGCCAAGAAATAATATCAGTTATTAATATTTTAAAAGGTATACATAATATTTTTAATAAAAATAGACAAGTTATAATAACTATTTGATAATAAAAATTCGAGAAATGCTATTGACAGACCTAAGTTAAATTGATGTATCCTAATTATTTTTGACAAATAAAAGCGAAAATGCCAGAATAGTTATTTTTGTATCTAGTGCGCGAAGTGCTAGTTTGGTGATCGATATTTGATTTTTTGAAAAATTAGTCGAGATCACCAAAGTAGTTCGCACACGAGTTGCAAGTTGCAAACAACATTTTTTCTACAAACATTAAAATCGGGATATCCCTAGATTAGATTAGATTAGATTCTTAGAGGTGGCTTTCGGCCTGATCCATTGCGACCTTCTCAGATCTATTGTGGTCCTCTTCTGATCCTTAGATTACATTCTCCAGTCCTATCCTTTTCACAAAGTTTAGCAACTTGGAGACTGAACCCTCCATGTAGCTCCTTGGCAATGGCCTATCAATGCCTATTACCGGGAACCGCACATTTGCCAGGCTGTCACACCAACATAAACTGTGTTCTGACGTTTCTTCTTCAGATTGGCAGAACCTACACATAGCTTCTTCTGTCAATCCCATCAGCTTTAGATGCCTATTTAGCTTACAATGCCCTGTTAGTAGACCTACTACAGCTTTGACTGTCTTTCTGTCCTTGCTTATCAAGTGTACCGTGAATTTTGGCGAATGTTCTACAATGAACCTTTTCGCCTGTCTCTGCCCTGGTGAGTTTCTCCACCATTCTAGAGATTTGTTGGCCACCCATCGTTCCGTGGCTATTCTCGTGATGAGCCTTGCTTGGCCCTTTCATCTGCCTTTTCGTTACCCTTGTGACCCGCGTGCCCTGGCACCCATGCCAACGTAACAGTGCTACGTTCGCCCTAAGTATTCAGAGCACGCACACAGTCCCACACTAGTCTAAAATTGACCATTGACAGTGAAGATGGCCACAGAACGATTTGTTCTTTGTTGCCTTATTATTTCTTCTACACAATAGTATAGTATTTCTGTTTGGAAACTTGTGACATCCTTAGATAGGCTGACGTGGAAGGATCTCCCTTGTTTCGGCCCTACTATCCCAGCTCCTACGCCTTCTGACGTTTTTGAGCCGTCTGTATACCAGGTTGCCTCAGCTTGAATGGGTACACCTTTACTCCAATCTTCCCCACCTTGTGTCTGTTGCAATCCCAATACTTTGTCTGCTTTTAGCTCTTCGATTAACTTCTGGTTAGCAGCACTATGCGTTTGGCTTATGTGCTGACCGTGAATTAATATGTGCATGACAGATCTGGCTTCGCCTTGTATGAAAATATGTAGTGGTGGTAAGTTCAAGACTTCCATCGCATTTGTAGGAGTGGTTTTTATGGCCCCAGTTACTTACAGGCACGCAAGCCTTTGTGTGGAACTTAACAGCCTTACCGCATCCACTTGCGATGTCTTTGTCCACCACGCCACCGACCCGTAGGTTATCATGGGTCTTACTACCCTTATGTATAGGCATAGAGTCATTTTAGGGTTAAGTCCCCAGTTTTTTCCACACATTCTTCTGCACCTACCTAAAGAGATGGCAGCCTTCTGTGTTGCCTTCGCTATGTGAGTATTCCATGTAAGCCTTTGATCAAAAAATATCCCAAGATACTTTGTTTCTTTGTCATTTTTTGACGTTTGTAGAAAAAATACATACATAATTAGTTTTTAATATCGTATGATCAAGAAAAAACGGCGTCAGCGATGGCTATGAAATGAACATCGATGACATTTCCCATATAAATTTACATATAAAATGACAGCGATTTTCATTTCTGACGCGGTGTTTTTGCGATCATACGGTATATACCTAATAAATTTCTCTTAGACTCCTTAGTTAGTCTTTTTATTCAAAGAGAAAAACAGATAAATATAATCTAAATAAATTTATTTATAGATAGTGGGACATGTAATAACTTATGGTTTGGTGGCACTACAGTTTAATATATTAGATGCTTTTAATTAATAAATAACCAAATAGCTAGTAAAATACAGCGTGTCTCTAACTGATATATAAGGTTTTAGAACCGTCTCAAATACCAAAATACTAATATCTGGAATGTACATATATGAATATCTGTTGTAACAAGAATAAAAAGTTTTAAAAAATTCAAATGATAAAATTTTTCTTTCTTAAATCACGCCATCAACGACCATTTCTTTCAGCTCTTTTCTCTTCACTTTTCCGGTTGGTGTTAAAGGAAAAGAATCCAAAAATTTCACTCCTCCTCTTAGCTTGTGGGTATCGTTCACCCTTTCTGCAACAAATTCCTGGATTTCTTCCTCGGAAACTTCTTCCTGGTAACTTTCGTTCAAGATGATCAACGCCATAGGATGGTCACCGTCGACTTCGTCAGGAATACCAATGACGATGCTTTGTTTGATGGCGGGATGGTCTTCCAGTACCTGAAATAATATTTATAATAGACAATAAAAGATATTTTATGGTGTTATCGAAAACTGTTTTCAAGATAACTTTACCCCAAACTCGTAGTAGGAGGTCTGTCTTCTATTAACTTTGCCTTTATTATTAACATAAAAATTAACTAGTATTTGAGAAACTAAATAACTAAGTATTTGAGAAGCAGACTTTCTAGATGTTTTTTGTCCATTTTTTCGATTTTTGGCAAACAAAGAAAAACTGCTACGCTTTTTGCAAGAAACTGAAAGCCAAAAACTAGTATACTTATACTTAAAAAATGGATAAAAGATCATAAAAATAGTACACCTACACAAAAATATAGTTTTGCTGATATCTGAAGAAATTGAAAAAAACTGTTGACTGCCCTTTAGACGTGAAATTTAAATCTTTATTTTCCTGCTACCACATTCCTTATCCCCAATTACATGGTGCCCAGTCGTAGTTCCATTCATTATTTTAAGTAGTATAATGCAAAAATAGAGATATTGTAACTACACTCTTTATCTGGCAATGACAAACAAACAGCAGTATATCCACAGCACAAAAGGGCATACTTCTGTTTGTTTGTCTACCGCCAATGGACATACAGCCCATAGAAAGTCTGTCATTTAACTTGAATGGGATAAAATGAATTTAGAACATCGTTTCTGACATAATATTATAACTTCGTGTATGTAGTTTATGATGCCACCTTTGGTTGAAAATCTTAAAAAATGGACAAAATGTATTTAGTAAGTTTGTTCCTCATTTGAGAGTACTCTATAACTTTATTTACGTTTTCTAGAGTAGCGGGTGGTACGTGCCAAGAACGATATTTTAACATTTCTTTTGTTCTGCCCACAATATAAAAACACATGTCTTCATCGTAGTAGGCGATGTCTCCCGTTCTAAGCCATCCATCAGAATCGTAGGCATCGGAGGAATCTTGATTGTAATATCCGTTCAGGATAAACTCAGACTGAATTCTGAGTTCGCCACGTTCGTTTGGACCACAGTTCGTGTCGTTTTCTGGATCTACAATCTGAAAGGCAATAAAATGAGTTGTATGGAAATTTTTATTCATAGAATTGGGGGGGGGGAGGTTGGTATTGGCCTTATTGGTATGGCTTATCCGCCCGGACAAGAGAAGACAACCTCACCAAAAACCTAAATATTACGATGGAGGGACCAAGTCAAAGGGATGCGTGGCTAGATAGAAGACTAGCCTCTACTGGCCTCAACTTTAGGAGCCTGCAACACTGAGAACATTAACACTGCAAGTTCCAGGGGGCCAGCTTCAAAGGGAACTACAGGAGAGGCAGCTGACACTCACGCGAGACTAGCCACCAAGTGGCGCAGAAGCGACCACCTCCTCTAGTAAGGGTCAGAAGCCTACCTCTAGAACCAACAGATTACACAAGCTACCGTTTGCTCTACCCAGCTTTTGGCAACCAGGCGGGCTAGACGACCCGCTGAGAGTACAGAGATACCTCCGATTGCTCTACGAAGTATTTGCTCCAGAGGAAGCAAAAGCGAAAACACTCCTCGAAAGAGTAAAAGAATCAAGAAACAGCCTAGCTCAAAGGTAACTCATAGCTCGCCAAAAGGTAACTCATAGCTCGCCAAAAGGTAACAGAGAGGAGAGAGAGAGAGAGAGAGAGAGAGAGAGAGAGAGAGAGAGAAGCTCTCACATTTTACAGTAAATATTTATTCCTATAACTTTCTAAAGAAGAAAACATTCAAACAGAAGGAAAGTCCATGTCGCAAAACGCTTAATGGAACGAAATATGCTGGGAATAATCAAGAAAGACCGTAAAAGAATAAAGTGGATACGACAAAAGACTCAGGTAATAGATGTCATCAATAGAGTCAAATCCCTAAAGTGACAATAGGCAGGACACCTAACAAGGACGAATAACAGATGGACCACAAAAATTACAGCATGGTACCCACGAGGAATTAAGAGACATAGAGATCAAACCAAACCTGAGATGGGCTCATGATATTAGGAAATTAGCAGGGATAACCTGGACCCGTATAGCCAACAATAGACAACAATGGGTCCAATTAAAAAGACAGTATCTAAATATGTGAGGGAGGCTACACTATAATTGGAAATGGTTGAATAAGCTGAAAATGATGATGATGATGATACCACAGATTAGGTATACTATATGTATACAGATAAAAATATTATCCCTTTTCGTGGTACGAAAATTGTTTTTTATGACGATGAGCAAACGAGTAAAGTTTCCTGTGCGCAAAAATATACTCGCGTAAAATAACAATAAACAGCGTAATAGAGAGATATCGGTAAACCGAATAGCGCGCATGGACGTCAAAAACGCCAGGTGTTATTTCCTTTACGTGAGGTGGTATTAACTCTCTTCATTTATAGTTATCGCATCGGAAAGAATTCTGTTCGCGTCGCGTCCGCTATTTAAACTTAACCTAACTTTGAATTTAAAACTTTGAAATTGTTTTGTTTACTAGGTATTTTAAAACTAAAGGGCTCGTCATCTGATGTAAACCTAAGCCTCTTTATAGGTTCTTTAATATTGGAAGAGGTAGAATCCATATTTTGGGCCATATTTATTTAATTAAACCCAGCAACTTAAATATCAAATTACCTAATAAAACTAAAGTAATAATTCAAAACAATTCAAACATAACCTAAAATAAAAGATCTCGCCGGTCGGCCCCGGTTGTCAAATACCCCACATGCCTATTTAAGCAATTTTTAAACGTTATTTAGAAATAGCGCTTGGTGTAATTCAAGAACAGTTAACCTTACCGTTCTTGGGTGTAATTGATCCGCAAATTACGTCAGGCGGTAATTAGCGTGCGTTACGTTAAAAATTGACTCGCGCATATCGTAACCATGATAAGGTACACGTAAATACTGCATGACGCTATTCGGTTTTCCGATATCTCTCTAATAACTGTGCCGGTCAGGCGCTGTGCACAATTTTAGAGGCCATAAGTCGGCGTGCTATGTGCGCAAACTAGTAACCTAACTAGTGCCAGATTCCAAAAATTGGAACCACGAAAAACAATAAACAAAAAACAAAGTTTATAATCTGTGATGATACCTTGTAATTAAATCCAGGAACGGGCCTACCACATGAAGCAGGTCTGTAATGCAATAACAGTCTATCTTTGGTCTTGTTCAAATTGAAAATCGTAGACAAGCCCGAAACCTCCGTCATTCCAAAAGCTTGAAAAACAAAAGCCCCCGGTAACAAATCCCGCAGTTCGCTGAGCTTGTTTGAGAAAAACAAAGCTCCTCCTGTCACTAATCCAGTGAGACTAGATGTATCGATGTCATCGGGTCGGCCTGCAGCTATCATTTGATATCCTTGAATCGGTGCTAAGAAACAGTAGGTAACCTAAAACCAAGAATTTCTAAAAGATTTTACTTACTACGTAATATTATTTTCTACCTTATACTTATCCAAATAAATCCACAAATCATTAGGATCAAAAGATCTACAAATCAACCTGGCAGCTCCACACAAAATTGTTCCTGATAAATGTAACACGGCAGATACCCAATATAATGTCGAGAACAGCACGATTATAGAATTTGAATTGATTATTCCCGCATAACTAAAAATAGCATTAAGATAGGTCAATGAAAGACTATCTTATAAATGATAAGATGCTGCTTAGAATTTAAATCAATGACAGACATGATTACTTACTTCGTTAGATTCCCCTGATGATATATTGATTTATGGCTACTGCATATGCCTTTGGGTAAGCCCGTAGTGCCGCTACTGAAAAAAATAACAATGGTCTCTGTGGGATCGTCTATTTCTACAGGGGTGAAAATATCTTCATCGTCATGAGGTTCCAGGAAATCATTGAAAGGGGTGGAGGTATTAGTATCGACGTCATCACCATACAAGACCAGTTCACAGTTGATTTCTGCTTCTTCTACAGCTAGCATCATCATTTCTAAGACCTACATGTTGTTAAGTCAGTGTTGACACCAAAGACTATTAATTAGACAGCCAGTCGACTTTGCTAGTTTTTTAGTACCCGCGTTTTTATTTACACAAATTAAGCGAATATCCAAAGATCCAAAGCGAAAAAAAGCACCAATACCTGCCCTAAAACACAATGGGAAATTGATTTTAGACCCAGTAGATCTATGCATCACATGGAAAAGCTATGCACAATTATTATTTGAAGACCAAAGAGAAGACAGATAACCTCTCAATTGTGAAGACTGGTCGGGCCCGGAAATTCTTGAATCTGAAGTTCTATGAAAGAAAACTATGAAAAATCGAAAAAGCCCCGGTCATGACAACGTGCATGCAGAAGTTCTTAAAATATTTGACTCAAAGCATCTCACATATCTATTCAATCAAATATGCGATACCGGTAAAATTCCAAACGACTGGCTAAAATCAACTTTTATAACAATTCCCAAAAAGGCATCTCCAAAAGACTGTACTGACTACAGACTTATAAGTCTTAATGAGTCATGCTCTGAAACTTTTTCTTCGAGTCATGCTTGCTCGTATATACTCGAAATGTGAAGAAAAAAGCGGAGAGGCACAGTTCGGCTTCATCAAGGGGCTGGGTACCAGAGAGGCTTTGTTTTCAATCAAGCTACTAATCCAGAAATGTTATGATCAACGCCAAGATGTCTTTGTGTGCTTCATAGATTATCAGAAGGCTTTCGACAACGTTAAACACGATATTCTCATAAACAGACTGCTCGAGATAGGAATAGACGCCAATGACATTAGAATCATACAGGAACTATATTGGAACCAAACCGGGGAGATAAGAGTTAACAAAAATTTATTCACAAGACACCTTCAATGTGTGTCAAGGAGTCCGCCAGGGCTGTATACTGTCACCAATACTTTTTAATATATACGTCGAAAAGATATTTCAAATGGCCCTGGAAGGAGAAAGTGGAGGAATTAAGATTAACGGAGTTCCAATTAACAATATAAGATACGCAGATGACGGCAATACTAGCACCAACTTTAGAGGATCTCCAGCAAATAATAAATAAGATAGGGGACATGGGAAATTGTTTCGGTCTTAAAATCAACGCTGCCAAGACCAAACTTATGGTAATAGAACGCCAGCCTACAATCAACACCGCATTGACCGTGGATGGAAATATTATAGAGCGAGTTCCACGATTTAAATATCTGGGTGCCATGATCAATGAATGGACTGCGATGAGGAAGTTAAACTTAGAACGAATTATGCAAAGTCAACATTTTTTAAACTTAAAAACTTCTATTAGCACGCAGTCTCCCGCTAACACTTAGACTACGGGTAGTAAAATGCTACATATGGCCCATCTTACTATACGGCGCAGAAACCTTGTCTCTCAAGGCTGGAACCCTGAACCGCATCGAGGCTTTCAAAATGTGGACTCTCCGGAGACTCTTACGTGTGCCATGGACCGCACATGCCACCAACGAAGAAGTTTTAAGAACTGCAGGCTATGAACGAGAAATGCTTAATATAGTTAAAGAAAGGAAAGTCTCATACCTCGGCCATATCCTTAGAGGAGACAAATATTACATTCCTAAGCTGATTCTACAAGGAAAAATAGAGGGACGGCGAGGCCCAGGAAGAAAACAACATTCCAGGCTAAGAAACATACGGGATTGGTGTAACATCAGCGACGCAGCCACCATATTTCGAAGAGCCGAAAACGGCAGTCTACGCATTGTATGAAGAGTACAGACAATCGCCAACGTGCGGCTAAGCACAAGGCACAGGAAGAAGAGGAAGCGAATATCTCGTTAGGTACGCAGATTTCTATAAAAACGATAGTAGATTGTAGATTGTATGAGAAGAGAGTTAATCACCGCGACCTTATAAATCTATTAGGTCCCTCTTTCTTGAGTTATAGCTCATCTTACGCTCCCAGGGCTTTAACAAAAGCCAGTAGCTGAGATGGTTTTACAGAGGTTAGTTCTCCACCTCCGATACCAGTCGTACTAAAGTTTATGGCACGAATGGTTGTCGTCTCGGTGCACTCAGTGAGAGGTGTTCTGGTGTCTCCCCATTTTCCCCACAGAATCTGCATTTGACGTTGTTTCTTAGCTTCAATCTACTTAGGTATTGAATGGGGAGACAGTGTCCTTTTAAAAACTTCGGGACAATCCGAATGTTCTTACTTAAATCGAGGAAAATCTTCTTCGAGTGACTTAGACCGTTGAGGATTCGCATTCCAGGTTACTGATGGAGTCTTTCAAGTTCTTGAGTTCCGTTTTAAGTTGGTTTCCACTTGGAAAGCAAAACGGTTCTGGTCCAGTTAGTCTTTAGCTAGATCGTTTGCTTTTTCATTACCTTCCATCCCTTGGTTGGCTAGCACCTAGATTAGAAGAACTTTATTTTCTTTGAATGAAGTTGTAGAATGTATGTATGTAATGTATTTCTAGAATAAAGTTAAAAGAAGAATAACCTTTACCAACAGTGCGATGCTGAGACTTATCGAAATATGGAAAAGGTCATACATAACCAAAAACACTAAAATTAATCTGGTCCGAACGTTGGTCTTTCCAATCTTATCATAAGGCTCAGAATCGTGGACACATAGAGTTAAAGGATGCAAATATATCACTGGACCGCGAGGAGAACTAATCAGTCGATACTGGAAGAGTTAAGTGTAACCACCAGACTATCATCATTATGCATGAAGAGGGTGTTGCAGTATTTTAGACACGTGGCTAGAAGACTAAATGACAATATAGACAGGCTTATAGAACAGATTATACAGATTATAAACTTATCGTCCAAAGCATTGTTTTCGTGGTTCCAATACACATAGCACGCCCACTTATTAGGCTAATTCAAAAATTTACACTAAAATTTATTTGGAAATCTTTTATGTCGAAATTTAAAAAAACATAAATTTTATACAATGAGCTACTATTTTTAATACATTCATTGGTTATTATATTATTACTTATTGTATTTCGCCAGAAGCACACTGTAAATAAAGAAAAACAAATAGAAACTGACAGTTGGCAGCAGCGCGCTCGTGTCATCCCGCGCTTCTCCCCCCTTCCCCCATCGCAGATGGTAGTGTACCATTACCCAAAAACCTGAATCGTTTTCTCTCACTATCAGAAAATAAGGCAGACTTATGCAGATTTTTGTCTGACCGAATTCTACAGTACAAATTTCCTGACTTTGAAGTTGTGCTGTCAGGAGGTTTTAAAGATGAGACACATGCCGAGTCTACTAATCCCGCCCGTAACCTTGATTGCCTGAAAGCCTCACACGAAGAGGCGGATACCCGTATGATTCTTCATTCCATCAACAGTCAGGCCGAAAATATTATTGTTATGACTAGGGATACTGATGTTGTTCTGCTCCTAGCTTACCACTTTGCCAAAATGAAGTGTTCCTACTTGTGTGTGATGAGTGGCACACTGCGCGATACCAAGTTTATTCCAGTGCACAAAATTTGCAAAAAACTTGCGCCTGAGCAAATCACTCACCTGCTAGCATTCCATGCTATTACCGGATGTGATGCCACATCAAAACTATCATCTGTCACAAAAGTACGAGCATGGAAGTTTTTCACTGGGGAAAACTGCAAGCTTTTGAGTGGCCTTGGACGCTGGCCACTCGAAGAGGATATACTCAAGAACGTCGAGAAGTTTGTCATCCTCTTGTACAAAGGAGGTAGGTTTGCCAAACTTGTCATATTTTTTACACCATTCTTTCTTTTCAGATTGACCCCAGCATTGTAGCAGAATGTGCTGATGATGCCCGTGCCCTTTTATTTGATGCTGGGAAGAAACCGGAGAATATGCCGCCAACAACGGATGCTCTTCGGCTGCACATCAAGAGGTGCCACTACCAAGTATGTTATGATGAACTGAATTGGGACAAAGATCAATGCATTATTTATTTTGAAAATTTACAGGTATGTGTATGGGAAAATGCTCACATTGCCATTCCATCACTTCCTGCGATTGAAGATTGTGGCTGGATTATTGACGGGAATCACACAGCCCCACTTCTAATGACTCTTGACCCTATACCTACGATTTGCCCGGAATTAGTAATTTGCCATTGCAAAACTTCTTGCAATACCAAGAACTGCAGTTGTAGGAAAGGAAATGTACTCCATGTAAAAGTGTCTGCCTAAATTCGACCTGAATATATTTTTTGTAATTAACAATAAAGATTAGCTCAAAAGTTTTTTTGTTAAGATATTTTTGATTTCTTCATGTTTAAAAACATATTTTTGTAGGCATGTCGGTTAAAATTCATGTTTTTTTTTTAATTTCGACATAAAAAGTTTTCCAAATAAATTTTACTGTTCATTTTTGAATTAGTCATGTTCGAAAATATGTATTTAGACACCTCAGTCACTTTTCTATGTCAATGGGAACTCTAAAAATATCAAATTTAAAAAAAATCCGCCATCTTGAATATCTCACTTCTGGTTCAGATTTCGCTCTGGCAACAGGCAGAATCGGATTCAGCGGGGTCGAATTAGGGGGAAAAGGGTAGTTTCCAAAAAGTAATATGAAATGCTTCTCAAACTTAAGATTTCCGAAAAAGGGACTAGACTATATGGCCTCTAAAATTGTGCACAGCGCCTGACCGGCCCAGTTATTACGCTGTTTAAAAGCGAGTTTATTTTTGCGCTTAGGAAATTTTACTCGTCTGCTCATCGTCATAAAAAACAATTTTCGTACTACAAATGAGGGACAAGATTTTTATCTGTGTACATGTAGTATACCTAATCTGTGCTTATAGTGATGGGGGAAGTACAAGGAAGGAGAAGTATAGATGTCGATCGTCTATGAGATGGTCTGATATATATTCTATATATAGAAAGGGGAATAGAGGTATTTCAAAGAGGTTACGACCCTCATGACTGACGAAACGAGCAGAAAGAGAGATTCTTTGACCAACTTCGAATTGATGGTTACTGAATTGATCGCTTTTAAGGCTGCTTGACTATCAGATAAAATTAAAGTTTATTTCTTGTTCCCAATAGTTCTCATCTAAGATAAGTTGTACGCATTACGCATCTTTCGATAGCCCAGATTCCTGAAGGATGCTCTCTCGGCCCAAATACTCCTATCCCTGTTCCTGCTTTGGTTTTGAAAATGATAGTAAGTCGACTGGCTGCCTATTGAATAGGCTGTGGTTGGCACTTACCTCCGGAACAATAAACATAATTTTTGGTTTGACCAATTTTATCAAGTGTGACGCATCGGCATGAGTAAACGATGGATCCAAGGAGGCAACTTTTATCCCCAAAAACATACAGGCTAAAAATGGAACGCAACTGTGAATCTGATTGTACGAACACAAGCAGACCACGTCGTCTTCAGTTAGGTTTCTTTCTTTCAAATGCAAAGCAGTACGAACAGAACGTTTCAGTAAAGATTCGTAAGTGTCTATCTCTTCTGTTTCAGCTATATACTGAAAACAATAAAAAACATTTTATCCTCTTATACAGGGTGACCCAAATTCGGGCCTTATCATTTAGATCACGGAAACTCGAAGAGATGTGTTGGTTAAATGAAGAAATGGATGCGGAATTTGATCAATATGTTACCTTAAAAGTTTAATAATTCCGAATACTTCCGGAGATTTAAAAAAAAAGACTCACTCTTTGTAGTTTTACATTTATTTATTATGACGCTATTTCAATAAATACAGGGTGTCATTGAAATGGTGTAAAAAAATCGCGGGGTGATAGTACTCCTAAAAATAGTAAAAAAAGTTCCTATAGGGCGGAAAATGCATATTAAGGGAGTTAGGGGCACTGAAAGGGTGAATTTAAAAAACGTTTGTTTTAAAATTGTAGGCTTAAAAAACGAGATAAAATTTCGAAAAAAAAATCCTCTGCCATAAATTTTGACCCTAAATCAAATGGTGACACTGAAAAATTATTTGGAAAAGCGGAAAGGGTAGTTTTTGCAAGGATAGGGTTTTTTCGTGAATAACTTTTTGAGGTTATTTTTTTTGCAACCTGGGTTCATTTTTTGAAAACTACATACTTTTTCCTACAAAAAAGATACTCTTGTTGCACATCGCCCAGAGCGATGGTTTTCGAGAAAATTGAAGACAAAGAGTTTGCGCTGATAGGTTGCTAAATGGTTAATCAACATAAACTTATGAAAGTTAGTTATCAAATAATTAATTGAAAAATCAAAATTTTTTTTTTGATTTTTAAAACATCTTATTGCTTTAAAAACCGAAATAATCCAATTACCAAAATTCCTTATTAAAATAATGCATTCCTTAATTCATTCATAGTAAATGTTCAAAGTGGCCACCATTCATTTCAATATAGACATCTATTCTTCTTCTCCACGATCTGCGTAGATACCCTGTGGAATATCCTTGGTGTCGTCCGAATTTGATTGGAACAATCAATAATGCGTTGCCGTAGTTGCTTTTCAGTATTAATCGGCACTGAGCAAACCAATTTTTTTTTAAAACCAAATAAGTTTATTTCCTTTTTAAAGCAATAAGATGTTTTAGAAATCATGAAATTTTGATTTTCCAATTAATTATTTAATAACTACTTGGTTACTTTTGAACCGCCATAACTTTCATAAGTTAAGGTTGATTAACCAGTTAGCAACCCATCAGAGCAATCTCTTTGCTTTCAATTTTCTCGAAAACCATCGCCTGGGCGATGTGCAACAAGAGTACCTTTTTGTAGGAAAAAGTATGTAGTTTTCAAAAAATGAACCCACGTTGCAAAAAAAATAACCTCAAAAAAGTTATTCACGAAATAACCCCCTACCCTTGCAAAAACTACCCTTTCCGCTTTTTCAAATAATTTTTCAGTATCGCCATTTGATTTAGGGTCAAAATTTATTGCAGAGGTTTTTTTTCTAAGTCTTATCTCGTTTTTTAAGCCTACAATTTCAAAACAACCGTTTTTTAAATTCACCCTTTCAGTGTCCTTAACTCCCTTAATATGCATTTTCCGCCCTATACTTATAGGAATTTTTTTTACTATTTTTAGGAGTACTATTACCCCCCGATTTTTTTACACTATTTCAATGACACCCTGTATAACTAAATCAGTTCCATATTCTCATTGTTACTTTTTTTTCTACAATATTTTAAGAGCTTCTAAAGACCCTAAACAAATTCAAGATGTATTGCTCTTATTCGAAAAATTTATACTAATTGCATTTTCTATAAGAACACAAGTGTTAAAGAGTTGTGACACGGAAAAAAAATTGTAATAAACCCCACAATAATTATTGTAGAAAACACTGCTGCATTTTGCGTCTAAAATGGTACTAGGCACCACGTTGTAGCTTTTATTTCCATCAGTTTGTATTAAAAATATGCTTGATTTTATACGAAAATAGTACCGTAAGAATAATCAGATTGTATTGGTTGAAATTTAAATAAAAACCATTATTACAAATTGAAGCACTACTAACGATATTTTTTTGATACAATTTGCTGTTACTATATAGGCACTATTGTAAACCGAGTTGGGAAAGAATAATAACTTAACCAATACAACAACTGTATTTTATATGTTTATAAAAATCAAAGTACAATGTTGCAGTTTTTTTATTTTTATATATGGTATTAATATAATACCAGGTGTGTCTCAAAAGTGGCTCACCCCTATAATTTTTTTTTAATCTATACTAATATATAAAATCCTTAAGTGACTGACATACTGATTAATCACGATCCTGCTCAAACCACTCAACGTAAGAAGCTCAATTTTGGCATACAGGTTGATTCTAGGGTGTAGAGGTTCGATAGGAAGGGATTTTTCAAAATTCCAGTTCCAAGAGGGTGAAACCACCCCTCAAATATTACTATATTTTTTATTTAAAAAACGGTCAAGTTTCCGAAAAAACGCTTGAACACGTATATTTTATTTTGTTTTTTACATATTTTAAGATTTTTAAAAAATATATACAGGGTGTTTCGAAAAATCTGGTCATTTATTAATCACGATCCTGTTTAAAGCGCTTGACGTAAAAAGCTGATTTTTTGAAAACAGATAGACTTTAGGGTGTAGAAGTTCGATAAGAAGGGATTTTTCGAAACTCGAATTCTAAGGGGGTGAAACTATCCCTCAAATATTAAAATATTTTTTATTTAAAAACCGGTGAGTTTTTCGGAAAAAACTCTTAAACACGTATATTTTATTTTGTTGTTTTACATATTTTAAGATTTTTTATAAATTTATACAGGGTGTTTCATAAAATATGACCATTGAGTAATCACTATTCTGCTTAAACTGCTTGACGTTTAAAGCTGATTTTTGGCAAACGGATTGACTGTGGGGTGTAGAGGTTCGATAAGGAGGGGTTTCTCGAATCTCAAATTCCAAGAGGGTGAAAACGCCCCTCAAATATTATAATATTTGTTATTTAAAAAACTGTTAGTCTTTCGGGAAAACGCTTGGACAGGCATGATTTATTTAATTTTTTTTTTTAGACATTTTTAAATTTTTAAAAAATCATACCGGGTGTTCCAATAAGTTGGGTAATTTCTTAACCACGATTCTGCTTAAACTGCTTGACGTAAAAAGCTTATTTTTGGCAAACGGATTTTTCGAAAGTCAAATTCCAACGAGATGAAACTACCCCTCAAATATTACCAAGTTATATAAAAATATCGCCATATTGTTTTTTCTCATGCTGACATAAATGTGAGAAAATTTTATCCAGTTTGTATGTTAATGAAAATTCTTACTTTGTTTTATCATCACCATTACAAATCATTAATTCGACGCGAACGAAGTCGTGGGTACACGCTAGTTTTTCATATAAAAAACGAGATTAGGTATGTTAATATATGATATAAATTAGGATTGACGTATTCAATAATTGTCTTCGGTCACTTCCTGTTTCACCGGAAATTATTACAACTTTGGATTTTTTAAATGGCATCCTCGGTATTTATTTACTTTATTCGATAGAAAATGACACTCAGAATAGAATATACAGGGTCTGGCAATAGTGCGTCGGGCACCTGTAGCTCCTAGAATAAAAAACTTGAGAATTTTGTTTAAGTATAAACAAAGTATGTACCAGGATGTATTTCAGGAAAATACTTTAACTTCTATAGGATGGCTCAAAAAAGTGTGAGTGGATAGGGATGTTTTTTTTTTAAATGGAACCCCCTGTATATTATTGCATTTTTGGCTTTCATTCAGATCACTTTACATAATCCTAAAATATGAGTAAATATATTTCGATAGTTTCAGAGATATTAATAAATAAATCAAAAATAATTAATTTTCAGGTTTTTTCAAAAAAAATTAAAAATACAAGAACTGTCCTCAAATCAAAACTATATTAAGTATTTACTTTAGATGGTCTGTAATTATTTTGCAATAGGTAATCGTAAATCATACAGGGTGTTCAAAATTCGACGCCAAACTTTCTAAAATATAAAATAATTTCTCCCTATAGCGGTTAAAATATTTTCTTGAAATACATCCTGGTACATACTTTAGGTTTACACTTAAACAAAATTACCAAGTTTTTCATTCTAGGAGCTACATATGCCCGATGCACTATTGCCGGACCCTGTACAAACCAAACCAAACACAATATATGGTTTATTTGAAAGTATAACATAGGATTCATAACAACAATTTGACTCGAAATACCAAGTGTGTGGTACCAAATTATTCGTAAAAAAAATTATTTTTCCAAATATGCATTAGCATACTTTTGGAAAAATATGCTAATGCATAATATAAATGCAATAATATAATATCCTTGAAAACGAGGGTGGCTCATTAGAGCCAGCCAAATTAATGTCAGTGGCGCACATGAAAAATATTCCAGTGATAACTCATATGCACGTCCCTGATGAATTTATCGACATATTTTTAGCATTAAAAAATGTACCACTTATAATGCCTTATTATACCTTTACCCTCAAAATTTCACTCGAATCAGTAAAAGTACTTGGAAGAAAATTATAATAAATCGAAATATTATTAAGACGTTAACACCCTGTAGCTACGAGACAAAGCAGAATCGGAGCTATGTTGATATGAAAAATAAATCTTATTTTTACTTGAGGAATCTCCCCACAAGAGATGGCACATGTTTTTTGAAACACCCGTATATTCAAAGGGGAAAGGGAGAACAAAAAATCCTCACAAATTATTAATCGAAGTGGTTGTGATTTGATAGTTTCGATAAAGTTCAGGCGATAAATTTGTGAAAAGATGGTAAACATAAAAAAGACAAGAAAAATAGGATAATTACTCTGCGTTTTGTTTGTTTAAAAACTATTGTTTTGTGTCCTTGTGTGCCACATACTAATCAATCTACAATCTATAACTATATCGATATATTTTAATTAAATATCAAAATTACCTGGGCTACTCTGCGCCTATTCTTTTTAATGCTATTAAAAAACTCATAACCGATGCCCCTCGTTGTCACTTCATACTCTCCAGAACAAGATAAAACATTATTTTCATCTAACGAAACGTCTAAAATGTGATAATAAAATATCATTATTCGATTCTAGGTGATCATCGATTTTATATTACTGTGCGAAAATATATAATTTATATTTAATATTTTACCGTCGGGTAAGTTTTCAATTCCCATTATTTAAAACGCTTTAGTTACCCCCTGTACTAGAAAAAAACGCTTAGGCTTATGTCAATTTGGTGGGTTACGATAAATGGCTTAAACTGTTTACGAAGAGTGATCTGCTGCTTAAAAATACTGCTTTTTAACTACATATTGGTAAATTAATGTATTGAAATTGCAAATATCATGCGCTATTTGGAAAGGGAGGAAGTTATATACACCAGCGATGATATGAAATAAAAGCATACAAACAACATTTTTTTTATTAAAAACAATTATTATAAAATTTGCGATTTTTTTTTTTATTTTTGCATTTTTTTCTGAAGACTAGACTTTTTTCAAATTTTGAATTTGTCAAATGTTGAGATTGCGGTCCAAATTTTGAATTGACATAATAGTGTCAGATGGGGTATCGTGTGAAAGGGATTCATTCGCACAAGCTTTAACAGATTTTTAATTATTTTTAACTCGATTCCTGAACTATTTAGATGTGCCTACAAATTTGTACGGAACCCTCGCACTTGTTCTTTTTTTAATAAATAACATTTTTATAAGGACAGCTCCGTGACATCGTTAAGAAATGTCGCAACTAAATAAAAGACCAGAAACGTCATCAATTTTTTGCCGGTGAACGCCTTCTCGGTGTTAAGGAGGACGCGTACTGAATCGACTCGGACCGCTCCGACCGGTCGACTCGACTAAACGCCTCCATGCACTTCCAGGATATTTTGAACGGTTTTAACCAAACGAGTAGGACTGTGTACGAAGAAACGAGTACGAAGTGTATGTGAATGTTCGATCCAATTTTGCCGGTTTGTTTCATATCTGTCTTTGCCAGATATTTTAACCGTACGGTTCGACCCGTTTATTCCTACCCGATAAAGGTTGATTCTCACTATACCTTCCGTTTCCATTCCATATCCATTCCATATCCGTTCCGTATTTTTTTTTATTGTTCCGTATCAGTTCCATACATTTTATTGTACAATTTATATCATTTTATCCGTTTATCGGATATACGTTGGTGTTATTTTATACATTCGTTTCCATAACGATTTTGCTATTTTACTTATATTTTTATTAAGGTTGGATCTATGGGTTGGATTAAATTTGTCAACAAAGTGTCAAAACGTCCGTTATCGTATGAACGGGTCCGTTGACGGGCTGAAGTAAAATATTTACGGATGAAAAGTGGCGCGAAAACGCTATGACCAATCAGAGCACCGTCGGCGTCGGACCAACAACGTACCAACGTATAACGGATGCATGAAAATCAAGCTTTAGACTTAGACTATAGAAAAACAACAAAATCGTTATGGAAATAAAAATATAAAATGACACCAATCACAAGCAAATCGTATATTCGACGAACGGAGGCATGAAAATGCGATAAATTTGAAAACTGCGTAATTTTCTAACCAATCGAAGTCTTTAGATTCAAGCAATAAAATTAATATCGTATCATCGGATAACGGATGCATGAAAATCAAGCTTAAGAAGTTCTGAGAAAAAGAACTTCTGGCTTTGGCATAAAAATATCTAATCTGGCGCCCATGGATGGCGGTAGCTATGCAGTCGAGTCATTGATGACGCTCATCGTGGTTTTTTTCTTTACTTGCGACCATTCTATTTTGCATTATACTGTGGGTAGATTTACTTGTTGGACAGACAACACAAAACAACAGTTCCAAAATTCTGATTGTACCAGCAATATACCTACTTTTATATTATAAAAACTATTTTATATACAGTGTGGTCCGAACTGTATTCCGGAAACTTCGGCAGCATATTCTGCAGATAAAAATAAGTAAAAAAGTTCGTATAAATGTATGTTCTAAAAGGCCTAGTTTCGGAGATACAGGTTCATTTTTATTTCGATTTTTTCTAAATAATTTCTGAAGTAATATCAATATTTGGATTAAAATTGGTGTCTGGGAGTTTTTTTGACATGAGAAATTTGATTTTGATGTCAATATGACTCTTACTAGTAGAGGGCACCACGTACATATTTTTTAACTGGTTTGAAGAGTAATAACTTTTCGTCCGTACCTGTATAAAACTACCGAGTAAAAAAATATACATTTACGACGTTTTCCACGTGAAAAAGGTCTCTTGGTTAAAATCGCTACGAGTAATGGTTCTCCAGATATTTGGGATCGAAATTATCAATACCTGTCATCATTGACATAAATTATAAACCTGTTGACAATAGTTATTGGACTGAAATCATAAATTTGAAATGTTTTTGTGCTAAAAGCTTAACTGAAACTGTTTTATCGTCATTTTTTGCAGAAAAATTTATGATTAATTTAAAAAAAATAAAAATTTCCCAAATTTATTATTTCAGTGAAATAACTATCTACTCAACGTGTTTATTTTTCGTCAATAATAACATGTATTGACTATTTCCATTCTAAATATCTTGAGAACGGTTGCTCGTAGCGATTTTTAAAAAGAGATATTTTTTACGTAAAAAGTCACAGAGTACTTTTTTTACACAGATGTATATTTTTTCACTCGGTAGTTTTATACAGGTACGGACAAAAAGTTATTGCGCTTCAAAAATATCAAAACACATGTAGGTGGCGTCCTCTACTAGTAGGAGTCATATTGACCTCAAAATCAAATTTCTCATGTCAAAAAAATCCCAGACACCAATTTTCATCCAAATATTGATGTTACTTCAGAAATTATTTAGAAAAAATCGAAATATAAATGCAACTTCCACACCCTGTATCTCTGAAACTAAGCATTTTAGAACATACATTTATATGACCTTTTTTACTTATTTTTATCTGCAGAATATGCTTCCTAAGTTTCTGGAATACAGTTCGGACCAACCTGTATAACGCTGTAGTACTCAATATGTTTGGTGACAGTTGCATCACTGGCGGAAATAATAGACCACTGGACAGATCCGTTCAGAACAAAGGTAAGTAAAAAATGCATGATTGCATGTCGAATCCTATAGTTGTCGTTCAAAAAATATGTACCTAACTATTTAATCAAATAACTGGCATTAAATCAATTGACCCTCTGATTATAAAGTAGTTTTATTTAGATACATACGCTATGTCCGAAGCAATTCTGACCAAACCTTAATACAATATTTAACAGAAATGCAATAATGAGCTGGTTTGTATACAAATGGAATTCCAGAATGAATCGTTTAATTCGTTAATAGATTTTACAAGGGTTTACGATCTAATTTAAAACAAATCTGATTTTTTTTATTTTAAAATATTCGAAGCGTAGATATACCGGGTGCGTCTCAAAAGTGGCTCACCCCTATAACATTTTTATTTTTTCAGATAAAAAAACGAGATTTGATATGTTAGTTTATGACATAAATTAGGATGGACTAACATATTAAATTGTTTTCGGTCCCTTCCTGTTTCACCGGAAATGACTACAACTTTTGATTTTTAAATGACACCTTCAGTATTCTTTTACTTTATTCGATAGAAAATGACACTCTGTATCGAATGACATATCATATGTCAACTTTTGACATATTTGCTCTAAAACAAATTGTATTTTAAATTTCAATCTAGAGTGCCATGGCTGTGTTAAAAACACTAATTTTTAATTCAAGGCAATTCAATTAAGGAGCCTTGAAAAAATAAATTTGATCGTCTAATGTTTTAGTGTCTTGTCTGAAAATCTTAAAAGTTTACATATAATATGTCATTCTATTCAGAGTGCCATTTTCTATCGAATAAAAAAAAATAATGAGGGTGCCGTTTGAAAATCAAAAGTTGTAGTCATTCCCGGTGAAACAGGAAGGAACTTTTGAGTCGCACCCGGTATACCTGCCTACTCTATGTTTTTAAAACCAGTTGTTATTTTCGATTAACCGGAAATGGCCACCAGTTTGCTCATTTTAAGTATGATCGAAAATAAAACGACATCATACATTTTCGAAAAATTTTCTGTCATTTTGTATGTAAACTCATATGGGGAATGTCATCGATCGTCATTTCCAAGCCATAGTAAAGCCGTTTTTTTCGGTCAAAATGTAGTAGGCACCTCTCATCTATACCGGATGTTTCCAAAAAGTGGTTTACCCCTATTCTTTCAGATAAAAAAAAACAAGATTTGGTGTGTTAGTATGTGAATGGTATGCGACATAAATTAGGATTGATTGACGTATTCAATTGTTTTCGGTCACTTCCTGTTTCAGCGGAAATGACTACAGCTTTTGATTTTACAAACGAAACACTTGTGTATAGAGGTGTGAACTTATTTTCATTCCAAAAATACGTAGTATTTCTATGTCTACGGAATATTGGGACACCCTGTATAACTTAGAGTTTAACCACGGTTTAACCGTAACCTTCTGTAAAACATTTAGGTAACATAAATGTATAAAATTTTCTTCCATGTCGGTATTCTGTGATCTTGTGTGATAAATATCACAGACTGTAATGACTGTAATAAAACTAACAAATAATATTTTTTAAATATTCAAATTTCTTAATATATGATGAGCTTATGTATGTACTTGTTGGTTATGCAACTTTTAAAACTCTTTACTCCTACTTTTCTTCAGCAATTGAATTCATTAATAAATAAATAACTAAAGACTTTTTAATGAATAATTTACGTATTTTATTTGCCGTTGATGTACTAAAAATCAATAAAATACCATAATTTTGATTTTGATTCATATAAAATGTATTCTAATCGCAATCCGTTAAACAACTATAAATTCTAATTTAATAAATCTTATCATTGGAGCAGACTGCGGATAGACTGGAGACCCAGAATAATAAAATTAAAAATTACGATTTATAGAAATACCAATATTTAGCTTTGGATTTACTAAGGATTTACTACGTATTTAATTTTTAATTTCACGTTTAAAGATGGTTTTGCGCTTTTTTAATTTCAAATTCCAGAGCGCAATCGTCATCTTCCTGCTGTTCATCTGCTGTTTGCTGTCAAATGTCAAATAAATATAAACGAAACGAAAATACTTGGAGACGAAATTTATAAATATTGCAAAATCGAGGAAAATATATACCAACTGCAACTTGCATTTAATTAAGTGATCTTGTACACGTAATATAACATTCCTTTAAGTATATTTTGAAAGTGTAAAGGGAAAGATATCGTTAGAAGCTAATCTGGGTGTGTTTAGAAATGTTTATAAACCAAATCCCTTAAGTTTTTTTGGATAACATGGATTCGCATAAATTTAGTCCAGCGAAAAGTGGGCCAGGTATGTACTGATAGACGTTAGGTTACTATTTATAATATATTAAATCAATTAAAATTAATTTTAGTTAGCATAACAGGGGATACTGATGAACCATATCCTAGTTTATCTGATTATCACGACTACGAACCAAATCTTGAGTTTGATGATTCAGAACTTCATCAAAGTCCCACATCTGGATCAGTATCAGGTAGATAAAAATAAGTTTTCTTTTTTTAGCACTTAAATGCATAACATATCTCATTAGTCTCATTTTGACCTGACACTTTTTCCATTATATGTATAATGTTTTAACACTAAGTTGAATTTGAAAACCATACATTTTAGCTGAATTTATTCATATCGAAGCAAATGGTGTAATGTCAATGACATCACCAGTTGGAGATTTTACTGATGAAAACTATGAGGAAGAATTAGCAGAAGCATGTGAAGAAAATTTTGATAGTTTAATTTTTACTTCGTCATCTTATCCAGAAGTAGGGGTAAATAGATTTGGTGAATTTTACTTTTATATGTTTATATCATTTCATTATTGATTAGGTAAGTGATGGCAATGGATCTGAGAAGTATATGGAAATAGAAAAATATGGCATTGTAGATGTTAAGGGAGATGATGCTTTAGGTCGGAAAGTTATAGTAGTATATGCTTTTAGACTACCACCGCATGGGAAAATTGACCATGGATTACTGTTGAAGTAATTATTATATTTTGATATCCGATACACATTCTATTTTTTTTTATTATAGTTATCTAAAGTACACCCTAGAGTCCTATGTAGAACAAGACTATAGCCTTATATATTTTCACTATGGACTTACAAGCAAAAACAAGCCTTCTTTTACCTGGTTAGTTCAAGCTTACAAAGCATTTGATAGAAACTACAAGAAAAATCTGAAGGCTCTGTATCTAGTTCACCCTACAAGTTTTTTGAAAGTAGTATCCCAGGTATGTATATTTTAACTTTCTGTCATATTCAAAGTCTTACAGTATTTCTTTAGGTTTTAAGACCTTTGATTAGTGCCAAGTTTGGAAAAAAGTTAAACTATATACATAATTTGAAAGACCTGAATGATGTCGTGCCAATTGCCAAGTTAGATATTCCTATAGAAGTAATAGAGTAAGAAGAAAACTTTATTAATCTTATATGTTTCTAATTGGAGCTAATTTTAGACATGATAAAAAACTTAATGGTAGTTCTCCTATACCATCTGTTTCTGATAATCAGCCCGAAGCACTATCGCCGACCCAGCAATTTGGGGTAACTTTACAGTTCATTAAGGACAATTATAATGTGGTTATACCTCCAGTTGTTAAACAGTGTATAGAGTATTTAGATCAACCTGATGGTAAGTAAAGTATACATGTTGCACGGAAATATATTGATTTGTTTATGTATTTTCAGCCTTAGAGACAGAAGGAATATTTAGAAGATCAGCTAATATGAGCAAAGTAAAGGCGCTAAAAGAACAAGCAAATGCTGGGAAAGTACTCACATTTGAAGATCCACATGAAGCTGCTGTGTTACTAAAGAAATTTCTCAGGGAACTTAAAGAACCATTACTCACATACGAACTTTATGATGAAATAATGCAATTTCAAAGTACCTTTTACATAATTTTTTTTATAATTATTTCAATTTAATAATCTGTGTTATTGTAGGCTTTAGTAAAGAGGAACAGTTGAGAAATGTATCGATACTGGTAATGGAAAAGCTTCCAGAAGATAACTATAAAACACTTAAATACATCATTGATTTTCTTTCTAGGGTAAGTAAAGATTAGAATTTTAAAATTACATCGATAGAGTTACTTTATAAATATATTTGACGTTTCTTACGTCAAAACTAACTGTCACAGCGACACGTGTCGTACATGGTCAAGTTGGCCTTGGACCAATCTATGGACATACCAAATTGAATTTAAATCGGACGATTTTTTGATAGATGATAGAATCGGACGATTTTTTGATAGATCATTGATGATGGGGTTTCATAGTGCACGAAACGTCGTCAAAATATCATGAAAAGATGGGGCTCTTCGAGCCGACGCACTCTGTACACTGGGTGCGTCTCAAAAGTGACTCACCCCTATAACTTTTTTTTTCAGATAAAAAAAAACGAGATTTGGTTTATTAATATATGACATAAATTAGGATTGATTGACTTATTCAATTGTTTTCGGTCACTTCCGGTTTTACCGGATATGACTACAACTTTTGATTTTTATATGGCACCCTCGGTATATTTTTACGTTATTCGATAGAAAATAACACTCTGAATAGAATGACATATCATATGTCAACTTTTGATATTTTCGGTTAAAAAAATCGTATTTTAAATTTCAATCTAGAGTGGTGTCAATCTAGTCTATGGTTAAAAACACTGTGTTAGTCTGTGTTAAAAATACTAATTTTTAATCAAGGAGTCTTAGAAAAATGGATTTCATAGTCTAATGTTTTTCGTGTCTTGTCCTGGCCGATTAAAAGACGCCCAAACAGTATTTTTAATCATATCTCGTTTTTTTTTCAAATGGAACGAGAGTGACTCATTAGCATATTTGGAAAAGGCATTTTTTACGAATAATTTGGTACCACACACTTGGTATTCGAAACAAATTGTCAATTGTCGTTATGAATCGCATGTTACAATTTCAAATAAACCATATGCGAAATGTCAAAAGTTGAGATATATGTCATTCTATTCAGAGTGTCATTTTCTATTGAATAAAGTAAAAAATACCGAGGGTGTCATTTAAAAATCAGAAGTTGTAGACATTCCCCGTAACTGAAAACAATTGAATACGTCAATCAATCCTAATTTATGTCATATACTAATATACCAAATCTCGTTTTTTTATTTAAAAAAATAACCCGGTATACCCTTGCAATACAGGGTGTTTCAAGCAACTGGTTTGATTAAAAGTTTTTTTAGGTTTTAGTTTATATTCAAATGTTGTTTAAGTGCATACATAAAGTATGTACTAGGGTCTAGTTCAGTAAATTTTTTAACTTCTACAGGGTGGCTGAAAAATGTGTGAGTTGATTGGGATGATTGTTATTTTGTTTTGTTTTTTTAATAGGAACCTCTTTCTTAATCACTTACTTAGAGATATACGTTTTGATAATTTCAGAGATAAAAATTAATAAATGAAAAAAAATATATTTTCAGCCTTTTTTAAAAAAATATTAACAAAATAAGATTTGTCCTAAAATCAAATCGATGTTAGTTACTTACTAATAGTTGGTCTGTATTTGCTTTATTATAAATATCGAGAATCTTAAATCATACAGGGTTTTCAAAAATTGCATGCTATACTTTCTGTGCATTTTTTCATAAATGTATGTTTTTCGTCTTTTAATAATTCGATCTTTTTAGTTTATTTGCCATCCAAATATTTTTATAGAGTTTAATAAATCCAAAAGGTTTTTGTAAAGTTTCTTTTTTATAAAGTTGTGTGATAATTTAGTATTTATTATTTGAAATAAAACTACTTAGTTGAGTGTTCCAAATTAAACTTTTATTCTTCATATTAATATAAAGTTCATAAAATAACATGATGTAAAATAAACTAAGTATTGAACATTCCACGTTCGTATTGCTTTGTTATTCTACATTCGTTCTATATTTTTTACAAACTACTAAAATATTTGAATATCTAAACCTAATAATAGAAATTTCATAATTTATTACATTTCCTCCCTCTTAAAATTATAATAATTAAAAAAAAAAAAAAATATATATATATACAGGAGTTTTCTACGATATTCTCTAAGGTATCTCGGAAACTACTGGATATAGAGAGTCGGTTAAATGGGGAAAGAATTGCAGTTTTGTGGGGTCATAAATATGCGCCTTTCATATTTTTGAAAAAGTTCATGGCTTACTAGATATTTCGAAAAAAACAAATTTCGGCTATTTTAAAAATTGTTTCTAATTCCATTATAATCTATTTTAGACAAAAAGTTTTCAGATTAAAGTTGTAGATAATCACATCCTTATAGAGATTGTGTCCTCCGTTTTTTCTAAAGCCTGTCATTTTTGACATATGACACAAACATATGTTTTTTTAAATGGAAACCATAGTTGGCCATGACTTCATAAAAAGCGTCACTTTTTAAGCTTTTCAGCGATATAAGCTATGATATGTTTCTTTCGAAAAATTACTGAGTTATAGCCAATTCTTACAATTTTTAAACAATTTCACATAGTTAGCCATGGAAACAAGCTCAATCGTCGTTGCTATCTAGTAAGCCATGAACTTTTTCAAAAATCTAAAAGGCGCATATTTATGAATCCACAAAACTGCAATTCTTTCCCCATTTAACCGACTCTCTATCTTCAGTAATTTCCGAGAGAACATCCTAGAAAACTCACGCTAAAATATTTAACACATTTTATTTATATTTTTTTACAAAATTTACAAGATTATTTACAAAAAAGTGCCCAGTGGCGTAGATGTACAGGCTTTTGTCTACCAATCTCAAGGTAGTGGGTTCGATTCCCACACCCGGCATTGCATCAGCCGACTATTTTTATTAAAATAAAAATAGTTTGGGTACCTAGGTCGACTCAGCCTTAAATGAGTACTTGGGATTCACAATCCTGAGGTAATAATAGGCGGTTGAAGCGTAGTGCTAGCCACATTACCTTCCTTGTATACCGAACAGCTCTAGTATGGCAAGCTGTACCTTGCTACTCCCAAGGCGTTAAACACTATATACGGGAGCTATTATTATTATTATTTACAAAAAAAAATCTGTCACGGAAAAAATATCTAGATTTTCCAGTTAAACTATCCTGTTGCTTCAGTCTCCTGAACTAAAGTATTTTTAGAGTTTAAACGACTTACATGTAAGGAAGTTCAATCACAGAATATACACCATACAGAAGCGACAAAGAGCTTTGAATAGCATTGGTCAAATGGGAACTAATTGCGTGACGTCACGTTTGACATCCGTGCGCCTTGAACAGCATTTCACACTGAAAGAAAATTGTTAGATTTTAATAGAAAATGATGAAAGGCAGGTTTATTTAATTTTAAAAACTAGAGGGATTTAAATCAGTGTTTTTATTTAGAATTAAAAATAAATAAATAATTATGAAATATATTTTTTAGTCTTTTATGCATAATATCTAGAAATAATTATACCTGCGGTCGTGAATTTTTTTTTGGTGTATAATTCTTTGACGTCACGTTTGACAGTTAACCAGCATTACCCCCTCCTAAAAATTTTGAAGCAAATCTCTTTGTCGCTTCTGTATGGTGTATATTTTGTGGTTCAATCCTCAATTATACGAGATAGCCCCGATTTTAACCAAAGTTAAAATATTAATAAAAAAAATAGTGCTTACTTCAAGCAATCACTTTCCAGCGCAACACTCAGTGCTTTTAATATGGCATTTTTCAACTCATTCTGTCAACTCATTCTGTCAAGCAGAATGGAAACTTAAATGGCAGGCTGTCAAATGACCTAAAACAAAATTTTGTTTTCCACAGCCTGCTACCGTTGATTGAAAGAACTGTGAAGATGCGCAACCTAATGGGCAAATTCGTGACAAGGCTGATTTGATTTCCCCTTACGTCTCATGTGCTGTATGGTGGCGACACCACAATCGCTCTGCGGTCAACGCATAAAACACTCATTTTCTCTAATTCCGCTAGCCAGGGCATTTCGATTTCGGTCGTATTCGGTCCGGGAGCTGAAAGCGACAGTGTTGTCATATTAACATGTGAAATATCTTTAATAAGTTTGACGAAAATATCTTTGGATGAAAAATCCGCGTTTATGTATTGAAAATTTATTCGTGTTAAACATAGAATAAACAACAAAAATAAATATTCTAAAAATAACAAAACATTTTTATTTTTCAGTATCTCTTATTTCATGTACAAGAATATATTGTGTTTGTCAAAAACTCTAACGTGATTGGTCGGGCTTAACAGTTGCCTGCTAGGGCTAGACACAAGTATTTTAACAGTTTTTGATTCATAATTCGAACAATTCCAATCCAATCAGATGATAATTAAATAAAAAAAAACTTTTTGATAAAAAATTGATTTTTTTTTTCTTCTTATATTAAATTACTTTTTACAAAAATTACTATTACTTTTACAAAATAAAAAAAAATAAAACAAAAACCTTATTTACTCGAAATTTAATAAATTATTCACTCTAAGGTAGAAAAAACGCAATAATTTTTTGTTTCAATGTACCCAAACATAACAACAAAAGTTTAAAACATTTCTTTGTTCACAGAAACTCCCAAATTTGTACAAAATTTTCCCGAAACTCATCTGTAAAATTATTGTATAAACGAAATATTTTTTTCCAAATATAGTAGATACCGAGATATATTTTTTTCTTTCTAATAATAAGGAAAAAATAAAAAACTGAAAGGCGGAGGACCTTCCCATTAAAATTAAGGGCTCATACTTGGAGAGATTTTTTTGAGGTGTCTACCAACCTTTTTCAGAGTATAAAGTGAAAAAAAAATAGTCGATTTTTTATCCACCCTATAGTATATACATAGTATGTAATTAAAAAAATAAATAGGTAAAAACCTGGTAAAAACTAATATTAATTAGACAATAAACGTTATATTAAAAAACAAATGAATTTATAAGTAAATATAATAAATGGGTACCTATAAGTTAATACAAAACAAACAAGGGTGTGTTTACTGCAATATACAAAACAAACAAGGGTGTGTTACAACTATTTCTTACTTTCAAACTTCAAAAAACTTCCTGCATTTATTATTATATTTACCAATATTTATCAATTTAACTTATGAAAAAATTAAAAGGATCTGGTCCACTTTAGGTACGTCAAAATTTTAAAATTTTCTATACAGAATTGAGAAGAGGAACACTTATAATGACATTTTGTAACAAAAAAAAGTGCGGATCGTCCATAAATAACACCAAAAACAAACCCCCCAAAAAGAATGTTGTATTGGTTGTAACCAATGCAATCAAAACTCAGTTACGGCGGACGTTTTTACCATTGTGATCCTCCTCAACACAGATCAAAATAATATCTATTCTTATCAGCTTAATATCGCTACCGCTATTTTTCAAAATTAATAGGAAAGTATAAATAAAACAAAATTCCGATTTTCAATAAATTAAAATTAATAATTAATTAATTAATTTAATTAAATTAAACTAAATTCTAACCTCAAAAAATAAATAATTTTATTGCAGAAATCTCAAACATTTAGCCGAGTATCCGTACGATCCGTACTTAAAACGTTAAAACATTAATTGTGGAATATATTAATATCAAATTTACATCAATAACTTCAAGATTGACGACGCGACGTACCTAAAGTGGACCATCACCAATAAAAAAAGTTTTAAAATTGCACAGGAATAAATAAAACAAAATATTTTATTAATACACAGTTTTGAAACACAATATCCGTATTACATTCATTTTCCGCAGTAATACTCTCACGTCTACGCAGTATATACGTAAGTAATTTCTACGCCACCGCTATGCATCCACTCCGACGACTGAAAGAATACTGAATTAGGGTACGGGGAGTACGGGGCACGGGGTACGTTACAGAATCAGCGCAGAGCGGCGCGCGGCGCAAAGCTAAACTAAAATTCTTGGACAAGCGGCGACGGTGTGGCCAGCTACATCTCGGCCAGGTTTTCTGCCACGAAATCACCCATAAGGTTGCGCATCTTCTTATTTCCTTCAATCAACGCTGCTACGAGTTATTTATTTGCAAAAGAAACGCTACGAGATGTAACTAATTCATTATTATTTTTTATTAAGTTGGAATGTTCTAAAGGAGATAATATTATCAAAAATAGCATTTCTAAAGGTTACTTTTTACCACTTAGATTTCAATTCTAGCCCTGTGTGCATCTGGAAAAACGAATTGAGAACCCCAGTACTTTCAATTGACTTCGGAAATACTATAGAAAACTGTATTTTTTAGGTGATGGAAAGATCCGATCTCAATAAAATGAATGCGCAAAACTTAGCTGTAGTGTTTGGCCCCAATTTAGTATGGTCTGACCTACTATCCATAACATTGGCTTCTATTGGACCTATAAACATGTTTACCCAATTTTTACTGCAGCATCACAACGAAATTTTTATGATTTAAAGAAAAAAACACAGTAAGAATTTTAGGAAGCCCCTGTGATGGATTTTTTTTATTTAATATAGTACAGCGAGGACAAAATATTGGCAATTTCAGAGAAACAATGCGATCCGGCGTTAGAGTTGATTTAGAAATTACGATTGCTGTCATTTTATATGTAAAATGTGTGGAGAAAGTCATCTATTATTTCCGGGCAAACTTGGCCATCTTTTTTTCAATCATACCTTTGAATAAAAAGATTAAGAAAGGAGTCTATTAAAAATTTTAGATCGACAGCGACGGGACTCTAAAATGGCAGACTTAAATTCCGGTTTATCAGTGCCGTTCTAATTTTATTCAAAACGTGTAAAAATATGATGTAGGGTAGACGTGGGTAGGTAGACTCAATAATTTGTTTTATTTTAGGTTGTCAATAAATGTTGGTAGTTTTTAAAATTGTTATAAAAATATATAATTCTTATAAAAATAATTAAGTTTGGTTTGATTAAATAATAATTATTTATTAACACAAACATCCGATTCGCTACTGAAGCAGGTAATCAAATTGACGTATCTAGATTCTTTAACATCTAATCTTTGATAAGTAGTAAACAAAACTGAACAATATACATACAATAGCATTATACTCCTTCTTAATCTTTTTATTCAAATCATCATGCAGTATTTATTACACACAGAATAGAATGATCATAATTAAAATCTGAAAATTATATGTAATTTAACCAAGTCATATCTGTGTGTAAAAAAAGTTTTTAATATTTCTGAATTTGCTTTAATTTGTCTGGTACTGTGTATGCAAGTCTACATTAACTTAAGTTGTTTAAAGAGACTATATAGTGTCACAAATTACATATACAAATGTACAAATATACATAATTATATTAATATAGAATGAATTCTAATATATACAGCGGGTTTATCATAAATAGTTTGTTGTTACAAGAAAACTGGTTGTCCCATACAATTAAAGAAATAATACAACAGACTGATATTCTGTTTTTATTTAAATAGGGTTTATAAAGACAGATATACTGAAATATTTCATTCACAATTATTGAATTAAAACTTACGTTCCATTTCTTATTAAAATATATTGAGGGTTCAGATTTTTTATTTTCATTAATATTAATCAGTTGTATCTTTAAAATTATTTGTAATAAATATATACCTAGAATCGATTTTACAAAAAGAAGCTGTTTTGATTACTGCTAGGTATGTATACTATATTTTTTTATAATTTAGAAATGTATCTTATTTTTTAAAATATTACACTCAGAAAATATAACAAGTAAACCACAATAAAATTGTGATACCTTTACATATTTGGTGTAATATGCATGTATTCCAATGTTAAGCTTATACAAATTCTAAATAAAAGCATGAAGACTTAAATCCCACTTAGATTGTAGAGACAAAATGATTATAGCCATTTTATATTGGGAAAATAGAAGTTGGTCTTGTATTAGCATTGTAAAAAATTTTAACGTTAAATATTTAAGATTAACTTCTAAAACTGTAGTCAAAATACCAAAGAAAAAAATATATATTCTTTACACAGATAAATGTTAGACATTTCATAAAATTGTAGATGTATTAGAATTTGTTAAACAATTAATGCATTTAATTCAGTATTAACAATGTTTTCTTTTTAATAATACTATTTTTGTACATTTAGAATTTTTATTTTAATTAATTGTTTAAGCTAATATGTTGTACAATAAAACTTAAGAATAAAATGTGCATATACAATAGATTTTCCTTCTTAACCAACATGGAATCTTATACATAAGTACTAAATAATGCCACTCACAACTTACTATTGTCTTTAGTAGTAGCTACATCAAGATTTGCCAAACGTTCTTGAATTGTTTCAACCTAAAACAAACAATTATTAGTAATGTTAAAGCAATTTATTATACCTACTATAATACGTACTGTTGTAAACCACCATGAATTAGGTTGAAACATTACTCTATGCAATAGAGACATGCTACTGGCTGGAGATATTGTATGTAAGTGCAAATGGTCCACTGTATTAAAAGGAGGTAGATGAAATCCTATTCTTAAGTCATTTGTGTCACCACCCTCTTGTTCTACAATCCTCTTACCCTCGGAAATCATTTCATCCACTAAACAAGAATTGCAGGTAAATATCTAGTAAGTGATGATTTCTATACAAACTTACAAAGATCTTTATGATCGTTCTTGCTCAAACTATTCACATTTTTTAAATGCTCTTTGGGCACTGACAAATAGTGATGCTGTGCAGCCGGTTTGATATCTTTAAATATAATTATATTTTCATTCTCAAATTTTATATCTGCTGGGGCACTCTTTGTTATGATTTTACAAAATATGCATTTTGATGGCATCTTAAAGGAGAGCAAATATGTATTAACACAGTCAAATATTAAAATACATACCTATATTTACTTTATATATTTTTTGGGGCAATAAACTAGCTGAGAAATGTTTCAAGGAAGCAGTAAAAACATTTAATGAAACGAGACTATGGGCGGCCTTTCCATAAACTAGACTGTGGTGAACACTGAACGATAAACGAAACTCTCTCAATCAAGGCATAAAATCAAGGTAACAACAATAATATGTCAAAAGTGACGTTAAAACAGGCTGTTTAATGTAAATCAGCTGTTTTAAACAGCTGATTTGTTCAAAGATCAAAATGAGATCAAATCGGAATTTTCTTTTGTCTGCGATTCTGCAACCAGTTATACATTCCAATATATTTCCTTGTCTCTGCTATTTTCTGAAACTTATTATTTCTAGTATTTTATGCATGTATAGTAGGAATATATGAAATGGTACAAAAATTATATAAAGTATAAAAATACAGCAATATGAATTTATTTTATTTAAATGTGAAATACAAACACAATATTATCCTAAATGCCTTATTTTTAGTTTCATAGATGATCTCTGATGATATGATCATAAAATTTGTTTCTTAATTTGTTAAACTGTTGGTCGCTCCATAAATAACGTAATATAAATTAATCAATTAGGTGGTTGTAATTTATACCAGCCAATAATTTTTAATAACAAATTAATTTTTAATTCAAATTAGCAATTTCAAAATAGCAAAATAATTTTTAATAGCAAATTAAAATTATTATAAATTATCAATTACAATGTGAAATGTATTGAATACTTTTAGTATGTAATTTATTAATTAACATAAAATTAATACAATAGCTTTCATTAATATCTACTCCATCAATATTTCTTCAATAGCATTATCAGTTTCTAAATGGGTAGGTTGTTGGGCCTCCTCTAAAAACTGTCTTAACTCAGTCTCCAAATCTGGTTCGGGATCTGGTATAGATGGAGGCACTGTTACGCCCAATGCCTTTCTAATGGCTGACACAGGAGCAATAGCTCCAGGTAGTACTTTTTTAGAGATTTCAGTAAGATTTTCCACACACTGATCTGCTAAATTACTTTCATCTTGAGTAGGTCGTGCAATATTATGCAAAGAAGACGGTAGAGATTGCGATAGTCTTTCATACTGAGTTTTTTGTAATTTTTCTAATAACTGGCACATGTCATTTAATTTTTGTTGCATTTCGTGTCGTTCTTCGCTCTGTTTAATCTCGTCTTCCATCGCATCTAAGAAATTCACGTCAATACCAATTTCTTGAAGTGATTTAAGTTCATCAACATTAACTTTCAGAGTATCAGTTGTGGTCTCTAAAATAGTTCTCACTGCATTTTCCTCGTCCTTAAGACGTTTGCCCTCTTCTATAGTAGATTTTGTTTTTGAGTGATCTCCTCCTGATAAGAGATCGAGGAGTGAATCCACTAATTGCTCACCATAATCGCAACCTTTTACAAAGTCCTGAATACTTTCGGCATACTGTACAGCTGTATCACTTCCGTAGGTCCTTAACACCAGAGCAGATTCCTCCTTGGTTAGGTTTGCAAAAGCAGAATCATGACTTGGAGCATAAGACCCAAAGGCTCCATAATATAATGACTTTACAGGTCGGGCTGTATTGCGCCGATCCTCCCTAAAACCCTGTAGATGAGCTGAACCATCGGACAGTCTGCCAACCAGTGATCCCAAAGGTGCCAATAATTTTCTCTTTCCTGCATTATTGCCTACTAAAATAGCCAGTTGAGCAGATCCATCACGTCTGGTTCTTAAATATCCTATAGAGGGGCCTTGCCCTTTAAGTTTTGCTTTAGCTAAACGTGCTGCATTGTTAGCTTGAGCCAAAATCTCTTCAGGCGTAAGGGGCTCTTTTGAACCAATTTTTGTTATACCCTCAGCTTCATCTCCTGATTTAACACCAACTGCACTTCTCATTTCGGGAGTTATTTCAAATCCAATTTCTTCTTCAGTCAGATCTGGAGCAATTTGTAATAAATGCACCAATTTATCTTGTTGAAATACTTTTAGACCAGCTTGTAGTAATTTTTTACTAGCTTTAAAATAAACTGTGTCAACATGATTATATTTCATTGCATTTTCACACATTAAACTAAAATCCTCTATAAATTCCTTAATCCTTTTATACTGATTTTCCTCTACTTTTTGTCTCATGGTACTAAAATCCATAGGTTTTGAAATAATGCGAGAATATCCTGGTGCAATATTATCAGTTACTGGCCATGCAAAAAAATTGTGTGAATCTTTCTTTTCTAGTTGATTTAATAAGTGATCCAATGCTTTAGATAAAGACGAACGTTCTTGTATTTTTTTGATTACACAACTTCTTTGTTCTCTTTGTGAATTTGGTGAACCTAGTAAAGGATATACTCCAAGAAGTGTATCCATTTCTTCAATATTTTCATCTTCTACATCACCCCGTTTCCTTTTCTTATCCTTATGATGATGTTTGTGCCTTCTTTCGCGATCTTTTTCTTTTTTCTTCTTTTTTTTCTTGGATTTCTTATGATGACCATGATACAACGGATAAGCCGAGTCATTAGGGACTAAACTGAACGAAGAAGAGTCTTCTGTTAAATTCTGAACATATTCTTCTTCATGTTCTGGGGTGTTATTTGATCCCACCTTTAAGATTAATTTCAACCCTGGTTTATCATCTCGATCTCTTCTATGCTTTTTGTGTTTTTTAATACAGGCAACTTGATCAGAAACATTATTATCCATTTTTCTATTGCTCCAATAAATTCTTTATTTATGATGAAAATTCAGTTCTGGTGATTGCTTTTGAACTATAAAAAATGTGTTTCTGTATATCGGCAAACTACAAAATATACACCTATATTTACCCTTTTAAATATTTTACAGCGTTTCAGAGAACACTAGAACCATTCATTAAAATGAAAAATTAAACCATAATAAAATAATAACAGCAAACAGCCTAGCATCTCACAATTTTTTCACAAACAACAAACAACTGTCAACTGTCAATTGTCAATAAAAATCAATGCGTCCAACATCTCAAAATTAAATGTACCTACACCAAATCACAAAGGTTCTTTTTAGATTCTCAATTTGTGGACATTGTGTGTCACTTGTCTGTTGTCAATTTGTGCTTGTCAAACATTTTCGGCAGTCGGCAAAAATACGTAAGTAACGTAAAGTGACCGTAATCACCTTCAAAAATATTTAAAATAGAACTTCAAACAGAATTATTTCTAGTGCATTTTAAACTTCTTCATAGATTCCGTTTTTTTGTTTGCAGTCAAATTATATATGTTGTACAAAATGCAACCTTTTACCGCTTTTATGGTAAGCATTTCATAACCTCAATAATTATGGCGCTTTTTAAAACTAAATTTGTAGAATGTAGAAAGCTCTCGATCTTATATTGATGATTTATATTCACAAGATTTCAACAAATGTTTAAACTCCATCATTTGTATTAAAAACTCTGTAATTGGATCAAACCGACAGAAGGAGAGTGTTATTTCCCAAGGCATTGTTCCGAGGCTCATATATTTATTAAAAGATAAAAATATAAAGAACGATGTGAGAACTGAAGCCGCTATAACTATAGGTTCCCTTGCAAAAGGCACAGAAGACCACATAGAGCTTCTAATAAATTCTGGTGTAGTTCAAAGTCTTCTAGAAGTTTTAGAAGAAGATGATCCAAAGCTAATTAATGCTTGTTTATGTTGCCTAAGGACTCTCGCAAGTCAAGAACACCACTTAATTAATTCTAAGTTTTCAACAAAAAATATTCAGAAATTGCTCTCTCTTGGTAAGTTAACATATATTATTATTAAGATTTTAATACATGTAATTTTTAGTTGGACCCACAGAATCTCTTCAAAGACAATCTTGTATAGCAACCATATTAACCTCGTCATGCAAAACTGTAAATGAACAGAATATTTTATGCTCAGTTGGAGGACCTTTAGTACTGGGTATTTAATGAAATATTTTTAATTTTAATATAATTATTACATATGGGCAAATTGTGATATTCTTTTGCAGCATCTCTATTATCAGTCGATCACCCATCTGTTAGAATTCCTGTCGTTACATGTTTAGCATCAATGTGTTTTGATAATCGTGATGTTGCCAAAGAAATAGTGAATACTATGTATAAAGATATTAAGATTACAGAATACCTTGCCGGAATGGTGTCTAGAGAAAAGCCAACTGAAATGCAATTGGAAGCTGCAAGGTATACAGAAATACTATTCGTTGATATATACTTAATATAATTACACAAAATATTTTTAGATGTTTAACAAATTTACACAGAGCAGATGCTATATCAGCAAATGACCCTATAATTACTTATAAAACACTGCCGTGTCTAGTAAGGCTTTGTCAGGTAATGGTATTAATCTACATGATTTTTTAGGGTTTTTATAATCTCTAATTTATAGTTTGAACATAGCGAGTCTCACAGAATAGTAGCTGCAGATACTTTAGCTTATCTTACTGAAGTAGATAGTAATTTGCAACAGGTTGCTGCCATAAGCAATCAGTTAGTGAATGCTCTAGTGGATTTGTTGGAAAGATCTACGGTAGCAGCCAGAGCAGCTGCATTTAGGTAAGAATCTTGTTTGTCTTAGACTTGTTTTTTTTAATTATTTTTTTTTGTTTGCCAAATAAACTCTAAACATATCTATGAATACAGATGTGCTCAAAGCAGATGAATATGTCAAAATATGTCATGTCAGTTTGACTTCCATACAATTTTTTAAAATAATAAGAATATCAAAAGCAATGACAATAAAAAAAGAATTTTGTCTTATTTTTTTTAATCAGTGCAAAAAGCATTTTTCTGTATTTATTAGCTTTTTTGCCTTTTATTAGCTTTTGCCTTTTATTTTCTTATTCCTATAACAGCAGAAATCCCAACCATATTTATTCTGGGTTTACAAGAGATATGGCTCATTTTATAAATAATTTATTTGGAAATTTATTATAACCCAACATTTGAATATTTGATTTAAGAAGCAAAATAATATTTGTTCTCACCTTTGAATAAGAAGAGTAAGGAAGGAGCATAATGCTATCCATGTATTCATGCATGGTGGGTGGAAAAAGCTCTCTAGGGTGGGGATCCTTGACAGTTCTGTTTGACGATTCATTTGACACATTTGAATTTGATTTGAAATTTTCTGGATGTCAGTCTTTACGGAGCTTATTTTATGTTATTTATTATTTATTCTACTACTGATAGTTGTATGAAGGTAGTAAATCTAGATGAAAATTGTGGCAGAACTTAAATTAACAGTGACATTATCGCGATTTATCGAAAAAGACTCTAAAATAGTTGGTTGTGTAGCGTGCGGTAGATCTCGGCAAAAATTGAATGAAATAATGGAACAACTTTTCGCTAGTAAGTGACTATATAATATACATACGTGCAGTAAACCGATCATTTATGAAATTCACTTAAATTAACTAAATTATATATTTTCTTGCATTTTAGCTTTTATTTGCTACTTGTCAAAGATCAGATGTCAAAGAATTTTGATACGTTAATTTGACTTACCTGCTTCAGTAGCGTATCAGATGTTTGTGTTAATAAATACTTATTATAACTTATCTATTTTTATTAGAATTATATATTTTTATAACAATTTTAATAACTACCAACATTTGAAAAAGGAACCGTAAACGTCAATGTCAGCCAAGTGTCAGAGTTCAATTGGATTTACCACAGATTATCAATTTGAACGATTTGAAGTACAGTCGATTCCAGTTTAGAGATTTTCGTTTTTTAAGCCTCCCATACTGAAGTCCGCCATATTGGGAAGTTTTAAATGAATACAAGTATACCTAAGATTTTTGATATGCTCCTTCCTTAGTCTTCTTATTCAAAGGTTCTCACTTAAATGCATTTATTTATACGTTATAAGGCATATCTGATAAAAAGTAGTGTTTAATTATTTTTATGACTTTATTATATGTAATAATTTTTATAAAAATATTAAATATGTATGTATATATTTTTTTTAATTTGGCGGAAAATACATGTAAAAAACCATAAAAATTCTAAAGGCGCATTCTCACGACTCGTGTACTTGACAAACATTTGTTACTGGAATATACTCGCCATGTCCTGAGAAAGTGAGAACTGTTTCCTTGTGCAATTATTTGTCACTCGTCGCGTTCCCACTCTCTGTCGGTAAACATAGCCCGAGTCAAAGGATCACAATTATTCATACACTTGCTAAGTGTAGCCTTGGCTGTAGTTGCCAAGGCGCTCAAACGACTGCACAAATAATTGTACTGTTATAGCGTATGTACCGTTTATTTCCGGATCGTAGTGTTAGGAGATTCATAGTTGTGTCGAGTAATAGATTATATAATATCCTTATAATATCAAATTTACATTAATAACCTCAATATTGACGACAATACCTAAATCGTTCCTTGGACGAAAGAGTGGACAAATGAAGACTACACAAGAAAAACCAGGTATGTCACATTTTCATAGAAATTATGATAGCGATATACAACCTTATAGGCAAATGTTAGCGTCATTTGAGAAAAAAGAAAGCAATAATACGCTTAGTCCCAGAGATATTACATCTTGGTTATTTTGCCATACAAGGGACCAGAGTAATTCACGCGTAAATGTAGTAAATTTATGTATTCTGAAAATAAACTACTTAAATATTAATTTTCTCCCTACAACAAAAAAAAATAATAGTTTAGATTTAGCTTTTATACAACCTTTAATTGGACATCCCTGGTTGTTCCCCTGTTTTGTTTTGCATTTTGACATTTTTATTTCCGTATTTCAGAATATCGCGATAATTAACAATATTAATAATTCAGAATTGGTAGTAATATATATTTTTCTAATTATTTAGTCGAAAATAACATATTTCTTTAAAAACACTAAATTGTATTTTTCTCGGCTCCAATTAAAATGGACAAAACTGGTTTTTCCCGTGTAGTCTTCAAATGATGTTGTTTTGGAATTTATAGATTTATACAAAAATGGGCCCCTTCATATGGATGGCCAAACATAAAGAACATAGAAATAGTATTGCAGTGTACAGTAAAAGAACTTAAAAAGTAAAAAGAATCAATAGCAACGACAATTTCGGGACGACCGGTATCCATGGATGTGACTATACTGTTTGCTTGTCAAGGATTTAAACAATGTTTATGCTGGCGTACTTGTTGAAATGGACACGTCGCGCGTCGTGTGAGCTCCACACTTGCCAATGTTGTTTACAAGGTGGGGATACTTGCCAAGTACGCAAATATTGGCGTACCTACCAACTAGGCGAGTCGTGAGAAAAAGAAGAATAATGACATTTATCTTTGTTTCTAATATACATTTTCTATTATTACTGCCTAATACATTCTACGCATAATAATAATAACACTTCATAGATAAATAAAACAAGTTTAGATTGGAAAGTGCCTATAAGAACTATGTAAACACTATTTGGCGTTAATCTTGCAACAGTCGCGACCAAAGCTTTTGAAAATTTCGGAGCAGTTCGGCTTTTTTCGGAATTATATCGCCAAATCTTATTTATTCAAATTTATTATTATTTTCTTTTAAAAATTTAAAAATAAAATACAGTGTGTTGCATACAAGAAACTTTATTTTATATAAGGACATGTCGTCACCCTAGAATAAGATTGTTCTATAGAGCATTTCGATGAAACTGAGAAAACAAGGTTTAAAGTTTAAACTGGATATCCGTGAAAACTATATACCAAAATGGTTCTATTAAACATATAAATTAAAGGCAATATAAAAACCTATCAAACATATGTATTTATTTTACTTTTAGAAGATTTATTTAAAGGATGTTAGTGATATTAGATTTGGATATAGAACAAATGTGTCTATTAGCTGTGCATTGAGCCGATTTTAGTGATATAGAACAAAATAAGGGGATATAGAATAATATACTCATTTTAAGCTGATTTATTTGTATTTCAAAATATTATTTCAACACAAAATAACTGAAGTGGAGACATTAAGACATTAACCACTTAAATTGAACTATTATTAATTGAATTAAATTGAAGATAGCAATAATTTCTTTGAAAATGGACGCTTTAAACACTTCGGAATTTTTTCTATGAGAGCGTGTTAGATTTTGAAAAATTTACAATTTTTGAAGATTCTGACTTTCACAGGAGATATGGACAAGAGAAAATTATTTTTGTTTTTGTTTGCGGTTGTTCTTAGCAACCGCTGCAGCAGCGCCAGATCGCGTACAACGGTCGCGATCCAAAATAATTTTGTTACCCAAAATGTTTACGCGAATTGCAATCTAAACTTATTTAATTAATTAAATAATAACAATTAATTATCTTTATTAATTACTTAATAAAAACATTTTTTCTAAAAATTGAATTTTAGTTTGACGTTCAGTCACAGTAAGCGCTAGTATCATACAAATTGGCGGGAAATATAAATCGCTTATCTAAATCCCTTTCTTTATCTATAATTTGAATCTAATTATTTCAGAGCCTTTGCCTCTCTAGGAGCTAACGATGAAGATATTAGAAAACGGATAATAGATACGAAATGTCTTATTGAAAGGGTGGTTGAAGGTCTCTCTGACAGCAATAAAGAAATTAATTTGGCATCAGTGCGTTGCTTGCACTCGTTGAGCCGCTCAGTACAACAGTTAAGAACTACTTTCCAGGATCATTCTGTTTGGAAGCCTTTGATGACTTTGTTAACAGGTAAGGCACAATAAACTATTGTACAAGGTGACCCAAGAAAAGCGCCACATCAGATTTTTCTACTGATATTTTCAGTCCAACTTTTTATGTAAAATATACGGAACATAGCTCTAGCTCATTTTAAAAATATCTGTAGACATACTGAAGTTATATCTTTTAATGGAGTTGGGACGTCAAGTTGCAAAACTCGTCTTATCTCAAAAACGTTGTTTCGAGATAATACACAAAAACTGTTTTAGTAAATATTTGAAGCGTTATTTTACCAAAAAAAAAACGTGTCCATTGAGTGGAATCATTGTTTAGTATCTGTTTTTTCTAGTAATAAAAATTTATATTAAAAAACTCAGAAATAATTCGAATAAGTCAGATTTTGTTGCAGTATAATGCATATTGCGGATTTTGCTACAGCAAGATATTTGCATCTTAACTTGGAATTATTAGATATACTATTTTTAAAATTAGGTAAAGATTTGAAATGAATAAGACATCTGTAGTAACATTATACTGGTATAAAAAGGGTATGAAAAAATGCAGGATTTGCAACAATCATGACAATAAAATGCAAATATAAATGGATAAGACGGATTTTGCTGCATTAGTGTAATTTGTAGTTACTTTTATATATGAATAGGCGATTTTTGCTGCAGTTTGGGACTATGTTTATGTATATTTTAGCGTCCACTAATTATATATGTCATTAGGCCATTTTTTAGGGTTCCGTACCCAAATGGTAAAAACGGGAACCCTATTACTAAGACTTCGCTGACCGTCCGTCCGTCTGTCACAAAGGTCTACTTTATGAACCGTTATAGCTAGACAGCTGAAATTTTTACAGATAATGTATCTATGTTGTCGCTATAAGAACAAGTACTAATAACAGAATTAAATAAATGTTTACAAATAAAAAAGTACTTTCACTAAACATGATTGTTTAAGTAAGAATTTTACATAGAATCTTTCAAGTCTTCAGTGGCCGCGTGGTTAAAGCGTTAGGACTTTACGCTGCTATGACGTTGGTGCCATAGTAAGGCAGGTTCGAATCCTAGTCAAGGCGACTTTTTTTAATCGTTTTTTTTTAATTTTGACATATTTTTACATATTTATTTTTACTTTTTACATATTTATTATTGATTAATACAATTTTTAGTAATGTGTTTCTTCATTTTTTTTTAAATTACTTATACGCGCATTCAAAATTTCAGCTAAATTGAAAAAAAATAATAATATAGTGTCTAATGTTGTATAAATAGATCATGAATGGTGCGGAACCCTTCGTGCGCGAGTCCGACTCGCACTTGACCAATTTTTTTAAATGGATAAGCCAGGTTTTGCAACTTGACGCATTAATTCTTCACTATTGCTCATATATTCTACAAAATAAAGATTAACTTATAAAATCTCTATGAGAAAAATTGATATTATTGAAAACGTATATTTTGTATTGTATAAAAATATGTTTTTAGATGATCCAAGTCCAGAATTACTGTTGGCAGCATCTTCTACACTGTGTAATCTTCTGTTGGAATTTTCACCGGCGAAGGAACCAATCTTACAACAAGGTAAAATTGTTTGGCGAGTGGTAAATGGTGGGGGGGAAGGTAGATGAAGAGCCGCTAATAATTTATTATCATGTTACAAAGAAAGGAAGGTATATTGCGCAGGTTGGTCGCTACGTCACAGGTAATATCAGCACCATTGGTCGGCAAATTGTCAAACTGATGACACATAATATATGTGAAAATTACTTTTCAAATGTCAAGCTCATAATGTGAAGTAACTCTTGAGGTTTTGTCCTAATTCTTTCCTATTTTATGTCTTTTTCTATTGGTGGCAATTAAAGAATATGGATATTTTTGTATAGCATAGTGACGTCACATGTGATCGCAAACTGAACGAAATTGTAGCCGCTATCTATTATACCTTGTTTTCTTTGTATCAAGATTTATTATAAGGTATTTTTCGCGACATACATATAGAGGGTTCAGAAGTCAATGGGTATAAGCCAATGAACAATTGATGTCTGCATTTCCTTAATATTAAAGAAAGGCGCAGACGAGAAAATGTCATACATATACCGATTTGGTAAAAAAAATAAACTATTTTAAAAACTTTCATGTATACTACTGAAATAAAGATAATATACATATCTAAGCTAAATATGATCTATTACATCTGTAGTAAAATGATTAATTAATTGTGAAAAATAATGTTCCAACCATAGATGCAACATTTTTCATAAACGCCTACTTGTGCGGTTTGAACTTTTGATTCAAAATCCGGCAATACCGCATAGAAGAAATGTATCAACCGAACTTTTACCTTTTTTTAATACATTTTATTTTCCATTATGCTGTCTACACTGTCTCACATGTTAAAATCCAGACCACACTTCTAAAATGACCAAATCGGTATGGCAGGTTGTCTGGTTTTTCTACTACTTGAACTCCCCACCATTTGAAGACTTATGTATGTAAACGCGAAAATGAGTTGTGTATGCTTAATTCTAGTTTTGTTTCCAATAAAGATGTTGGAGTTATTATTTGCTTCCCTATTATGTCATACTGGACTTGGAGTTTATTATAATGTTTACCAAATCCAGATTATCCATCATTACAATTAACATACACACTCATACTATATAGACGGAGAGCTGGCTACATAAAAAACGTTATCATCGTTACATGGCTAATTTTTCTTGGGAAGTATCCTTTTGTGTAGTCATTGTGAAATAGTCATGTCTGCCAGCCCGATCCCGGTGCTTAAAAGGGGGGGGGGCAATCGAAAGGGTGAAATTTTGACACTAAAAATATTATAAGGTTAGCTTTTATTTGTTATTAAGAAACGTAAAATTGTTGACAAACATGTTTCTCGTGGCTAAAATGTCGGCAGACAACTCGAAAGAGGCATGGAATTTTGACAAAAAAATTATCGCATACGTGCGTGTCGATTGGTGGGATGTCGTGTTTATTGTTTATATATTTAAAAAGCCGTATGCAAAGGGCAGACCAAAAAATCGTGGTTCAATCAGCGGTAGACAAAAGCGCGACATTACTCTACAGGGTGAATCTTGAATAAGAGCAAATATTTTCAGAGCTGGTAGATCTCAATCAAAGATGTCAATAAAAGAAACATTTTCTTTTTATCGTTTTCCAAATAAGTCCAAAATAACCAAATTATTCAAGTTTGAAAATTTAAAAAGAAATTGATTTATTTTTAGCCACCTGTTTTTTTCTGTATTTGCATCCATTCTTTTAGTGTGTAGCCATAGACTAAAGCCGTAAGCATGATAGGTTAAGAAATAATTATACCGTGGGTAAATTTGCGGTAAATAGGCAATTCTAAAAAGTTTTCTAAAATATACAGGAAAATTTGCAAAAATGCACGATTTTCTACATCTTCTTTTGCGAAAAAAAACTCGTAGATGTATTCCTGTGGTCGAAATATATCACCCTTAAAAGTATTTACATTTATTTAAGACTCACACTGTAAAACCGTTTTCAGGGAATGCTCGCCGCGTTATTAATTGAAACATTAAATTTTACGGTGCAGATATCGACTCAGAGGAAGACTTGTTTACCAGAGCGAGGATCTGCAGTACGATGAGTCGGATACAAATAATGAGACAGAATAGTAAATATATGATATCTGTTATTGAAATAATAAAAAAATGTATTTATAATACAATTGTATACATGATAAATATACTATACTTAAATGGATGAGGCGGCGAGCGTTCCCTGAAAGCACTAGAGTAATATCGCGCTTTTGATAACTGTCTGCAGCTGATTTAAGCACGATTTTTTTGTCTGTCCTTTTGCATACGGCTTTTGCAATAAATAAATATGACATACCACCAATCGGCATGCATGTATGCCATAATTTTTTCCATTCTTCAAATTTAATTTTTTAATAATTTTTAAAATTTCATGCCTCTTTCGCGTTGTTTGTTGGCATTTTAGCGACTGGAAAATGTTTGCCAACAATTTTCCAGGTTTCTTAATAATAAATAAAAGCTATTTTCGCAATTATAACTCGTGTACCTTATAATATTTTTAGTGTCAAAATTTCACCCTTTCGATTGGCCGCCCCCGCTTTAAGCCCCGGGATCGCGCTGGCAGACATGACTATTTCATAATGGCTACACAAAAAATTAGCCATGTAACGATGATAAGGTTTTTTAAGTAGCCAGCTCTTAGACTAATAATACTGCGGAGATGGTTATGTTTCGGTATGTCATTTGACGTTTAATTGACAAAAACGTTGCTAACTTTTCGAATATTCTCCTCGCATACTTTTTTTTTTTCGCGGAAACAAATTTATGAGATACAGTAAATACCCAACAAAGAAAAAGTATGTCGCGAAAAATCCCTTTATGTAGTTGATATAACCTCCTCTTAGATTACTATCATACAATCGAAAAAAAAAACGGCGTCAAAAGCTTCTGGGCAATCAATGATAATTTTGGCGAGGTCAGGCCCTATATGTCATTTACTTGGCTCTTACTCTTCTTTATTTTTAATGGTGCTTACTGCCAGTTGGCCTTAAGAAGGTTGCAATTCATTTTTATATTGAGTAAAAATCATTTTTAAATGGTGTTTAAAATTTGAGAAAAATAATTTTTGGGAAATAGATTTCTGTGTCTGGTCGTTCTGTCCTTTTTAAATCTTTTTCTAATTAGCGTTAATGTTTGACAAGTTTTATATCAATCTTTAGTAACTGGCGTCTAGAGGTCAACATTTTTATCATCGATTGTTATTTCACAGCCGTCTTTGACGCCGTTTTTTTTCATACGGTACTAAATTACATATAATATATACTATGTCTATTTTGGTATACCTAATATTATTCTTTATTCTAAATTTAGTTTTTCGGGATCTCGTCAAGGCCTACTTGAAAGTATGAACCACCTGTTAGATTAGAAATTATCTTTTTCACTAAGCTCAATTAATTATATTGGAATTGAGACTTAATTATTTAGAGACTGTAGTTTGTATTTGATTGCTATGAAATCTTACATGAGCATAATGTTTCATTTCTACATTATATTAAGTGGTTAATTAAATAGTAGTTAGTTATTTTTGAAGTATGTATTTGTAAAATTTAAAAGATGATTTTGATATAATAAACAGTTTGGCATTCTTTCAGTTTGTTTGTTTTCAAAGTTTTCAACGAGTAGGAAAACTTTTTTTTTTTGGCTTTTTGGCCTTGATTTCTTTAAAGATAAATATAGATATCTAGATAATTGTTATTGAACCATGAACTACCTTGTGTTCTTTACTTACTTTATTTCTGCATTTGACTTGTATTGATACCAACAAATGCAGTTCATATTTCTAATTGAATTTAACATAGACTGCATGTTCGAACTTTAATTTAATCTGAAACAATACTAAATTGACTTGTTCATGATCGATTTTTAATGTATTTTCAAGATCAGGCAATGGTCAAAGTTGCCTGTTTGCGGCATTTTTTTATATTTGACAATACAGTCGAATGGTAGGCAGATCAACAGTAATACACTTTTTTCTAAATGTCCAGCTAAAGAAAATATAATAGCGACAGTAGTTATCTACGTTTTTGATTCAAAACTGTTTTCAGTCATTTTTAACAGAGTGCAGAAAAATCATGATTTAAAAGAAACGATTCTTTTTTATTTTAATCAATTTTCTATTTAAATCGGATTTCCAACTAATTAAAGACTCGTTTCCTCATTCCATTGTTGCAGAACAAAATGTCGGTAGAAATTATGCGGTAGAAATTTGGAAAGAACTAACTATAGAACTAAAGATAAATTGGAGAAGGCGAAAGTTAACTTACAGTGTTTCAAAAAAGATATAAAACATCATCGACACCAGCATATTTTTTGACATTGATTATAGATACTTTGAAGATACATACACTGATTATAGATCAGAAGAAACTAGGTCTGCACTAGTTGTCTAAGAGCTAGCAACGTTTTCGAGAAAGTATCTTAAGAAAACTGGCTCTTTGATATATTTTTTGCTATGCTCTCTGGAACAGCATGCGGCCCATCTGGCTAGCGATACCCGTTGCGTTCACTACTTCGCATCGGAAGAAGATCCTATATTTTTTGTATTTAGTCCGTTAAATTCTAATACTGCATATAAATCGAGTAAGTCTCCATAGCGCAGCGCGTAGAGTTTCTGACTACGAACCGAGGATTCAGAGTTCGAGACCGGGTCAGGGCAAATACTTTTTTATTTTATTTTCTTTTATATTCTGATAGTTAAGTACTAAATATTTGTTTTTTTTTAATCACCACAATTATTTAATACTTTACTATCAAAATATAAACGAAAATAAAATAAAAAAGTGTTTGCCCTGACCCGGTCCCGAACTCTGACTCCTCGCTTGATAGGCGGAACCTCTACGCGCTGAGCTATGGAGACTCGGTAGGCTTATATTCAATACTAGAATTTAAAAGACTAATAAAAATATAGGATCTTCTTTCAATGCACAGTAGGGAATGCAACGTTTACCGGCAGCCAACGATATATTAAAGAGCCAGCTTTCTTAAAATACTTGTTTTCCCGACGTTGCCAGCTCTCGTACTATAGAGTTTGTGAATGAAATGTATTCGAATACCGGATTTCTGTCCCTTCACCATTTCAAAATATAAATCTCTGCCGTTTGGAAGTCCTAATAGATTCACACGAAATTACTTCAAAAATCGGTTCAACATTTTAATAAATGAATAGATATAAAGTAGGTATATGTGTTATAATTTTTCAATTTGTTAAAATATTTAAACGTTACAACTGCAAGTGTAACCTTTTATTTGGTGAATTGAGTTGATTTCAGTTTTTTAATGTCTGTCAAAATTATATATGTATTCTTTCGCTGGACAGACTATTCCACATAGTCTAATTTATAGAGTCAATCGATAGTGAATGTATAATTCATTGTATAAGACATATTTTTATAATTAATTGAAAAAAGTCATCAAAGTGATTTTACTGACAAACAATAATTACTTTCAAGCAATTAATAAAAATACTAAAGGAGTATTTGAAGTTAGCATCGTTCTCAAAACTACGGATGGCGACATTTCACGATACCAATATGAGTTGTACTAAATTGAGATTTGATAGCTGTTTGAATTTTGTACAAATCTTATTGGTTCTTTGAAATGTGATTTACAACATAATTTTCGACACAACATGATTTTGAAAACAAAGCTTTAACCTAGTTCTCAGAAATATGTTCTGTCGCTGGCAACACTTGAAGGAACCAATGAAAGTCATTTTAAATTCAAATTTGACAGATGTGTGAGTTTTGGACTAATCTCATTGGATAATTGAAGTGTCGCCAGCGACACAACGTAATACTGAGGAGGGGGCTTTAGTGTCCTAAATTGTATTGTCTTGAACTTGCATATTTTGACCATTAAAACTCTTATACACTGATAAAAATAATGTCTACAAGGTTGGTGAAAGATCTCCTTCCTTATATTTTTATTTGATGCTTCCAAGTCAAGCATTATTTTTATTTTTGAAGGCGCAATCCAACTATTATCAACCCTCACGTCGTCTGTGGATCCAGCTTTACGTTTAAATGGAGTTTGGGCTTTGATGAACTTGGCGTTTCAAGCTGAACAGCGCGTCAAAAGCCAAATATTGACCACTTTAGGTACTGACCAAATATTTAGGTACAGTGCAGAGTAGTTCAAATCAATCTCATCGATTCCTAATATCGCCTTTTTGTAGATTGTTGGCTGACTCGGATCCTCGCGTATTAATGAAGACTTTGGGGCTTCTTAGGAACCTCGTGTCTCCGAGAACTCACACGGATACCATGATGGCCTTACATGGCCCTCAAGTAATGCAGGGCGTCGTTTTGGTACTCGAGGGATCTCATTCGCCAGAGGTACTGATAAATGAATATAAGCTGGCAGGCATATAGAATTGCATTTCCCATTTAACATTGTTCTAATTTGGCGCTTATTCTTATTTCCAGATTATATTAAAACATCAATTTTATTTATTACAAAATCGATACACTAAATAGTTATTTACACTTAGTTAAAATTACACACTAAAATAACAGCCGATTAGTAGCTCGCAACTTCACACTTTACAGTAACAACAGTAACTAACTAGTACACCACAGACTACCTTTGTCTTACACTAACACTAATATTCCTATAAGGCTAGTATATGATTATACACACTTCAATTCGCCCGTCAAGACTGAAATAGAAAACAGTATATCGACAATGTCCGAACCTCCGATCGTCATAACCGATTGTATATCGCATGACTCGAGTTTTCGGAGTTTTTATCGTTTCATGATCCAATATATCGATGTGCAGTCGTTAACAGTTTCGATGTTAACTAAATTGTGGTGCGACCATTATGTTGATATACAAGGTGGTCCGAAATGTATTCCAGAAAGTTATTACTCTTCAGAACAGTTAAAACACATGTACGTGGTGCCCTCTACAAATAGGTAGTGATGGGCAAAACTGTTATTTTTAGATAACAGTTGAAACTGTTATAGTTATTTATAAAAAACAGCTTAAAATAACAGCTTAAAAATAACAGGTTTCTTTATTTTATTGCTAAATATCTGAAAGAGTATGAAGCGGTCGCCGCCAGGCGTATTAACGCAGTTGCAAGTTGCTACAATGACATGCTCGGTGGTAGTATTTCCAGGGTGTCTAAAAATTTCTAAATATCGATTGTTATCTAAAATACCTCTCTAAAAACGGTCGTTGTTTACAAATAAGCGCTGTTTACAAATTGCGATATAAAAAAGCCAAAATTCCGCCACTCGTCTATACGTATACATTCCGATCTACCTACGCCTTGCCCCTCGATCGGCGTAGATCCTGAATTGCGTAGCAGTGTACAGGGTGCATCTCACTCGACGGGCAAGAAGCTCTTAGTTATAATTTTACCATTTGTGGTCAAAAAATAGCAATATAAGAAAATGTGTAGTATATTCTTCATAAGTAAACCAACTATACACTAGAGTTCGAATTAATTTTACACTTAAACTAGCGTGTACCCGCGACTTCGTTCGCGTCGAATTAATAATTTGTAATGGTGATGATAAAGCAAAGCAAGAATTTCTATTGACATACAAACTGGATAAAATTTTCTCACATTTGCCAAAAATAAGCTTTAAACGTCGAGCAGTTTAAGCAGAATCGTGGTTAATCAATTACTCAACTTTTTGGAACACCCTGTATTATTTTTTAAAAAATTTCAAAATATGTAAAAAAACAAAATAAATTATGCGTGTCCAAGCGTTTTCCCGAAAGACTAACCGTTTTTTAAATAACAAATATTGTAATATTTGAGGGGCGTTTTCACCCTCTTGGAATTTAAGATTCGAGAAACCCCTCCTTATCGAACCTCAACCCCACAGTCAATCCGTTTGCCAAAAATCAGCTTTAAACGTCAAGCAGTTTAAGCAGAATCGTGATTACTCAATGGTCACATTTTATGAAACACCCTGTATATATTTTTAAAAAATCTTAAAATATGTAAAACAACGAAATAAAATATACGTGTTTAAGAGTTTTTCCGGAAAACTCACCGGTTTTTAAATAAAAAATATTCTAATATTTGAGGGTGGTTTCACCCCCTTTGAATTCGAGTTTCGAAAAATCCCTTCTTATCGAACCTCTACACCCTAAAGTCAATCCGTTTTCCAAAAATCAGCTTTTTACGTCAAGGGCTTTAAGCAGGATCGTGATTAATCAATGACCAGATTTTTCAAAACACCCTGTATACATTTTTAAAAAATCTTAAAATATTATTCTGAAAATTTTTCAGAATAAATAAATACCTAAATATTGAAACTTAATAACGTACTGAAACATACAGCGCCATAATATCTCGACCTCCGCCCGTTATGCTCGTAACAGGTTGAAAAACAATATATCTAAAACAACTGATGCGTTATTCTCCAACCTGTTTCGAACTTCCATCGACAATCGACCGATGCAGCAGCCTTCCTTTCCCACTCCTGTTATCTCGACCGCCAGGCGTTATGCCCGCAACTGTTTCAAAAAACCTGCTTCTTTTATATCCTATTATTTTTAAGCTGTTATAAGCGCAATACGACCGTCGACGGGATCGACCGAAGCAGCTACGTTCGCCGTAGCGCATTCCCCACTCCGTTGTCCGTTGTCTCGCCGCCTGTATCGATGGTTGACGAAATAACAGGTTTTCCATCCATACTAGTTGTTTTTTGGAATTGCTTCGAGCAGCATAGAATTTCGGGGCGGTGCAGAGCGCCGACTTCGTTTTTCGTTTCACAAGCGGCCGATCTCTACGTGTCGTTATTTTATATCTGTTATTTTTTAGAAGTAGTAACGGTTGCGTTATGTTATTTCTAAATAATTGTTATAAAATAACAGATAGTTAAATAACAACCCATCACTACAAATAGGAGTCATGTTGACATCAAAATCAAATTTCCTATGTCAAAAAACTCCCAGACATCAATTTTCATCCAAATATTGATATTACTTCAGAAATTATTTGAAAAAATCTAAATAAAAAAAAACTTCTACACCCTGTATCTCCGAAACTAAGCATTTTAGGACATACATTTATACGAACTTTTTTACTTATTTTTATCTGCAGAATATGCTGCTGATGTTTCCGGAATACAGTTCGGACCACCCTGTATATTGTCATATAAATGGTTTTTGTTATAAGGGGACAAGTAAGAGCTTAAGTTAAGGCTAAAAATGTCTAGAAAATATGTTATTTTAATTTTTCTACCACATCAAGGGCCCAAAATGTAGTTGGATCCATGTTTTTTACATTTTCTTTCAACCAATAATTAAGGGGTAAAACATTAAAAAAATACAAAAAACAAACAGAAAAAAAAAGAATCCCAGAAATAAGTGCAAGTATTTTAAGGGGTGGTATATCTGGTCAAAAGAAACATTATAAGTCCAAAATAATTATTTTACTTTGAAAATTTCAAAGCAAAAAAATGATTAGCAAAAAAATGATTTTTTGCTAAAATTGGACTGGATTTTTTCTGGATTTTCTTTCATGTAAATTTAAGCTACTACCTATGTTGCCATATTATCAAGAAATTATGTTTTTTAACTTAAAACTAAAAAAAATTCCAAATTTAAAAAAAAATGCGCAAAAAATACCTCATAGGCGTGTTTCTGAGGCCGAAATATATTACCAGTTAAAATACTTTAGTTATACTTATTTCTGGGACACTCTGTATATTACTTATTTTATAATACTATAATATGCCTATTATTTATTAAATAAAATTATATAAGTGTTTCTTGCCTTGACTTGCTATATAGAAATTAATTCCACACTATGTTCGTTATAATTAACAACCTGCTCTCACTACCGGTGTCGGAGTCCTACTCCAGCATCAGGTGATCTTGGGCTGATTCCGCAAAATGATTATCACAGCTATCTAAATACGACTTGTCATAAAGTTGCGGTAAGATAAAGTATTAAGTAAAGCATGGCGAGATAGCGGTCTGCGTGGAATGGTAGTACTTTCGTACCACCGAGGCACAACTATCAATAGTAAATAAAGGATTTTTTCGTATATACATATATGTTACGGTTAAGGTCCAATACCTGATTAATGTCGACATTACCCGGTTAATCTCGAGAATAACACAAAACAAAACAACCAAAAACAAAATCAAACCCAAACATTAACCTGTTAATGTCGACATTAACCGGATAACGGACTTTAACCGTAACATATAGATCGCCATAGCGATTGACTCCTCGACTCGACATGTAAATACCGACCCAAGACTTCTCTTGCCGATAAGTCCTGCGCCGATGTATAGTCCTGAGCCGATGTATAAGCAGGTATAATAGCTGATTGGTTGATTTGAACGCTCATATATACCCTTGTTTATGACATTATGATAGGGCTTTATATATGTTGTTGTCCTTGTAGTCTCTTGGCGGATGCTTAAATTCTTTACTAGCCATATAGAAGAATTACATATAGGCTTGGTGCATTCTCCACCGGTGCTGCCACTATCTCAGAATACTGTAAACAGCGGACTACTAAATACACGGATTTAAATAGCGAATACACCAAAAATTTGTTATAAAATTATTCTGTAGTGTTAGGAAATATAATTTGTGAAAATTCTAAAAATATATAAAAATAAAAAAGTAAATATTTTGATATCTTCAGAAGGTCTATCTTGGTATCATAATTTATTATTCAAGCTAATAATTTTTTTTTAGATGAGTTCAACTACAGTAGCGAGCATAGTTTTACTCACCGGTTTTGCACGAGCAGCTAATTCACAAAATGCATTCTATTTCCTATTGGTCAAGATATTTTGAGGTTAGGGTTAGGGCATTGTTTATTGTTTTTAGTTATTTGGCGGGTTGGTTAGGTGTTGGTGGTTATTTGGAGGGTATTAATTCATTATTACAGTTGAGGGTTGGAACCTTTGGTGTTAAACAGCAAAATAAAAACACTAAATCACCACAATACACCAAAACACTACTTTACTTTTACACTACAGTGTAAAAGTAAAAGTAGTAGTGTACTAAATCACCACAATACACCAAAACACTACTTTACTTTTTTTAGTAGTAGTGTAGTGTAAAAGTAAAGTAGTGTTTTGGTGTATTGTGGTGATTTAGTGTTTTTATTTTGATTAATTCATTAGTTATGATTTTTTCAGATAGACGTGAATTTAAGGTAATAGTCAGTTAATTTCAAATTCAAACACAAAATATAAAATAAACACCGAAATCGAAAATAAATAACAACCCTATTATAATCCTAACCTCAAAATATCTCGACCAATAGGAAATGGAATGCATCTTGTGAATTAGCCGCTCGTGGTTTTGCTAGTGGGGACATAACTGGGGCTATTTAGGTTAATCTATTTTTGCTTTTGATCAAGAAGCTGTGAAGCTATAAAATGTTGTGTTGGGAGAGTTAAATATCCGGGAACGTTGTTTTTGAATGTTACTGCACCCAACAACCACGTAATTACATCCTCCTTTACGAGTTAGCATTTTTTCGGCAATATTAACTTTTGAAAACGTCACAACACAACGCGACGCCCAATTCGTTTTTTTTTTCTTAATTTTTACTACCCTAACCAGCGTTACGTCACACAAAGTACCTGAGTGTTTTATGGTTTCAATAACTGCACTAGTAAACACTTAAATACTTAAATATTATGGCAAAGCCACGATTTTAATATTACATTTCAATGCGATCGACATGAACGGTAACGGGACTGCTTGAAATACTTTAGTCGGGCACTTCTAATTTCTGCCGTATCGAGCGCTGCGGTCGGAATTTTTAATATTAACTGAAATGCACCAAGCCTATAATATGTTTATTTATTATTATATGCTAAATTTGAAGAAACAAAGTTTAAAATATTGTCTTTCTTTTTTGAATAGATTAAGGAACAGGCGCTCTTAATTTTATCCAATATCGCAGACGGAGAAAGGGCCAAAGATCACATAATTTCGAACGATGACGTACTTAAAAAACTGGTCGATTATATGACCCATCCTGCGCCTTGTTTACAGGTATTAGATAAGTTTAACAATTTGCGCACATGGTTTAAAATGCAATATATTTTAGGAGTCTGCTGTGTTTTGTGTAGGAAATTTATCTAGAAAAGGTGAACCTGGTGCAATTGAGAGACAGTCGAAATTAAGAGAATTAGGCGTGGTCAATATTCTACAACAGCTTATGGGAACCTCGGACACGGTTTTATTTAACCGGTAAGTTGAGCATTATATCGTTGATTGAAAGAATTGGGAAGATACGCAACCTAATGGGCCAATTCGTGACAAGACTGATTTGATTTCCCCTTACGTCTCAAGTGCTGTACGGTAGTGATGATTACGATTCTTTTTAGTGAATCGAATCACACGATTTAATTTCTCGTATTGAATCGACTCCTACAATTCGCTCATTTGAATGAACTACATGCACAATTTACGTTTCATAAAAACAAGAATCGTAACTGGCACACCGGCAATTTGGTCGGACAATTACATAACGGATCAGAAAAAGAAATATACAGTTCTTTCACTTATGACAGTGGCGTAATTGGATTGATTATTTTACCAATAATATTAAATTATCAATCCAATTCATATATACTATTTATTAAAGACTTCTTCATACCAATTTAATATTTTTAGAGCCATATTTTAATTCTTTTTTAATAATCATAATAAATAGTAAGTAATACCGCATGATCGAAAAAAATATGGCGTCCACTTGGCTTGGAAATGAACATCGGTGATATTCTAAGATCTAACGATATTTCCCATATAATTTTACAATTAAGATGACAGCGATCTTCATTTTATAACCATCGCTGACGCCGTTTTTTTATCATATTGAGCAGAGGCCAACAATATCTATTTGGAGTTGCATAAAAACACAATTTCGTCTTTTAGTCCGACATTTAATGGTTTATAGTCCGTAATATTATTTTAACAAAAATATTAACGTGAAAATTAAATGCCTTACAGATACTCCCGTACTAAGCACAGTATAAATAAGCTTTTTTCTTGTAAATAACTTCCTTATCGTTTGCATTTTAGGTCCATGATGTTTGTTTATGGCTTTTGTTCAAGTCTAAATATTGGTGCCTGACTCTATGCCTATAATATATATAATGCCGCGCCGCGCCGTAGAAACGATCGGTCGCATTGTGATCCGATTCAATTCTCACGAATCTTTTACGGCTCATCATTCAAATCTTATCGATCCGTACTGGCCACGATTCAATTGAACGAACCGTTTTGTAAGCAATGAATCAATTCTCACGACTCTTTGAACGAACGATCGCATTGTGATCCGATTCAATTCTCACGAGCCTTTTTTCGGCTCATCGTTCAAATGTTATGGATCCGTGCTGGCCACGATTCAATTGAACGAACCGTATTGTAATCAATCAATCAATTTTCACGACTCAAACAACGCTTTATTGTGCAAAAAGCCAAAACAGCTTCATCGACAAAGCACTCACAAACAACAAAATCACAAAAAATACACAATACAAATAATACAATTTAAAAAATTTAAGTCTTTAAAATTACAAAAAGAATATACATGGACAATTTTAGAACAGTACGCAGTAAATAGATATACTTTTAAAGTTATAAAATATTAAATACTTGACCTTTGACCAGTGTGTGTGAGATGATCAAAATTTTAAAATTCAAAATTGTTCATAATTAAACATCAACAAAAAAGTCGTTTACCGCATATAGGGCTCTCTCCAGTAGGTATGATTTTAGAGCTTTGCGAAATGCGGGAAAGAATGAAAGCGATTTGATATTCAAAGGCAGATGATTGTACATTTTTTTGGTATTGTACAGTATTGAACCTTTAACTAGTTCTGAGCTCGGGGTTGGCAGATAAAGATCGTGCTCTGCATTCCTAAGTGGATAGTTATGAGATGGCCTTTCGGGAATAGCAGATATGTGCTTGCGGATTAAGCAAACGGATTCAAAAATGAATAAAGAAGGAAGAGTCAGTATTTTCAAATTTTTAAAGAAATTCTGGCAGTGAGTTCTACTGTTCAGTCCCAATAAATATCGAACTGCTCTCTTTTGAAGTCTGAAAACACGATCAAATTTTGTTGCGCAGCAAGTACCCCAGAATGGAAGGGCATAACGAAGATGTGACTCAAAAAGGGCATAATAGGCTATTCTAGAGGTTGAGAAGTTAAGTTCCTTAAAAACTGATCTTAGCGCAAAACAGGCAGCCTTAGTTTCTTTGATAGAGCTTCAATGTGAAAGTCCCATTTTAACGAGTTGTCTACAAGAAGTCCTAAGAATTTCACAGAGGCCACGACGTCAATAGTAGTGTTATTAAGTACAAAAGGTTGTATAGTACTTTTATATGACAAAACTTTAGTTTTTGATAGGTTGAGGCATAGGAGATTAGAATCGCACCAAGACTTAATGGTGCGTAAGTCACTGGATATAGTATCATATAGTGCCGCAACATCTGGGCCGCTCCAAGTGAAACTAGTATCGTCCGCAAAGAGGCAGATTTTACCGCTAATGTCTAGATTTGCAATGTCGTTGATAAACACCAGAAACAAAATAGGGCCAAGTACTGAACCCTGAGGGACACCACATTCTATAGGCTTACAAGAAGACATAGACGTATCAATCAACTCTTTGAACGAACGATCGCATTGTGATCCGATTCAATTCTCACGACTCTTTTTTACGGCTCATCGTTCAAATGTTATAGATCCGTGCTGTCCACGATTTAATCGAATCTCACGATTTTTGAGGATCTTTGCCCACCTCTACTGTACGGTGGAGGCACCGATCGTTCTGCGGCCAACGCATAAACCACTTATTTTCTCTAATTCGGCCAGCAAAGGCATATCAAAAACGGTGTAGAACTGAAAGCGACAGTGTTGCCATATTAAAATGTGTGATAATCTGTAATACGTTTGACGAAAATATCTTTGGATAAAAAAAATCGCGTTTATGTATTGGAAATTTATTTGTGTTAAACATAGAATAAACAAGAAAAATAAAAATCTTTTATAGGTACTGAATATTTCGTATGATCGAAAAAAGTCGTTTAGTTGGCTTGCAAATGACGACTTTTGACATTTACCATAATATTTTACATCTAAAATAACAGCGATCTTCATTTCCAAGCGAACTCTAGCGCCGTTTTTTGTTTAATCGTATTATATTAAATTATTGTTTAATGACAGAAAATCCGTATTATTAACGTGCTGTACCCAAAATCCGTAAATCTACACTGTCCCCGGCAGCCACCCACTCTGTCGACTGAAAACAGAACTAGGGTACAGTATTCTTTATCCGCCGCGCTGTAAACGACTATCAGCGTGCAGCGGCGCAGAGCTAAACTAAATCTCGGAATTCTCGGACAGGTTTTGTGCCACGAAATCGCCCATAAGATTGCGCATCTTCTTATTTCTTCAATCAACGGTAATATCGAGTTATTTATGACATAAATACATTCTTGTTTTTTTTAATTTTTAGCGTAAAATCGACTTTAGGGAATTTTACTGATGTTTGAAATGTCAGTGATCTTTATAATTTCGTTCCAGACAATTTCAGTTTAGACTGAAGCAAAACTTGTTATATATGTACTATGACTAGATTTCTATTGGGTGATTCTCTCACTAGAATAAATTCATTAAATCAAACAGTTTTATTTTTTCGGAAAAAAATTTTCTACAGCGTGTCCCAAATATGAGATGTGACATCATATCTATATATACGATTTAATGTATTTATTCCAAGTTAGAGAATCATCCTGTATATAGATTTTATCAATTTTACCTAGCAAAGGGTTTTTTCCAGTTAAAAAACGATTATTGGTATTTTACTAAAAAAAAACAATGAATGTGATGTATAGACTGAGTAAATGTCGTTAAGAAACTATTTACTATTTAAATAAATAAGTCTACATTGTACAAAAAAAAGGCGAATATGACATTTTTATAGCGGTTTTAAGGGATAAATTATTATTTATATGTGTAATTTTATAATTAAATTCTAGTCACTCTTAAGTGAAACTGATATTTATGAACTAGGTTTCCTCTAAGATAACGTCTTTTTTGGTGTACTATTTTTTTGTCAATATTAATTAAGTTTGTTTTGTCTATAAACTTTTGAAGTACATGTAATATGGGTTATTTCAATAATCTCTATTTGTAATTTAAGTGACCGATTATTGTAACTGCAATATTTCTACTTTGTTGGAAAATAAAACTAAAAGGACTAAAGCTTTCTCTTTGTTTATTTTCAATAAATAATATTCTCTTATCGATAACACAAATATCTTTCTATGAACAGTAGAAAATATAATATCACAATTTAACAAATAATTACTTAATATATCAGTTCATTATGTAAAGACAGCCTGAAATATAACTATAACTTTATTTGCAGAAAAAAAAATTGTTTGAGGTGTTAAATAATACCAAATGACTAGTATAATATATCTAAAAATATTTAAGCTTAAATAAAAAAAAATAATGAAAATGTGTTAAAAATGTCCTTCTAGATCAGGTCTCAATATGCTCCTACCCCTGTACTGATTTTTGTTTGAATCTTTTTTAGCCTTGGGATAAAGTTTAGCTTTTGTCCTACATATTAAACAAGCATCATTTGATTCACTCGCTCTAACACAGTTTGTGTGAAAACAATGTCCACAACTCCACACGTGTATGCTTAAACTCGTTTGCAGTTCTTTTCTATAGGACAGAGATTTTTGACATAGGTTACATGTCAAGTTTGACACAGAAACTCCCTTTCCATTTGCGTGTAATTTCTTTGCCAGTTCTACAAAGAATCATTACCGCTTAGTATTAGGGTACGAACATAGTGGAGGCAGGTTTCTGCTTACCGGCAACCAGCGCCGTCTCAGGGTACCTATTCTTGACCACTCGCACCTTCAAATATCGCTCACATCTCGCATCTCCGAAAAAGCCATATAACAATACACGTGATGCGTAACTTTGCGTATATGCATCACGTGTATTGTTATATGGCTTTTTCGGAGATGCGAGCAGGGTTCGGAAGTAGTTAATTAAGAGAAAATTTACCTGATTAACTAACCTAACCTAACCCAACCATATTCAAACGCCGCGCCGGCGCTACACATAGGGGTATTTGGTCTATAAACCTGACCAAAAGTGATATTTTTTTCCTTTCATTTTTTATCTTAACTGAATACAAATCTATAAATACTAAATGTAAGCACGTTTATTAGCTTTTTTTAAGTCGTAAGTTGACTTATCGAATAAATAATATATTTCAGTTGTTAAGTATGAATTATCTTGAGTGTATTCTGAATATTTCTAAGATTATAAAATAGTGGAATTGTTTGTAGTGCTTATTTTGCAAATTGTTTATAATAACTGTCATGATGGATACAGAGCCAGCTGGCAAGTTCTGTTTTATGCATATTTTTATTTTGAAACGTTTCCTTCTATTCTATTTCTTTATAATGTTTTATATTTAAAAAAGAGGCATTTTTATAAGGTGTAAGACTATTCGGCAATATTCCGCATGGAAATTAGTATCCGTTCAATGCTTAAAGTCTCCAGCTTTGGAATATGTACAAAAATCTTGCCAATATTTGCCACTGCCAAAAAAAACATTGATTTAAATAGATTCTTAAAGGAAATAGTCTTTACTCTATAACACCCATCTTCGCTCAAATATCGTCTATAATATACAAAGTACTTTCTTGTTCTAGCATCCTCATCCAATTGCTTGGTTTTGCACAGAATGGCCCTATTTGTTCGGTGGAAAGGGTTTCAGAGTGGAGGAAAAAATATTGTGTAGGAAAAACAAAATGGGGTTCCATATTAGCACCCGCTCCTCTAATAATTAATATTACTAGCACAAAATCAAAAAAAAAAATATAAAACATAATTTTGGCCAACTTTTAGTTCTTAATACCCTCTGTGCGCCGTCGGCGTCGGCGCGTGCAAAAGCAGAAATAAATAAATGTTCGTTCGGGTAAAAGCGAGAACGCCGATGAACGCAGGCTGACAGCGTCTACCTGCTTTCACTGTGAACTAGCCGATTTGATGATAACACGCTTTAATTTTTCAAGGTTATAAGCGCGAGGCGGCGCGGCGCGGCGTTACTATGTACCCATATACAGGGTGTCCCAGAAATAAGTGCAAGTATTTTAACTTAACTGGTAGTATAGTTCAACCCCAGAGACACGCCTATGAGGTCTTTTTCGCGAAAATTTCTTTTTAAAAATCGGAATTTTTTGAAAAAAATTTTGGATTTTTTTTTTAGATTTTATTTAAAAAAATAATGTCTTGTTAATATGGCAACATAGGTAGTAGATTAAATTTACAAGAAAGAAAATCCAGAAAAGATCCTGTGGTTCTCAAAGTTTTAGCAAAAAATTATTTTTTTTGGAAATTTTCAAAGTAAAATAACTCCGTTATTTTGGACTTATTTGAAAAACGATAAAGAGAAAATATGTTTCTTTTGTCGAGATCTACCACCCCTTAAAATACTTGCACTTATTTCTGGGATACCCTGTTTATAACAATACACGTGATGCGTATACGCAAAGTTGCGAACGATGTCAAGAATACGTAGCCAGATTGGCGCCGACTACCGGTAAGCGGCAAACCTGCTTGCACTGTTTTCGCAAACTTACATAGTTAGTAGCAAAAAAATAGTTAGTTTTAGTTAATTTACTGGTTAGCATTACATAGAATGTAATGCTAACCTCACCAACCACTACATCTTTCAACCATATATGTATAAATAAAATATACTCAGCCTAATCTCTAAAAAGTGATGCCCAAACAATGAAAGAGAAATATGGAATTCTACAAAGTCTATTTGACCCGATATTCATTTAATTGCGCATGCCTCACCTGAAGAAGTTTTGATTGGTCGGTGTTTTTAAAGGGAAGCGGTTGACTGTCATTTCACCTAACCTTCAATTTTATTTACTTTTTAATTATTTGTAACACATTATCATGGAGTTGGAGAAATATCGAAAGAATAGTTGGAACCAATAAACTAAACAAAATCACTCTTTTACACGCACAAACAAAAAATAAAATAATCCAAACCGAATTAAAACAATAATCAATCGGAGTTTGGCGCAATCGCAGTTCAATCAATATCCGGGTGAAATAGACTTATGCAGCATTAATATGGAGCTGAGTTATGTTGTCCTTTTCTTACGGCACGGAAACAGCACACGGAGTTAAATAGGGAACACGAGTATATTTTATTTATACATATATGCTTTCAACGCCGTACACCAACGTACTTACCGCTATGAAGATCTGTATCCAGAACCTTGAAACTTGCTTTCAGGAGATCGATATCGTGCTTGTAATCGTTCAACATGCCCTGGACCAGCTGTTTTATATCGCCATAATGAGCGTTCGAAACTAAATCCAGAAGTTGGCTTGGTGGTACATGAGGTGCTGCCGCGTGCAGTAACTGTCTCAAAGAAGTCTTCTTTACACTCCGCTGTGAAAATTAAACTTTTTCATCAGACTGTATCGTCATAAAATAATAAGTCGAGGGCGCGATTATTATTATTCATTGTTGCCAACCATGAATAAAAAAAAATGAAAAGGTAGTAGACTGCTGTAAAAAATGTCAAGTTGTCACATTTATTTATTTATTTTCTCACATTTTGATTTGTTTTGACTGAATGATATACCGATTTGTGGTCATGGAAACAGTGCGGTCTGGATTTTAACGTGTAAGACAGTGATGTAGACAGCTTAATGAAAAATCAAATGTATTAAAAAAATATAAAAATTGGGTCGACATATTTCTTCTATGCGGTATTGCCGGATTTTGCATCAAAATTTCAAACCTCTCTCTCTTCTCATACCCTCCATAGTTCAAATGAAAACTTGTGAGTTTTTTTATTAATTTTAAAGGATGAAAGAGCTCTAAGTTCATGAAACGTACATCCGCGTCTGTCATTGCAAAATAGAGATAAAATTAAAATCATGGACAGTTTAACTGAGTTTTTACTTCTATAAAAATACTACAATCATGATTCTGATGTTTTAAACAAAATTTTTAACCGTAAATATCGGCAACAAAAGTGTTCGAAGAACAATTGCCAATAAATCACTTTTGTTGCCACTTAGTTGCCGACACAGAAAGTTGCTATTTTTTCAAATTTAGTAATACTTGAAACTGTGTAAAAACAATATAATAGACGGAGAGCTATATAAAAAAACCTTATCATCGTTACATGGCCAATTTTTTTTGTGAAGTATCCTTGTGTGTTGCCATTATGAAATAGTCATGTCTGCCAGCGCGATCCCGGGGCTTAAAGCGGGGGCGGCCAATCAAAAGGGTGAAATTTTGACACTAAAAATATTATAAGGTACACGAGTTATAATTACCAAATAGCTTTTATTTATTATTAAGAAACGTGAAAAATTGTTGGCAGAAATTTTTCTCGTGGCTAAAATGCCGGCAGTCAACACGAAAGAAGCATGAAATTTTTTCCAAAGGCCATCATTTTTAAAACAAATTAAGGCATACATGCATGCCGATTGGTGGAATGTCATATTTATTTATTTTAAAAGCCGTATACAAAAGGGCAGACAAAAAGATCGTGGCTAAATTAGCGAGAGACAGTAGTTATCAAAAGCGCGATATTACTCTAGCGCAGATTCACCCTGTAGATCACTGTAGTAATAGTGCGCTTTTGATACCTGTCTGTCGCTGATTTAGCCACGATTTTTTTGTCTGCCCTTTTGTATACGGCTTTTAAAATAAATAAATATTACATTCCACCAATCGGCATGCATGTACGCCATAATTTTTTTTTAAATTATGGCTTCCGGAAAAAAATTCATGCCTCTTTCGTGTTGTCTGCCGGCATTTTGATAACGAGAAAAATGTCTGCCAACAATTTTTCGCGTTTCCTAATAATAAATAAAAGCTATTTGGTAATTATCACTCGTGTACCTTATAATATTTTTAGTGTCAAAATTTCACCCTTTCGATTGACCGCCCTCGCTTTAAGCCCCGGGATCGCGCTGGCAGACACGACTATTTCATAATGGCAACACAAAAGGATACTACACAAGAAAAAAATAGCCATGTAACGATGATAAGGTTTTTTATGTAGCCAGCTCTTAGACTATAATTACCCGATTTTCTTACCTTGCTTTGCAATAATGTAAGCCATAACTTTTGCGCTCCTTCTGGATCTATGTGCTCGGCGCCTCTTATACATAATGCTACCGCTTCGTCTATTAAATCGTTGACTATCAAGATGTTCAGGGCTTCCATCCATTCACCGGATTGTTCTAGAAGTAAGGCTGTGGCTGAATTCGCCTATTAAAATAACATTAATACAAATAATAGTCTTTATAGTCTGTTCAACGACTAAGGGAAGAATTCGCGCGAATGAGAGTTAAAGCAAGTATGAATGATTGGAAAAAAAAACAGCGTAAAATGCGGCTGGGAAAATTATTCCCCATTATTTATTATCATCAATTATTAAATTGATGATAATTTTGATGATGTCAATCTCTAGACGTCATTTGTCATCAAATTGACAAAAAAATTGTCAAAAATTAACACTCATTATGGAAGGATTATGTGTGATTATGTGCAATATTCAGGGCTGGTAGATCTCAATAAAAGAAACATATTTTCTCTTTACTGTTTTTGAAATAAATCCAAATTAACCGAAATATTTTATCTAATATTTAAAAAAATTGATTTTTCGCTTAAATTTTCAGAACCACTGGATCTTTTCTGAGTTTTCTTTCTTGTAAATTTAATCTACTACATATGTTGTCATATCACGCTTTTTAACTAAACATTAAAAACATTTTCAATTTTTTTTTCAAAAACTTCCAAATTTTGATTTTTTTTGCGGAAAAACCTCACAGATGTGTTTCTGGTGTCGAAATATACTACCCCTAAAAATATTTGGACTTATTTAAGACTCACCCTGTATATCTTTTTCGAAACAATGGCAGTAGTAATAAATGAGTTTTTATTAAATTTTGCTGTAATGACCAGACTGTCCTCATCCCAAATCAAAATTTGGATGGTGTTTGTTAACTAGTCCGCCAAGGCAAAGTTTATATATATATATGTTACAGCAGGGGTGACAGTAAAAGTTGGAAATCAGTGATTGTTAACAATTACTAGTAAAAGCTAACATTTACTGATTTTCTAAGACTACGCCAGTAAAAGTTCAACAGCTATTTTTGAAACCAACTTTTATTAGTGAATGTTAACATTCCCTGGACGATAGCAGCACAGATAGCAGTGAGTTTGAAAGATTCAGTTAGCACGGTTGCCACATGTTGTGAGGTATGAAAATAAATTAGGATAAGTTGAATAATAGGAAATACCGTATGATCGAAAAAAAATGGCGTCCAGTTGGCTGGGAAATGAACATCGATGACATTTCCCATATAAATTTACATATAAAATGACAGCGATCTTCATTCCATAGCCATCGCTGACGCCGTTTTTTCTCGATCATACGGTATAAGGATAACATTAAATTAGGCTCAACGTTGGCAACGTTGACAGACATACGCGTAAATTCACTTTGTTTTTTGTGGTTATGTTTATGTTTTACGTATAATTATTTTATTATCGTTGTAAAAAGTGCTGTGCCGTATTTTCCATACGGAAGAAATTGTCCTCGAAATTTTCTGTCAAAAATTAAGGTAAACTAGGCACTCTGTAATCAGTATACGCAAGAATGTAATAGTGCTTGTTTTACAGTTTTGCAATTATTTTATTATCGTGTAGAAAGTGCTGTACCGTATTTTCACTACGGAAGAAATTTTCCTCGAGATTTTCTGTTAAAAATTAAGGTAAACTAGGCACTCTGTAATCTGTATACGCAAGAATGTAATAGTGCTTGTTTTTCAGTTTTGCAATATAATGAAGTCATAGCAAAAGTTAGGCGTGCAAGAGAAAAATATATTAAAGAACCTAGTGACTATGAACTTATTAAACGTTTTCATATGCTTGAACTAGCGAGTTTGAAAACACGAATAACTCCCGTTAAAGAAAATTTGGGCATACTTTATTTTGTCCACGATGAAGAACTTTATTAAGAAAACCTTGTACCAATAAGTAATCTTATGTTTATGAATGTTTCTTTTTAAATTGTTTTGTACACTTTAAAATGTTTACTATGTTTTCCCTTTTAATATTTAGAAGGTTATGTCGTTATTTTCTATAATTTTTAATAAATATACTAAAGAAGTAAATTGTAATTTTAAGATATGTGGATCACCTTGAATGTTAGGTGATAAAATATTCTTAAAAGATTAATTTGTTCTAAGTTTCACCAACATTCTTCCTCGCCACACTCGCCCTGTGCAATAGAATAACTTTTACTGGCAACCTTTAGTAAATGTTACTTTCACTAGTGAATGTTAGAAATTACTAGGAAAAGTCGACAAATCTCTTTAAAAATACCACATTCACTGGGTCCAATGCGTAATTGTTAGCATTTCCTAGTAAATGTTAACAATCACAATGAATGTCTAACTTTCACTGTAACGTATACACTAATACTAATTAATTTTATATTCAAAAAAATATTCCCGGTGGTCCCAGACCCGTCGATCTCCACATTTTTTCTGGAAACAGCGACATTTTCCACGATGATTCGAGCCAGCAGCGGATCTGTTTCGAACAGCACAAAGCCGACCGGGGTAGGTGACAGGTGACCCAGCTCCCTAAATGGCCCCCAGTAAGGCAGCCAGCGCGCCTCTGCACATCTGCCATTCCCCGGAACTCCACGGGATCCTCCCCGAGGCTCCGCCCACCCAATCCCAAAGTCCCTCTGGCCGGCTGCCATTGGCCGCGATCCCGCGTCCCTCCGGCCATTGGCTGCCGGAATGGACAAGGATGCTCTATACCAAATTTATGCTAATGGCCCTTCTTTACACCAGTGTCTCTTCTTGGTGCTGCGCTTTTGCAATGCGAGAGGGGGCAAAGGTTATGGTACTATCAACATCTGCCTGATTTTCGCGATTACCCTTTTGAATAGAAGGATAGAAAGTTTCTAGACACAAATCTATTTCAAAAGAATTATTTTTTCTCAAGTCAGAAAAAAAGTCACTAGCGCACAGGTTTTTTTTAGAAAAATATTCTAGAGATAACCCATATGTACGTCCCTGGTGAATCTGTCGACACTTTTCTAAAGCGATAATTTATGTAATACTTTAAGTAACTTTTACCCTCAAAATGTCATTCGAATTGCTACAGGGGTTTGAAAGGAAATTATAATAAATCGAAGTAAAAAGAGGACTTTAACACCATGTATCTACGAAACCAAGCAGAATCGGACGTATGTTGATATGAAAAATAAATTTTATTTTTAGGCGAGCAATCTCCCAATGAGACATGATACATGTTTTTTGAAACACCCTGTATATTAATTATACAGGATAACTCTTAAATAAGTGCAAGTATTTTCAGGGCTGGTGGATCTCGATAAAAGAAACATATTTCCTCTTTGCCGTTTTTCAAATAACTCCAAAATAACGGAGTTATTTTGCTTTGAAAATTAAAAAAAAATGATTTTTTGGTTAAATTTTAAGAACCACTGTATCTTTTCTGGGTTTTCTTTCTTATAAATTTAAACTACTTCCATATTATGAAGATATTACGTTTTGTATTTAAAATTAAAAAATTCAAATAATTACAAATTTTCAATATTTTTTCGCGAAACAAATCTCGTAGACTGGGGTCGAAATATACTACTCCTAAAAATATTTGCACTTATTTAAGACTCACCCTGTATATGGTTTCAGTATATTACCTCATATTTCCTAGTAATTATTAAGGCCTCCTCTATCCTGCACATATTCGTTGATACAAAATCACAAGCATCGCTCTTGTCCCTTATACAAACTTCCTCCAAATAATGTTCGGCTATACTGTATGGTAATTTGACGTCGTTTGAAACCAGTCCTTTTAAAAAACTAAACCGCAGTTCGTTTTCACTATCTACTATTTCGCAAAACGTCTCTAATTTGTCCGGGAAGTATTCTATTACCGAATCGACGGTGTTCTCACAATTTATTGCTAACAAGTCTTTAAAATGCACTAGAAACTGTTCGGCGACACATCTTTCAGGCACATCGATATAACTTATAATATAGTTAAAAACTTCGTTTCTTCTCACGGTATCGTTCAAATAGCACTGTAATATATTGCCGTAATCTTTTTGTAGAACGTACATCCGTTCCGCCACTCGGTAACATTTTGATTTCAAAGCCATTCTTAGGAGCTCGTCCTTGTCGAAATGGCTCAGCTTGTTCGCTTCCAGTAAATCTATCCAGGCTTGTTCTTTTTCCGCGTGGTCTCGCAGGCTTAGAGTATCTCTCGAGACGTCAGTTAGTGATTTTATAACCGAATTTAGCATGGCTTCGTCGATAGTGAGATTATTAGAGATTACCAAGCGGGAAATGAAACAAGCCAGGTTTATTATTTGGTTGTCCTAAAAATTTAAAAATAATTATTCGAGTGATTTGGAATCCTGGATAAATGAAATATTTTGCAATTTTTGGGTGCGTCTCAAAAGTGGCTCAGCTTTATTACTTTTTTATTTTTTCAGATAAAAAAAGCAAGATTTGGTATGTTAGTAGTATATGACATAAATTAGGACTGATTGACGTATTCAATAATTGCTTTTTGTCACTTCCTGTTTTACCGGAAATGACTACAACTTCTGATTTTTAAATAACACCTACGGTATTTTTGTTATTTATTCTATAGAAAATGACACTCTGAATATAGTGACATATCATATGTCAACTTGTGACATTTTCGCATTTGGTTTATTTGAAATTGTAATGTGCGGTTCATAACGACAATTTGACTCGAAATACCAAGTGTGCGGTACCAAATTATTCGTAAAAAATGCTTTTTCCAAATATGCTAATGATCCACCCTTATTCCATTTGGAAAAATTGAGATATGATTAAAAATACGATTTGGGCATCTTTTAACTGACCAGGACAAGACACGAAAAACATTAAACGATCAAATCTATTTTCCTTGATTAAAAATTAGAGTTTTTAACACAGCCATGGCACTCATTGAAATTTAAAATACGTTTTTTTAAGCGAAAATATCAACAGCTGACATATGATATATAATTCTATTCAGAGTGTCATTTTCTATCGAATAAAGTAAAAATATACCGAGGGTGCCATTTAAAAATCAAAAGTTGTAGTCATTTTCGGTGAAATAGGAAGTGACCAAAAACAATTGAATACGTCAATTAATCCTAATTTATGTCATATACTAACATATCAAATCTCGTTTTTTTATCTGAAAAAATAAAAAAATTATAAGGGTGAGCCACTTTTGAGACGCACCCGGTATTTATTAACATGAATACCACCGAACAACGACAAGGTAAATTTTTCAAGTACGGCGGTTGTTGCTAAATTACCAAAAACACCGCGGCAGTATACTTTTAAAAACAGAAATACGGCCATTATTTTACCACACTTTATGTGTTATGGCTCTTCCCAACGTAAGTTCTGCGGTTAGGTACTATTTTCAAACTAAAAGTACATTTTATTGCAACAACACGCTGTAAGCGTGTTTTGATTACTTTAGTGTCACTCTTTTTTGTTCGTTTTTCTCTGTTTGATTAATGCGCATCTGATTGCTTTGAATGTTTTGATTATAAAATTGAATGTTTTCTAATTTTTTACAATTATCAAATATCAACGACAGCTGAATTCAATTCAAAAAATGAAACTGTAAAGATATTAGGTTATTATAATTTCGGCGGTATTTGATATTTAAAATACAGTATGCCGCCGCTGAATGGCTTTTGTCTGCCAGGTTAAAGGCATACCGCCGTCAACGACAAATTAAAACAATTTTCCACCGGCATTCACAAATATAGAAAAATCATACCGCCGGATGATGGCATTTTTTTGTATAGTCTAACAATACTATAAATAAACTATTTAGGACAGAGTTTACCAAAAATGTTTTTATAACTACTACTGGGTAAATGAATTTGTAGTATAGTATGACTTTTTTGAAACTTTAGTTTCGGAGATATAAATTTAATCGATCTTTTTGAAAAAAATATTTTTTTTTAGAAACTATTTGAGACAGAGTTTACCAAAAATGTTTTTATAACTACTACTGAGTAAATAAATTTGTAGTATAGTATGACTTTTTTGAAACTTTAGTTTCGGAGATATAAATTTAATCGACCTTTTTGAAAAAAATATTTTTTTTTAGAAACTATTTGAGACAGAGTTTACCAAAAATGTTTTTATAACTACTACTGAGTAAATAAATTTGTAGTATAGTATGACTTTTTTTGAAACTTTGGTTTCGGAGATATAAATTTAATCGGACCTTTTTGAAATTTTTTTTTTGCAGAAACTATTTGAGACAGACAGAGTTTACCAAAAATGTTTTTTATAACTACTACTGGGTAAATGAATTTGTAGTATAGTATGACTTTTTTGAAACTTTAGTTTCGGAGATATTCGGCGGTTCTTAAGCTTGTGTGTTTTTAAATTCATAATCCAGAAATTTAGCATTATAGAATCTTACTTCAATTTATTATTGTTTCTATTAGATATTCTACTAGATATTTGCTGATAGATATTGATACTTGCTTGATTACATTTCAAAAATTCTTAGTCAAGCTTAGACTTACGGTAAATTCGGGAGGAGATACAATTTCCAACAAAATACAAATCAGTCTTTGTCGTTGCAATAACCCCATTTCGCCAGAAAATTCTGCTTCGGTAAATGCTAATTCTACAACATTCAGGCACTCCCTCGTATTATATCTACAAAAAAAGATTTTTTTGCTAATATCATCAAAAGAATAATTCAAATTGGTTATTATTTTATGATTACAAGTTCTCTTAATATGAAAAGATGGTATAATTAATAATTTTGAATGATAAAGTCGGACACTAGAGAGACTAAAGATTCTGACTACACACGAACCTTAACAAAGCGCGTAAATAGGGGTAGCTTCCTTCATCTGATTTCCCATTAACGGAATGTAACGTCTCCAAACACCTCAAGACGTCGTACTTAACTCTTGGAATGTCGTTTTCTGGTATCGTTCCTGTCGGATACCCTAAACCCGCTAGACAAGAAGAAACATACACCAACATAGTATTGCCCAATCTAAGAATAACACCACATTCAGTCAGAGAAAATATGTATATTTAATGATTACCTATTGTTATCAGGCGTTAATTCACATAAAAACTCAATTAATGGACCAGCATAATCCCCCAAAGTTTTCGTAGTGATATGAATCCAAGCATTGTAAAGTTTCAGTCTTTTACACACTGTTAAAACTTGATGTAAATCTAAACAACCTTAAAATGACAAAGCTCCTATTATGTTAATTTACACCTACATTAAAAATGTGTTATTTACTTATATCTAACGAAAGCAAAACACTCTCCAATAATTGCGGATCTTTATGTTCTAAATTTGTGACCAGTGTTTGGCAAACAGAAGGCCATAATATTTTCAAGCCTCCATTACAAATGTGGTCCGTTAAAAGCGTATAGTACCAGTCCAAATTATTAGGATCTATTGAAACAGCTTCCAAAAGATCGTCGCAAAGAATATCACTGAAAAGACACTTTGTAATGTTTTAAACCTAAGTAAAATTCACAGATTCTTACATTTTTTCTAGTCTGACACAACAATTTATAGCTGCAGTTAAGCTGTCTTTATCTACGGTGTTTTGGTTTAAACTTTCTAAATATCTCCTTAATAATTCCAAAGTAAAACTCTCTTTATTTAAACCTTCTTCTGTTGCTAAATTAAGGGCTTCTGACCATCTACCTATCAATAGTATAATAGCATTAAATATAATTAAAAAAAGACTTTTTATTCAGTTGTTAAAAAAATCATCCAGTGTGTGTTGAGTTTTATTAAAAAATATTGAGTTTTAAAAAAAAAATTGGGAGTGGAATAAATTCAGTATGCTGAATAGTTAGAGGTTTTCAAGAGTGTAACTAAAAGTAACCCCTTAAAACGCTATCATTTGACATTTACAAAATTACGGTATTTACCAACCTTAACCTACCCATACAGCTGTGTTATAAGTGGTTATAGTGTTTTTCAAGCGCATTAGTTTGGTATTAACCACTATTTGTCAAAAGGAAATGTCAAGGCATAACCATTTATAACCAAAAGTATAGTCGCGGTATTTATCTATTCAGTAGCTTGAATACCCTTTAAAATAACAAAAATCATTTTGGCAGATGCCAAAACGATTTGTTATTTGCCATTATGTCATGTGTGTCAGTGTCCTGTGACAGTTGCACATGACACTGACAGATATTACATGCGACAGACGATTAAGGCCCGTTCTGAGAACTTCGTATTGTCGAGCGACACGTCAAAAGAACCAATGAGATTTGAACAAATTGCAAAATTGACAGGTGTTTGAATTTTGTACGAATCTCATTCGTACATTGGCGTGTCGCTGACGTGTGGCTGGGTTACCCCTATTATCTCCTGTAATGACCTTTTTTACTTATTCTTTATTTTTTTTGAATTTCGTAAAAAAATAAGACATCCCAATAAAATAACAAGCTATATAACAAAATCAGTTTTGTCAATGTATTTCAAAATTTCTATAAAACTCTAGATATTTTTTTAATGTACAAGTACCATACAATCGAAAAAAAATGGCGTCGAAGACGATTGGGGAACGACAATCAATCGTAATTTTGACGAGGTCAAGCTCTAGATATCATTACTTGGTCCATACTCTTTTAATGGCGCTTACTGCCATTTAGTCTTAAGAAAGTTGTAATTATTTTTATATTCAGTAAAAATTATTTTTGTAATAATAATATCACGTGATTAAGCTTGACCAGCACAGCGTTGCCCACTTTTACATATGTTTCTTTTAAACAAAATATTTTAGGAAACAAAAATAAATTAATTATAAATATATAAACATTTATTATTTACAGCAACAAAAATCACCTCCTTAACAGCACTTAAGGGACATTACTACCGCTTTCTCGTTCAAAATATTCTAATCAAGTTGCGATGAGTTTTTTAAGACTATTAAGCTATCTTGTACACTTTGCACTAAAAAAGGTTCAAAAAAGAACAATGTTTGAGTGCAAGGTCTGCTAGTAAAATTTTTTAAACTTAAAGCAGAGATTAGGACTTAAACTCACTGACGACCAGGTCGCAACGACCTGGCCGTCGGCTGGCCGGATGTTTGCGTTTTTAGCTGCGGCCAGATGAACGACCAGTTTCAACAGAGTTGTCAAATCTAAGATTTTTTACGTTTTACCAATTAGAAAATATTGTTTCAGAAATGTTAAAATATCCGAGTTAACTAAAAAGCGATTCTTGTTCGTTGCTATTCACAACAAACAAAAAGCATTGTGTACGCGCGACCGACAAAAAGGAAGATATTCTGTTTCTTTTTTCTACTGATATGGCGCCCTTATCGACTTCAGAAGTAAACATATTAGGGTCATCGTAAAAAAAGATCGTCAGACACTGGCTCTAAATATAAGCAGGTAGAAAGTTTAGCTTCCAGTTATTTCAATGTTTACAATATAACGAAGAATCTACAACAGTAATTAGGTACTTCTATTTTTATGAATGTTTAAGTTACTTTCTTATTTTTTTTTTTCAAAATAATGTACCTAGTAGAAATATAGTCTAATGAACCCTGTTTGAAAAACGTTAAATTAAATATATTTAAAATACAGTTGTCCTCCTTGTATATAACTACAATACAACTAAAAAAACTAATTTAATAAAAAAAACAAGTGGTTGTAGAAAAACTTCAAATATTATTTTTTTTTTATTTTTTAAACATCGAAACTCAAAGGCATAATAACAGGTATCATACCAACCATAAATAGAGTAGGTATGTCATATAAAAATGTTTTGAGTTTTTACTAGAATCGAGTAGGTATGTCATATAAAAATGTTTTGAGTTTTTACTAGAATCGACCCTTGATAAAAAAAGGGATTAGATTTAAGTTTACCTTTGATCCAGTCTGTAAACTATTTCTTTGGATTTTCTGCACGTGTGCAAAAACTACACTAAAACACTATATCTTGTAGAAAATAAAATATTGTGCCTTGAATTTGAGGGATTTCGTCTGAAAAATTATTAATTTGGAAGAAAACCGGCAACAAGCGGCAGAAAATAATATTTCCGTGCAGTCTTCTCGTCGCAACGACCAACGGACGGCCAGGACGTTAGTGTGCGCTATATCATTTGATTTAATGGTTTTAGAGGTAGCTGCAGCCTGGCCGGTGCGACCTGGTCGTCAGTGTGTTCGAGCCCTTAAAGTATCACAGCACAATACATTTTAACCAAAAACTCGTAATACAAAATTAAAGCCCCGTTCTCAGAACTTTGCATTGTCGCCAGCGACACGTACAAAATCCAACAGACAGCTGTCAATCCATCCAAACAGCTGTCAATTTTAAATTTTGTACAACTCTCATTGGTTCTTTGTGCCAATCAGTGTCGCTGGCGACAATACGACGTTCTGAACGGGGCATAAGCTCCATTCCCATGTGGCGGATTCATCTCTCCAAAAAAATCCTTTATGGGTATTTCGCCACTGCACTGCAAGAAAATCTACAAAATAAAATAGTTATTTTTTGGAAACACTTCTGCGTTAAACCTAAACGGACGCTGCTTGTCAGAAGTTATGTTTACAGTAATACAAATTTGCCTAACAAAGAAAAAAGAAAAATATTAAAATACAACGGTGTTTAACTTCTGACAAGCAGCGTCCGTTTAGGTTTAACGCAGAAGAGTTTACAAAAAATAACTATTTTATTGTGCAGTAGAGGTGTGTAGTTCGTGAACGAACTAGTTCCAATATACTATTCCGACCCCGGAATGAAAGAAACTAGTTCCTGGTTTCTCAAAGAACTAGTTCCTCAGGACCTATTCCGGGATCGAGACTGTAACCGATATAGAATATGTGACGGCGCCGGCGACGGATCGGCTAGCGCGCGTAGCCCAATGGTAGGCAGGAGTGGGGAGTGCCAGCCGTACATTATTGGATCCGGACCTAGAGGAACTAAACTAAATAGACTAGTTTACGTACGAACGGATCGGGCCAGCGCGATCGATGCTAGGCAGGAGTGGGGAATCCCAGCCGTATGCCGTATGTTATCGGATCCGGACCTAAAGGAACAAGAGGAACTAAATAAGAAACTAGTTTACGTATGGATCAGCCAGCGCGATTGATGCTAGGCAGGCGTGGTGAGTGCCAGCCGTATGTTAACGGATCCGGACATAGAGGAACTATTAAAAGACTAGTTCACGGGAATCTATTCAGTCGGCAGATCCGAGATATAATACAAGGCGACGACGATGGATTCGGCCTTGTCTATTGCCACAGCCGGCGCGGCGTAATTACCACAGAAAATTGTCGTGGATACTGTGTTATGATTTTTATGAGTACCTTGTTTATATAGTGTATTGTTATGATTAACAAATGATGGTTTATGTATATGTCAGATTGTATTATTCATAATGCATGGTTTTTATGACAGAGGCGATAGAATGTTACGGGAGATAAGATTGTGAGTGAGGCGCCCGCCGCAGTCAGTCGGTACCGGGCGCTCGCACGATACACATGTTTGTGTCGTAATCCTGAGTACTACAATGTAATAAAGAAGTTATGATGGAAATCGAGTGTTTTATTTGAAAATACAACTTGTAGTACTCTTACAACTGTTTTTGATTTTTAGTTTGTTTTTTAAATATTTTATGGGAATGTTTCAATTTAGGTCCCTAAAATTAAAAAATATCCTATAAAACGAAGTAGATATTCTGAATTTTTAAGTGAGGAAAAATGCAATTTTTCGTAAAATTTGTGTAATATTTGCTCCAATTGATTTATTATATAGTTTTTTAAATTCTGATTTGAGTTTTTTTATTTTTTTTATCTGCAATAAAACTTACCTATATGTTTTTAACACACATAATTACACGTCTCGTTATATCTCCGTACATTATAAAAATTATACAGATCATACTGTGAATAGTTCTGACTGACAACGAAACGCATTAGCAAGCAAGGGGGATGTCAATGTTAGTCGGGAACTATTGGGAACTAAAGACCTAGTTCAAGGAACTATTCCTCTGGAGGAACTAGAACTAAGGAACTAGTTCCTCCCAAGGAACTAGAATTCCCACCTCTACAGTGCAGTGGCGAAATACCCATAAAGGATCATACGGTATAAACTATGAAATGTTCTAACTGGAAGGACAAAAAATTTAAGATCCATATATTAATTAAGCCGATGCTGAATATTGCTTCTTATAGCTAAGGTATTCTGTGACATAAAGAAAATAATTTTGAACAACTTTTTCCTTTTTTTAACAGTTTCTGATATTTTGTCAGGTAGCCCCAATTTTTACAAGGGCATTTTTGTAAATTGATGCTGTGGCAGCCAACATAAACATAGTAGTATGCCAACATGTTTATTTTTGATATTTGACATGCTGAATTCTATATTTGTTTTTCAATAGGTCGCTAAGATTTTTTCCGTTTCTTTGGGGATACCATATATATTCAAGTAATAATTATTTGAATAAGTATTCCTATGACTATGTTTTAACTTTAGAATTTATAGTATGCATCATCTACCTTGATCGCTCAAATAAAATATTCTTTCTGGCCAGGTACGTAACTTAACCATATGCACTGCTTTTGTACCTAAAACCAGCAGCTGTGTACCTCTACTGCTTAAACTGTTGTAGCATGCTCTTTCGCCAGCTAGGGCAAATGCCTCGCTAACTCCTCCTCCAACGGCCAATGCTTTAAAATGTGCCGAATTATACACCAGCCCAGCATTGGAAAGTTCCAACAACTCCAATTCTCTTTGCGTTCGCACTTCTATTAGCCGTAAGTTTTCATTGGTATCCAATAATGCTAAATGTCTGGTACCTAGCCAATGTAAGGCAGTTAAAGTATAAGGCAACTGAACATTTCTTAAAGGCATCAACCTAATTCTGTTATTGCTATTCGAACTAAAGTTTGTTATTAACCTTAAACATATATTAGTGAATTAATTAAAAAGGCTTTTAAAAAATAATATACCTGGTGTAATGCAAGCAATTTCCTCTACCCCATGCCAATACTGGTTGGAAAGCTTTTCCTATTGAAACTAATTGCCATGAGATTAAAGGTAAAGATGTGGATATTTTGGGCAGCTGTTGACTAAAATGCACTTTTAAACGGGGACGCACTGATATTACAATAACCTATTAATGAATAAATTTAGATTATTACTATTTATTTAACACTTTATATTTTACTTTGGACAGTGTGGCCATCGCAACTAAAATGTGTCTGCTTAGAAAATTAATATCATGTCCTTGTATGAGAGGTTCAAATACACAAACTTCACCTCTAGCACCAGAAAATAAACATTTTGAATCCCATGTTCTTACCTATAATACAAAATTGAAATATGAGAACAACATACCCATATATATTTGAAAATTATATACCCCTAGTCTTCTGCCAAATCCTAACGAAAAAACACAACCAGATGAATCTCCACATAAAGCAAAGTTACTTAAAAATGTGAATCTTAAATGTAAAACTGCTGTTTGAGGAGCATGGGCATCTGGCAACTTTCGAACAAGATCCCCAGTTTTAGCATCTAACATTGAAATAAACCCCCTTTCATATCTAGAATTACTTTATTAAATGAGGTAAGAAGTTTTAAAATTAAATACCTTACCCTACTAATATTCTAGTACTTTCCAAATTAAAAGCTAAAGCTGATACTGCACCTTGATCTAACATAATAACATCGTGGTAGCACCAACATAAATTTTGCTCTGAATCAAATACCAAAATATAACCGTGAGATGTTCCGATTGCTACAAACTTTAAACTATTTGTTATTACTGTTGGTAGACCAGCATTTACTCTTTCCTAAAATGAACAAAAAAATAACAACAATTCATTAAATTTATATATAGTTTCGTCTTACTAGAGCCGAAGAAACTTGTGTAGAAACACCTTGTAAAACACAATGTGACATCATAGAACGGAATCTTGTTGTCATACTTTGAAAAGAATGAAGAGAAACTGTATCACTTCCTTCTTCAGACTCCATATCCCAGAGAACTTTTTCCAAAGACGGTGGAGCCACTTCGGGAATATCAAAGTCTAAATCGTTAATCTAAAAGAAACAAACATAAAAACTGTTTATGCAGTAAAATTAGTAAACAAACCACCTCCTTAATATCTAGCAAAGATTCATCGGAATCTTCAATTATAAACTCGTCACTTTCGGAAGTCATTTTGTTGTTGTTTTTTAAATATATAAATTAATCTGGCATTAGTATTTAATTTTTTTAAAAAATAATTGCTTAATATTTTGTTTGGTAGTTGGGGGAGGTGCAGTATGTCAATAACATGTCAATGTCAATAACACCTGAATTTAAATGTCATTAATTCAGGACTTGCAATAAAATGAATATAAAGAAACTAAAATCCTAATTAATTTTTTGGAAGATTTTGTTGTCAACACTGATCAATAGAAAGCATTTTTGATCAACTTATCTATGTTTTTGATTAAAAAAAATAGTCTTCTAATCATTTTGCATTGTGTTTATAAATAATAACTTTGTCTTGGATTCGTTTATAAATAATTAACTATGTCTCACAGTGATAGTGAAATAAAAGACGACATAAAAGACAAAATTCGCAAACAATTAAAGTTGGAATTTAAAGCTAAAAAGAAAATTCACAATTCGCATGATAGTGTTCGAACTCTGAAAATAAAAATGCAACCAATTTTTCAGGAATTCAGACTGGTAAAAGCTGTTAATACGAATAATACTAGTGAAGTAAAAAAGTTATTAAATGAAGGAGTTAACCCTAATAGTACCGATCAAGAGATGAGAAGTGTACTTCATGTTGCTGTTAGTAAAGGGTAGAAATATGATTAACTAATACTTTGTCCCTTCTAATTTATATAGTTTTTATTGCAGATATACCGATATAGTACAGCTTTTACTGAGCTATGGAGCCGATCCAAATATACGTGATATAATTCAAAATACCCCATTACATTTAGCAGCTTGTGTTCACAATATACCAATAATTACAATGTTAATTAATTCAAAGGTTACATTTTTCTCATGTTTTTAAGGGGTCTAATCAATGTTTGTTTAGAAATTTAAGAGTAATTCATATTTTAGGCTGATGTTAGTTGTTTAGATCTCCATGGCCGTAACCCAATACAGTTAGTGTCGAGCAAACTTCAACTATTAAGAAAAGGTTGGAGAGATGGTTCTATCGAAATGGTGAAATTAAGAGAGGAATTACAAGAGGTATTTTTGTTCCACTTTATCTAGTCTAGTTATTCTACTAAATATGGAATTCTATTGTAGGTTGTGGATTTACTACTCTCTTTCCTAATTCGTGGTGTAGAAGAGAAAATGGAGAGACTGACTAGGTCTAAAGTAAATGTAAATGATTTACAGTTAATGAAACTTAGTTTGAATTCGGGACCGGCCAATCAGTTAGATGATCAAATGGCAAAACTATTAGATGATATCGAAAATATCCAGATTAAATAATGTGTTGTATCAAAAAGGCATTTATAAAATAGGAGCTGATTTATTTTTATAAAAGTGTAAAATTATAACCTTATAAATTCATCAATTTTATCAATTTTTAATTTTTTACACTTGTACAAAAATAAACCAACTCCTGTGTTACTTAAGACTTAATAGGTATTATTATTATAATGTTTATAAATTACGAATTTAAAATTGATTAAAAAAATGTGAAATGAAATGTTTGTTTGACTTCCAGCAATAAAAACAAATTTTTAGATATAGGGAAAAATTTATTTCTACTTTTTTTTAAAACTTGGTATATAATATCTCATCAAACAGTAAGGATTTGTAAAAAGATGCCATGCTTTAAAATACATTTTCGGAGAGGACTAATTTCCCCTATTTAACTGTAAAAATATAAATGCCTGTAACAAATGCATAACATACAATATTTTTTTTTTATTTATATAAAGGTATTACATTCCTGATAACGTGAAAGGCTTGCTATTTGTAGGCGACTAGAGTTTTCGATCAGTTGTAATTATTTCTGTTACAGTATATCTGTACCCTACTATAAATCTTAAAATTTTTGATCACAGCCCAAACTACAGGTATTATTATTGCACCTTTCAAATAATATAATCTCCAAGTATTTTTCTAGTCTAAAAATTGTATTTTTACTATAAATATTCTAATTTATTAAAACATAGGCATTAGGGTGGGTAGTGGGTCAAAAAAATCAAGATATTTTTATTATTTACTTTATACTCTGAAAAAAATGTTGGTAGACACCTCAAAAAAATTCTCTCCAATTATGAGCTCTTAATTTTAATTGGAAGGTCCTCCGCCTTTCAGTTTTCTATTTTTTTTCGGTATCTACTATTTGGAAAAAAATATCTCAAAGGTATCTTACAAGGCATCTTTAAAGGCAGATTTCTTTGTTCTTATGGATTTTATTAAATTTGTAAAAATTTTCCTGAAAATTCCTAAATTGAATTGAAATTGTTCGAATTATTATTAATCAAAAACTGTTAAAATTATTGTGCATTGAAATTTGACAATGAATAATTTTTAAACGGTTAATTTAATCGGCTAATGACTATAAGAAGGCTAATGATAAGAAACCATTTTTATAGAGCATTGAATTTCTTGAGTTGCGCGTATCATAATGATTTTTTGTTAACGAGTTATAAAATCAGAGAAGAATAAAAAATAAGAAATCTCCCTTAAAATAATCAAACTTCAACATTTAATAACTTTCGAACGGTGACGTTTACAAAAAAATTGTAAGAGACCTATTTTTGAAGAGAATTCAATTTCCTACAAATGTAGGAGACGAGATATTTTTTCCAAATAGACACCGAAATATGACTTTTTCTTTCTAATAAGGAAAAAAATAGAAAACTGAAAGGCGGAGAGGAGGATCTTCCTATTAAAATAAAGCTCATCCTTGGAGAGAAGTTTTTTGAGGTGTCTACCAATCTTTTTTTCAGAGGATAAAGTGAAAAAAAATAGTTGATTTTTTGACCCACCCTAACAGGCATACACTCGATACACAGACTACCAGCCATACAGAAGCAACAGTAAACGTTGATTCTGTTGAAGTAGGTGTCCCACATTAATTTGATGTTAAAGTGACATAATTTGGCAATTAAAATCACTTGTACAATAAAAAAATGTAATAAAAAAATGTAATAAAAAATGTTCTGAAATTTATTAAAAATACAGTGAGAAAAATGATTTCTTTATATAACTGATATTATTGTGATATTTTATTTTCTATTAAATTCAGTAAACCCAGATAGAAACAATCTCAAATAAAATAGTATAGAGCTAGATTTATAAACTCGGCAGTTGAGGTTCAGTTGACGTTCAAAATGTTCAACACTATCAAATCAATGCGTCTATTTATAAAGTAAGTTGGTCGAAAAGTTGGCAGTTCGTTTTACATTGAGGGGAGTTCAGAGATGGCTAATATTTAAGTCGGCAGTTTGCGGCGTTTGGCAGTTGACACAGCAGTCAATGAGCAAACGCTGGTCAATCACGTGAAGCCATTGCCTGGAAACGTATATGGTGAAATTTTGATAAAATAATTTAGTACATACTAAAAACACGGTATGTCGCTAGTGGTAGGAAAAATAATTTTTAGAGGTTACTAGTTTATTTGGTTGCCTGTGATATGCATATACAGGGTGTTTCCTAATTAACCTAAAAAATAAAAAATCGTTAGAAAACGAATTAAGGCAGGCTCTTAATAAGTATATTTATTTTTTTCTCGACAACAATTTTATGAACAAGAATAACTGTAAAGATCAATTTTGTTGAAAAAAGATGGCCAGTCAAGAATAAAAATATATTTTCTTTAAAAAAGCAGTGGTGTACCATTTATGTTAAGCAAAAAAATCGTTTTTTTTTATTTTTAACACCCTGTAGATCAGAAAGGAAGTACTTTAGACCCAATGGTTATATAAAAATTGTTTTAAGAACACATGAGGAATCACACCATAATTTTTTTTAGACTAATTCGAAAACACCCTGTATATTGTCAACTTGACAATGACTGCTGATAAATCAAAAAATACCTTTTCAGTGAAAAAAAACTGATTTTCGCAGGAAACATTTTGATTTTTATTGAATTTGGGCCTGCGTCTGCAAATACTGGTTTGTTTTTTAATTTTCTATCTATCTAAATTTTAAATATCATAGTCAGAAATAGTTTTATTATTTATTAACTGTAAAAATGGTGTTTTCTTGTTGTGTTGCATCTTGCAAAGAAACTAACAAAACTGCAAAAATGCACGTGTTTCCAAAAGACGATAAGGTATGTATCTTATGCCGGAACCGCACATGCGGAATTTAGCGAACTCCGAGCGCTCGTCAACTACCGAGCGCTCGTGATCGGACTTCGCCTATCCATCCACACATGCAGGCTCTGATAGCAACAACATAGAGACGAGCGCTCGTTCTCGTCGCCGATCGAGTCGCCGAACTCCGACTTCCCCATCCACACACATAGGAAATCGGCGAAGCCCCGTTCGGAGATCGCCAAATGCCGCCTGTGCGGTTGCGGCATTAGATAAAACAGAAATATATGGTATGTATTCGTTGTTTGATTTTTTTTTCGATCGCTTTAAAATCTATAAATCTCGGTCTATTCATTAGACAGTCAGTCGACTTACGATCATTTACATGAAACTCTGTAAAATAAATAAAAATCGGTCTATTCATTATATATATATCATCGATATATATCATATATATGAAATGTATATAAATATATATATATATATATATATATATATATATATATATATATATATATATATATATATATATATATATATATATATATATATATATATATATATATATATATATATATATATATATATATATATATATATATATATATATATTCTTATGTTTTATTAAAGTTACTCTGATATACTAATATATCAGTGTAACTTTAAAAATAAATCCTTTGAATTCAAATATAAACATAAAAACATTTACAGCAGAAAAGGTAGAGTAAACGTAGTCTCTACTAAAAACACGGAGGGGCGCTTTGACCCAAAATTTTACTATTAAGTTTCATATCTATCTTAATAGTAGATTATTTTCTTTTATCTATGACGTGAAGCACAGAAAAGAGATGCATTGAAAAATGACCCTTATTGTTGTTTCATTATTTCTGTTTTTGTAATGTTTATATTTTGCGCATTATTTGTTGAATTATTATGTTTGAACTTTGAAAAATATCAAAAGTATTTTTAAATCGAAAACGTTTGAAATTTTCACAGTTCCAAACTTACAACCGAAACTGACGGTTTATAAATGCAAAAATGTTGAACCTCAACTGCCGCGAACATCCAACTGCGACTGAACCTCAACTGAACGTCAACTCCCGAGTTTATCCATCCATTATAAAATCCAACTTAAAAGAGGAAATATTAATCAGAAATGGGCATTAAAGGTACGCGCACACTCACCAGAGCCGCACGCGCCGCATCGGCCGAAGAAAAATATCGTTTGTGTTACTTTCAATGAAAGTGCGCACACTCTAGAGCCGCACGAATCGCATCGACGAAAATGCGGCTAGCATTGTTGGGCCAGAATGATTTTCGGGAAATGCAGCTAGTGCTGCTGACGTCACACGCAATTCCTTCCACTCTACGTATGTAGCCGAAGAGGAGATTTGGTTTGGTTTGGTTTTATTCGCTATTATTCCCATAATAGCGAATAATGCGGCGCGATCGGTACGGCTCAGTGTGCGCGACAAGAAAAAAAGTGCGATTCGAGCGGCGCGTGCGGTAAGTGCGGCGCTGGTCAGTGTGCGCGTACCTTTAAGCTACTCTTATTTTTTACCCGTTTTGATGTAAACCATATATTTAAAAAAAATTGAAAATTAGACTTCTCTTCCATCACAATCTATCTCACTCTAAATTTGACCTACAAAAATATCGCCTGTGTCGCTTCTGTATAGTTAAGTCTATTGAACCAGAAAATATGTAACATCTTTGTCTGTCATTTTAATTCACAGATAAACTGTATTTTCTGTCATCTTTTAAAACATTTTTGTCAAAATATTTCCTGGTCCATTGGAATGACTTATCCATATATTTATAAAGTAACCATTATTGACTCCAAACTACATTCTGTGAAGCCGAGCCGGTGAAATGGGTAAAGAAATCTTCTGAAGGAAGGTTAGGCCTGCTCAAGCCTAGTGCGCAAGCCTGATTTTGAATTATTGATCGGATAACTAGACCAATAAGAGACTAGACGCTAGCACCAGCTGTTCATTCGTACGGCTTCGCCCAACTTCGTACGGCTTTCGTTTGCGCTTCCGTTCGACAATTATTGGCCTCTGTATTGGCTAATCCTCAGAGCAAGGGCTAATCGATATTCGGAATTTTGGAATTATGGACTTATCATATAATTCTGTTCTTGCTGTTTTAAGTATTTTTGTTAAGTAGTATAATAATATATATGTTTTTTTAATTTTTAAAATTCATTAAAATAAGCATCCCTTATATTTGCTGTGCCTATGTTTTAAAAATATTAACCACATACTTTTATATATAAATGCTTGTTGCAAGCTGATATTAAGTACAAGGTAACTTTATTATAACGAAAAAAAGACGTCACAGTGGTCTGTGAAATGACGATTATACATATTATATTAGATATGAAGAGCGCACAGGAAAAACGATGAAAGTCAATTTTTTGTTCATTTGGATTTAATGCATAATATTTTCCGTCTTAAAAAGCTACACTTTTTGGTATCTAAACAAACGGGAATATCGATAGCGGTCACATAGAAACAGGCATTTAAAAATGGGAAAAATGATAAAAGTCCATGCGTAATTTGAATTAAAAGACCCTTTCCTGAACATTTATCGTTTTTGGACACTCATCGTTTCTTCCATGTGTTTTTCATATATTTTTGTCGGGCGGACAAGGAAATTATAAATTACTTACTATCCTAAATGAAGAATAATTATTATTAATAATTTTTTATGTCAATTTTTAATAAATTACATATTGGAGTAGGCCCGATAGTATCATCGACTATCATTTGAAGTTAACTGTCACGGCTTTTTTTCGATTGTATTGTATACAATAAACAACAAAAATCTCTCTAATAATACTGACTGAGCACCAAGTTATCAAGTGCAGTAATAAAAAATTGTGAAGTATTTTATCCCAAACCAGACCTAGAATTACTATGTACCTTTTATTATCTTAAAAGCTTTGAGCTTATATAAAATATCAAAAACACGATGTACGTATAATAAATCTCCTAACAACAAAAACAAAAATGGTAAAATATATATGGCTGTTAAAAACATTTCACAATAAAAACGAGACAAATCTATATAAGCCTAATTAAAAACTATCGAACCTTATCAGTAAAGGCTCTAAAGTAGATAAAATCACAACCTTTGGTTTTCGCCTAAATTTACGTTTTTCGCATCTATAACTAATGGAATGTTCGGATCAAGGAACCATAACTCTGCCCAATTCTGGAAAAATTTCGGCCTGGATTGGGCCATAGTCTACGTGTTCGCCGTCAACAGTGATATATCTAGAAAAAATCAAGTATAAGTACATCAAAGAGATTATAATATTTACATTAAAACGAATAAATAAATAAGAAGAAAGAAACATTTCAACAAAAGAAGATGAAGAAGCATATCATAGTAGCGATTCCTCTGTAAGTGCGCATGCATCTGTGTCTACAAAAGGAATTTCAAGAATGCAGACACAATATTGGATGTATGATCAATTTACTACAAAACATATTAAACATCAGTATATTTTATGGATCACTACCTATACGGGGTATTCTGACATCTCTCGTGGGGAGATTCCTCACGTAAGAATTAAATTTATTTTTTACATCAATATAGGCCCGATTCTGTTTTGTTTCTTATCTAGAGGGTTAAAGTCTTCATTCTTTTTTATCGTTTTCTTACAAGTGCTTTTAGCGATTCGAATGAGATTTTGATGGTAAAGTTACTATAAGCACAGATTAAGTATACTATATGTATACAGATAAAAATATTATCCTTAATTCGTGGTACGAAAATTGTTTTTTATGAATCGTCATAAAAAACAATTTTCGCTAATATCGTAATTCTATCATAAAAAACGATATCGCTAAACCGAATAGAGTGCATGTGCGTTAATAAGGCCAGGTGTTATTTTCTTTACGTGAGGTGGTATTAACTCTCTTCATTTATAGTTATCGGATTGGAAAGAATTCTGTTCGCGTCGCGTCCGCTATTTAAACTTAACCTAACTTTGAATTTAAACTTTGAAATTGTTTTGTTTACTAGGTATTTTAAAACTAAAGGGGTAAAGTGCTTATTTCCAGTGCTTTATTGTTCAACGTCTGCCAGTGGGTTTAGAGCAACAAGCAACAAATTCTCTTAGAAGTGCTAAGTCGTCATCTGCTGTAAACCTAAGCCTCTTTATAGGTTCTTTAATATTGAATGAGGTGGAATCCATATTTTGGGTCATATTTATTTAATTAAAACTAATCCCAGCTACTTAAATATGAAATTACCTAATAAAACTAAAGTAATAATTCAAAACAATTCAAACATAACCTAAAATAAAAGATCTCGCCGGCCGGCCCCGGTTGTCAAATACCCGCACATGCCCATTTAAGCAATTTTTAAACGTTATTTAGAAATAGCGCTTGGTGTAATTGATCCGCAAATTACGTCAGGCGGTAACGTTATTAGCGGGCGTTGCGTTAAAACTTGACTCGCCCATATCGTAACCATGATAAGGTACGCGTAACTACTGCATGACGCTATTCGGTTTTGCGATATCTCTCTAATAACTGTGCCGATCAGGCGCTGTGCACAATTTTAGAGGCCATAAGTGGGCGTGCTATGTGCGCAAACTAGTAACCTAACTAGTGCCCGATTCCGAAAATTGGAACCACGAAAAACAATAAAGAAAAAACAAAGATTATAATCTGTATAATCTGTGCTATAAGTGCAATGTATTTTTATGCTAAAAAGTGTCATATTCACCAGGGACATGCACATGGGTTATCAGTGGAATATTTTTCTAAAAAGAAACTACTACTATGTACGCCATTGACTTTTTCTTCTTTTGTTAGCAAAATTTTATAAACCATTTATTGCGGATTACAAGTTCTCTTGATATTTTGTCGATTTCAGTCTTCTTGATAAAATAAACGTAATTTTATTTTAATTTGCCCTAATCCAAGTCTAATAGCAACTTTTAAATTTTGTGTGTCATTAACTCGCCAAGGTGTTAAATAAGTATTCATCGATTCCTCATCAAAAAATATGAAAAAAAATCCTATAAACACGAATAAACATGTCAACATAAAGTTACAGGATGTTAAAACTTTAAAAAATAGGTCTTTTGTAATTATCGTAAATGCAATGTTTTGCATTGGAAAATGAACTTTAATGCAATGATTTTGTTTTTGAAATTGCTGTAAGTAGCACTGAATATCAGTGTTATAAGTTTTAATAAAATTTAATAATAAATTTGAGTAAATAAATAATTTATTAATTTTATTTTTAATCTGATTAATAAAATTGTGTTTATCTCATCAATTCTCTATAATTCTGATAACAAGAGAAGAAAAGTTCCAGTGATAACACATACGCACGTCCCTGGTTAATCTGTTGACATTTTTTAGCATTAAAAATAGGTAGCACATATAATAAGTTGAAGATAATGAAGATTTTAACCCTCTGTAGTAACCCGTATGTTGATATAAAAAATAAATCTAATATTTACGTGAAGAAACTCCCTACGAGATTGGCACAGAATGTTTTTGAAAACACCCTGTATACACGCGGCAGAGAGTTCACGTGGACTTGACGAATATGTCACCGCAAAACACACTGCGCTCACTCATTGGCCATTTGAAAATTTGTCGAATTTTTATTGATGGGATGCATCACCTATTTTTTTACGAGAACGGTAGTAGACCGAGCTTGGAGAACAGTGCAGCCGTTATCGGTAAAATACTTACGCAATCTTATTATATTTTTGTTTTTTCTCATTTTTTTTTAATTTTTATAAAGATTGTGTCTGATTTACGTAGAAAAACGTTGAAAATAATAAAACTGATTAGGTATTTTGTAAATTTTTGTATAAGTAAGTTGGTTAGGTTAAGTGATAGGCACAACTGTCACTGTAATGGATCGTTAGACAGACAATATTCTTAAAGCGCATATAATCAACAAAATAAAGACAAAATAATTCACATTCACGACTGCACCGAAAACGAAAAAAATAGCCAGATAGATATACTTGTAAGCGAGGTCGGTTTAGTAGATATATAACATTGTAACGATTAAAATATGCAACAAAATTAAGGTTTTTTTACGGTTAGATTTCCCGGACATTTTTTTCAAATTCCGGCCGCATCAGCTTTGACTACTTAAAAACCCGCACATGCCCGGGTAAATCTGGACGTATGGAAACTATAATAATAGTAATGTTAAATAATATAATATTTAGCCAATTTGTAGCATTTCAGTAATAAATACGCCTCAATAAAAACTCTTACCCATTTTCTGTCATGTCGGGCTCAATCCTAAAAGCGTTTACTGGAATGAGTTTGATGTACTCGCCGGAACTTCTGTTATTGTTGATTGCATGTGCTCCAGTGCTTAAACCTGGAAAGATAAACAGAAGACGTTAAAACATAACTACGTATAATTCTTCAAATGAAAATAATGTTACGTTTTTCGTCGGTTCCGTGTGGATAGAAAGTCACAATTTATTTAAACACTATTTATTTAACACTAATTAACAAAAACAATAACGATAAAAGACTTATAGAACTATTTACAAACGATTTATAACTAAGAATTTATTTTGAATTTTAGCGCGTCAACTGCACTGGTATATTTATAACTGCCCTCTCTAGGCCACTGCCGCCGGCTTTTATACCTACAGCAAAAGAAATCTAGAATAGTCCATAGATCGTTAGGCGCATAGAGAAGGTTTTCGAATGTTCTCGTATGTACTAGTCCATTCTAGTGGGTCTCGATTCTTCTCGAACGAATGAATCATTGCGGTGTCTATGCGATGTTAAGGTCATCCGAGGGCGGGCCATATTGTGAGGTTAGGTCGAGTCCACACCGGCTCGCAACACTGCCCCCTTCTTAGGCACATGCTCGTCCCGAGATTATACGGTGAATGAAGGTATTTGCAAAGCTGGCCCCTGGTACATTGCGAAGTCTGGTAGAAATAGCAGTCTACAGTTTTCTCTCCCGATCTCAGCTTTGGGTTGTAGCAGCAAACGAGGATCTCGATTCCCGTAAATCTGAACAAGACTTCAATCATGTTCCGGATTGTACGCCAACTCAAACCATCGAGTCCACACGCCAGCTTCGGAATGGCTAATCGTGCAATGTTGTTGTTTAGCAGGGCTTCTCTCAGTTCAATCAGGGTCTTCCATAGATTGAGATAAGTCGGCTTACTCGGGGACCATTCCTTGGTGACCAGGTAGAAGATGTGCCTTGCTTGACCATGTGCATTGTCGGTTAGCCTCAAGACGCTTCCAACCTCTGGATCCTGTCGGCGTAGTTCTCCGACACGCCCAAACTTCTCATTGAACGTCGCAGCGATTCCTCTGGACATCCGCAAATCTCGAGCCACACAATGAGCGAGCGAATAATCAGGAGGCACGGAAAAGAGGTCTCGTTGATCTTCTTTGGTTACACCATAGCGAGCCTTCTCACTGCTGTTGTATCGGGCCATGAAATCGTCAAAGGACATCTCCGAATCAGGGGGATCAAAGCTGCAGGTTCTCACGGTCCCAGCACGATCTTCTATTTCGCCTTGGTAGGGGCTCAAACGGTTGAAATGGACTACCCTCGGTTTTCCTTTTGGCAATTTTCTGATACGGTATACGACGTCATTAATTCTATCCATGACTTCGTATGGCCCTTCCCACGAGGATTGTAGCTTCGGAGATAACCCACGACGTCTCTGCGGGTTATATAGCCACACCAACTTCCCTGGTTGGTATCCTCCATGCTCAGCTTGAATGTCGTAGTGTTCCTTCATTCGGTCACTAGCACTTTGAATATTTAGGCGGACTCTCTGATGAATGTCGTCCATCCTTTGACGTAGTGTGTGGACATAATCTTCTCCGGCGACTTCTTCTCCCGGTCGGCAACCAAATTTCAGATCACAGGGTAGGCGCACTTCCCGTCCCATAACGATGCTGGCTGGAGTTTGCCCTGTAGATTCTTGGACGGATGAACGGTAGGCCAACAGGAACAGGTGAAGAAATTTGTCCCAGTCTCTTTGGTGGTCAGAGACTACTTTGGCCAGATAACGGTTGATAGTTCTGTTCATGCGTTCAACCATCCCATCGGATTGTGGATGTAGAGCAGTCGTCCTGGTCTTGCGGATGTTCAGGACTTCACAGACGCCTTGGAACAGATTGGACTCAAAGTTTCTTCCCTGATCTGAATGAAGCTCCATGGGAACACCAAACCTGCAGATCCATTCTTTAACAAGGGCATCAGCAATCGTGGACGCTTCTTGATTTGGCAACGCGTAGGCCTCGACCCATTTGCTGAAGTAATCCATTACTACCACAATGTATTTGTTGCCATCGTTCGTCTCCGGGAAAGGACCAGCCACGTCGATCGCTATTCGTTCGAAGGGACTACCAACATTGTACTGGCGCATAGGGGCTTTACCACGCTTTTGTGGCCCATTAATGGCTGCGCAAATGTCACATTTCTTACACCAGGCCCTCACATCTTCTTTGCAGTTCACCCAGTAGAACCGTTCACGCAGCTTGCCAAGTGTCTTGGTAACACCAAGATGTCCTCCGCTGGTTCCATTGTGAACTTCCTCCAAGACTTCTGGGACCCTCTTCTTTGGAATGACGATCTGCCTTCTCTCTTCTTGTCCCTCCGGTCTCTCGATCACACGGCGAAGTAGTCCGTTATCTATTACCAAGGAATTCCACTGGGCCCAGTACGATTTTACGTTCGGCGAATATCTGCAAACATCTTCCCACGTTGGTCTTTGGCCTGTGTTTTTCCAGTTAATCACTAAGCCTAATTCTGGGTCACTGATTTGGTCGTTTGCAAGATCTTCGGGTTGCCAAGTATCGTTAACCACAGTTGTCCTTAAGACTTTCACTTCTTTCTCTTCTTTGCAACGATTTCCCATCTGTCCGCAATTCCAACAGCGAATCGGTCCCCCCTTCTTGCTCATATACTGATCCAGTACTTTCCGCACAATCCTTTCCACTTTGGAATCGTCGGAACACTCTTCAACAGCCCGTACAAATCCTAGAGACCTAGAGCATTCTTTCGCGGCCTCAAATTCCAGGGCATCTCCCAAATGCGTTGGATGAGCTAAAAGAAGTGTTTGCCTTGTCTCGTTGTCACGTAAACCATCAATAAAAGCCTGTACTTTTAAGCGCTCCATAACATTTTCGGGCATAGCAGGGTACGCAAGGCGAACGAGGCGGGCTACGTCGGCTTCAAACTCCTGCAGAGACTCATTTGACTTTTGAATGCGATTTTTTAGTTGGTATTGATAGACATGTTCCAACTGAGCTTGGCCGTACCTCATTTCTAAATGTCGTACCAATTGCTGATAATCTCCCTGTTCCGATGGTGACAGTGTCTGCAGGATATCCGTCGCATCTCCTCGCAGTGCGACAGTCAAAGCGGTAGCCTTTTTAGCGATTGTCCATCCGTTCGCTCTCGCAGCGGCCTCAAACTGGCAAAAATAATTGGCCCAAGCGGTTTTTCCGTCAAACTGTGGAGGTTTTATAACTGATTTTGAGGTATACTTATTTTCGACGAGTGTCGGGCCCTCCGATGTTTCTTGACATTTTGGTGAATTTGCCTTTGCTATTTGTTCTTTCAAAATTTCGTCCTCAATTTGTGTTATTTTGTCTTGTAGTTCTGTAGAATTTTCTATAATCTTTTCTTCTAATTCCCTGGAAGATTCCAGGATTTCTGTTAACTTTTCTTCTAAATTAAGTATTTTACTATTAAAGCTGGCCTGTATGTCTTTGGAATTTTCTGCAATCTTATCTTCTAAAATATTAATTTTATCTTCTAATTTTTGGGAATTTTCCGTCATTTTATCACTGATTTTATCTTCTAAATTAACTTCCAAGGCAATTATTTTACTATACAAATTGTTCAAGTTGTCGTCTAATTTTTGAGAATTCTCTGTCATTTTATTTTCTAATTTTTGTAGGCACGAGTCAAGGTCACCTTCCAACTCAAAGCAAAATGTGTCAGGATCCTCACCTTCCTCCACCAAAACGTCTCTCAGTCTAGCTTGCAAAATGCTTTTCCTTCCATCTGTCTCGCACTCTCTCTCTTCCAATATGCATTTCAGTTCGGACACTTTCAAGTCTTTCAAGAATTATTTTAGAGCCATGGTCAGTCTTTTTATTTTTCTTGTCTATCACACACGCCACACTTGACACCAATTGTTACGTTTTTCGTCGGTTCCCCCTTTCTTGAGTTATAACTCATCATACAGTCCCAGGGCTTTAACAAAAGCCAGTAACGGTTTTACAGAAGGTAGTTCTCCATCTCCAATATCAATTGTACCAAAGTTCATGGCACAAATGGTTGTCGTCTCGGCGCAAGCAGTGAAGAGGTGTTCTGGTGTTTCCCCATCTTCCCCACAGAATCTGCATTCGCCGTTTCTTCTTAGTTTCAATCTACTGAGGCGTTCATTGAGGAGACAGTGTTCTGTTAAAAACCCTGTGACAATCCGAAGGTTGTTCTTACTTAACTCCAGGAAGAATTTTTCTTAGTCGTAAGCCCTCAGAAACTTCTTCGAGTGTCTGACCGTTGCTGGCTGAAGATTCCCATTCCAGGTTGCGGATGAGTCTTCCAAGTTCTTGAGTTCCGCCTTTAGTTGGTTACCACTTGGGAAGCAGAACGGTTCTGGTCCAGTTAGTGGAGTGTTCGCTCCTTTTCTAGCTAGATCATTTGCTTTTTCATTGCCTTCTATCCCTTGGAGAGCAGGCACCTAGAGTAGGAGGACTTTGTTTTCTTTGCCTAGTTTATTCAGCTTCTCTATGCATCCTTTGGCCAATTTCGAATTGATTGATACTGAGTTGATCGCTTTTAACGCTGCTTGACTATCAGATAAGACGCAATGGCACAAGTTTGTCACAACCATTTTTGAAGCATCTTTCTAAAATTCACAATAATCTTATTGAAATTCAAGTCCTGTACAATGTTTTTCCTGTTTTATACCATGTTGCATAAAGTCAATTATAAAATAAACTTAGAAATCGGCAGCAAACCCGCAAAAATTCAAATCAAATGTATTCACTGCCATAATTGTTCCGGCGATAGAACATGATTTAGAAAGATGATGCCGACCTTTAAAAAATGACAAAATAAAAACAAAAAAAACTGTGGTACTAAGGCAGAACCAGATATGTCAACATTATTTACTATTTGACATATCGGGTTCTGCCTTAGTACCACAGAAATATAAGTCCCAAAGTTTAAGTATTGAATACTTGCCAAGTAAGAACTGCAGTAGCTGAGTCCTGCTGGCTCCATACTTTACAACTAGTAACCATATTCGACCGTCATTGAGTTTGGCCTCAGGAGCAAACAAGCAGTCTTCCCCTAAATGGGTTTGATATGAGGCATGTACCTGTTAAAAGTAAAAAAAATTGGCATAAATCTATGAATAATTCTCTTTACCAGGAATTCCCTTATCATTTTTTTTTGTTATATATGCTACGGCTAAAATGGATACTTGGCTAGTTATATTAAATATATTAAACTAGCCAATTATTTTGTTAGTTAGGTCGTTAGGTGTTAGTTGGCGGTAGTGGTTGTGCTGTTTTTTTACAAAATAGCTGGCTAGTTTCAAGTATCCATATTAGTCGTAACATATACATTATTTCATATTTTACATTTTAAGTTTAAATTTTAATGAATAATACTGATAATTCTAACCATTACAAATCTTCCATCCATGCATTTCCAATCATCAGGCAACGATGTTGTCAAACTCGGCAACTGTGATGCTGGTCCATACATTCTTCTAGTTTTGTCTTTAGAATTAGGCACATCACCTTCACCTAGAGAATATTCTTATGAATATACATCATATAAATGAATAAGCATGAAAAAAATCAGGTAATTCCATTTTTTAAATAATTATTTCAGTGTAACATTTTTCGATTTTACATTTCTTTACAAAGCTTTGCTTGTGCAGTATGAATCAAAATCGCGATATTAGTCACTTTTTTTAAAAAATGGTGTCTAGATGTCAAAAAACCACTTCATGTTTTTAGATGGAATGTTTATTTGAACAAGCCATACACAGGATGTTTAAACAGCTACTGAAATCATCTGTTTTACTACATTTAAACTTATTGGTATTTATTGCAAAGTTTAATAATTCACCTAATCAAAATATATCTTACAGAAACATTTTAAGTAGAGAAATATTTTGGAAAAAAAAACATATTTAGCAAACATTTACCTAATTTGCTATCTGTAGTAGACTGATATGAACTGCCACCAGTAGAAAAATATGCGCTACGTCTAGAATGGGCACTATACCACGAATCTACCCTCGGACGCCCTAAAAATTAAAAAAAAAAACTTTTATGACACAAAAGTCATACGGTAGGTAAAAATAATTATACCTTCTTCAGTTTCCAGATGAACTTCGGCGGGCAGTTCCAGAGTACTGCCTGTGTTTATGGGACTGGCGAACTTGTCGTTCGATTTGGAAATGGGAATGTCGGAAGGCAAGTACCATAATTTTCCTCTATACGATCGCAGACCCAGAAGTCGCGCTATCGACCAAATCGTGAATCTCGTACCGCCGAGCACTCTTAACCTAACCAATGGATAATTTGCATGAATTCTAAAATTACTCGAAACATCATCTATATGTATTTCAATTAAATATTTGAAAGCCATCAGCAAAAATATTTTTTCAAACTTTCCAAAATTATTATTGTAGATAATAGACTGTTTTAATCGTGCGAACACGCCCACATAGTCACGTGACCGAAAACGGGGCGTTCCGAGATGTGAGTTTTTCTTGTTGTTTTGTGATATAAGATAAGAGGGTTAGAACAATATGGAAACAGGGATTCTACAAGCACATAATGACAATTTGCCAAGAACTCCCCCTTTCATGTTGAACTGTATCAGACAAAATTCTGCCTTTTTGATAATATATGTCTCATTTAAAATTTTTAGCTTCATGACAGGTTGCAAAGAAGCAAAACGATGAATTTAAAGTCTAAGATGTCGGCTTATAGCATGAGCATGAATTGTAACAATAATATATCTTTCTTATTTGCTTGCCATCATTTTCATCAAATGTCTTCAGGTTTTGGCAGCAAAAAATAATTATGTTAAAGTCCGTGCTTAAATCAAACTGTAAATAAACAACCGGTTTGTTTAGATTTTACTGGTTGGTTGTTTGAAATTATTATTAAAAACTAGGGGCAAAATTGATAATACGGATTTTATAATTCATTTTTAAAACTCCTTCAGTTAGAGATGGGCTTAACAGCGTCTTTTGACACTGGTACACCGGTTACAGCGACCAGCGACTCTTATTACCTTACTACGTACCAGCGACTTAAGTCACAAAAAGGTACATAAATACAGCTCGTTTTCATCGGATTCCGTTTGCGGCTTGCGCTAGGATCCAATATGGTGATCGGTTCCGGCTGATATAAGCGGCTGAACATAAACAGTGATTTTTCTCGGTTATGCCGGTGCTAGCGATCACTAGATTATTTTTACTTTTTACCAGCGACGAAGCCGCTGTTTAAATTAGCCAAATCGATAGCCAACTATCTATCTATCCAAAGGTATTAAGACTGTCGTAGTGTTGATTGAAAGAATTGGGAAGATACGCAATCTAATGGGCGAATTCGTGACAAGGCTGATTTGATTTCCCCTTACTTCTCAAGTGCTCTAGGGTTGGCCCTAACTCGGCGGCCAACGCATAAAACACTCATTTACGCTCTCTAATTTTTCATATCGAAGGGGGTGTGGAACTGAAAGCGACAGTATTGCTAGATTAAAATGTGTAATATCTTTAATACATTTCACCAAAATATATTTTGATGACAAATCCGCGTTTAGCATTTACATATTGAAAATTTATTTGTGTTAAACATAGTATAAATAACAAAAATAAATATTGTAAATATAACAAAATATTTCTATCCTTCAGTATTTTTTATTTCATGTAAAAGAATAGATAAAACAAGAAGAAATGTATCTTGATTAAAATTAGATTTAATCATATTTCTTTATTATTATAATTATATCACTCTCTATGGACTATGGGCCCCTCATGCTATGGAAACTCTTAGATTTAAGAAAATCCGTATTATTAACGTACCGTACCCAAAACCCGTATTATTAACGTACCATACCCAAAATCCGTAAATCTACGGATCCCCCCAATCACCCACTCCGTGCACTCCGTCAACCAAATACGTTTAAATAAAATATTCGACGGCCTCCCCATAAGAGCAATGAGAGGATTTACATCCCAGTATTGAGGGACAGAAAATCGTGTCGAATGGTTTCAAGACATAAGTTCATCTTTGTTTAGTCAAACCTCCTACAACACAAGGATAGACTTATGTAGGAAATGCATTGAAATTCAATAGCCATCCTTCAATATCGGGAGAGGAATTTAAGCGGTACCCTCCGTATATTTTATTTTAAACGTATTTGCCGTCAACTGAAAGCAGAACTACGGTACAGTCAGGGTTGCCAACTCTGGAAGATGGATCCCGCTAGATTCGTGTATTAAAAACCGCTAGAATCCGCTAGGGGCGTAACTGAACCTGAAATTTTGCTTTTTCGTCTATTTTTGAACCTTTTATTAGAGCTTTTATCACCTGATGAGACGAATTTAACGTGACTTCGAAGATTGTAAGCCTAGATACTATAAAAATATATGATCTTTACCCGACTATTGGGGCAAATTTTGAAAAAAAATTGTTTTTTAGAATTGAAATGATAATTTTTTGTGTCAATTTTACTTATTGTTTTTTATTATATATATACAATATTTTATTCAAAAATGTAAACCGCTAGACGCTAAATAATATTTTTTTCCGCTAAACTGAAAAATAAACTGCTAGATCTAGCGGGAAAACCGCTAATTGGCAACAGTGGGTACAGAATTCCTTATCCGCTGCGCTATAAACGACTACCAGCGCGCAGCGGCGCAGAGTAAATTGACGTTACTTCGGAAATCTCGAAATCGCTCATAAGGTTGCTTATTTACATCTTCTTATTTCTTCAATCAACGGTCGTAGTCACCGTTAAACCTGGGATTTAAAGCGCCTTTAGAGAGCTTAAAATTTAAACCGCTAAATTATGCACTTCAAGTTCTCTTAAGTTCTGATATTTCGTTAAAATACTTACCTTTCACTCTCGATATCTATATCAGACAGTAAGCCCCATCCAACCGACAGGAACGAGAACAATATCTGTGACGTCGTCTCCACCCTGACCAGGTCCATAGGTTCGCTGGTGCCCCTTACAGCAGCAAGGGCTGCGGGTAGAGTAGGCGCCGGAAGATAGGGCTCAGAGGCGTAGTGAGCTATGCTGCGGGCCAAGCCGTTACCGGAACCTCCGGGAACCACGCCCAAAGGGATAGTTTTGATGACGTCAGCCCAATCGTACCTCTCGAAGATACCGTTGATCGCTTCGAAAACGATACCGTCTCCGCCTACCTAAATATAGAAGACAGATATAGTTAGAGCATATATTATTGAATATGCACCAGCCTTATATACAGGGTGATCCAAACTGTATTCCGGAAACTTAGTCAGGATATTCTGCAGATAAAAATAGGTAAAAAAGTTCTTACAAATGTATGTCCTAAAATGCTTAGTTTCGGAGATTACATGGTGTACAAGTTTTAACAATTATTTCGATTTTTTCTAAATAATTTATGAAGTAACATCAATATTTGGATGAAAATTGGTGTCTAGAAGTTTTTTGACATAAAAAATTTGGTTTTGATGTCAATATGACTCCTACTTGTAGAGGGCGCCACCTACATATTTTTAACTGGTTTGAAGAGTAATAACTTTTCGTGTACCTTTATACAGGTACACTAGTGAGTCAAAAAATATAAATTTGCGACGTTTTTTACGTAAAAAAGTATCTTGGTAAAAATCGCTACGGGTAATGGTTCTCAAGATATTTAGAATCGAAATTATCAACACCTATCATCATTGACATATGTAAATTAAACATGTTGACTAAACAGTTAATAGTTTGAAATAATAAATTTGAAATATTCTTTTGCCAAAAGTTGAATAGAAACTGTTTTATTATCATTTTTTCGCAGAAAAATTTATGATTAATTTAAAAAATAAAAATTTTCCAAATTTATTATTTTAGTCGAATAACTGTCTACTCAACGTGTTTATTTTTTATCAATAATGACATGTATTTTAAATATTTTTAAATATCTTGAGTCACGGAAATGTATATTTTTTCACTCAGTAGTTTTATACAGGTACGGACAAAAAGTTATTGCTCTTCAAAACAGATAAAGCAAAACAGATAAAGCATACAAATAGGAGTCATATTGACAAATTTTTCAAGTCAAAAAACACCCAGACACTAATTTTCATCCAAATATTGACGTTACTTCAAAAATTATTTGAAAAAAATCGAAATAAAAATGAAAGTTCTACACCCTGTATCTCCGAAACTAAGCATCTTGGGACAATACATACACTTATACGAACTTTTCTACTTATTTTTATCTGCAGAATATGCTGCCGAAGTTTCTGGAATACAGTTCGGACCATAGACTTAAAATAAAATATAGACTGAGCATCTCATTCATAAATAGCTGGAACATGCGGTCAGACACTGTCTTGTTATTGTTGTGTTATTGTTTTAGGTTATAACGAGTGCGACACGAGCGATAGATAGGTTGTCTCTGTCGTAACGGTCGTTCCCTGACGACTCTGCCGAGAAACACAACACTGTCTTTCGTTTCTCAAGTACACCTGAACTCTCCGTATCATAGCCGGGTAATTTTTTTTATTTTAATGAAGCTATAATTAAATTAAAAATATATCGTATTTAAACTTTTTATATTTTATTAAGATTTAGGACAGGTTTTTTAAATAAAAGTTTAGAAAAAACAATTTAGAGTCCAAAAAGGATAAAAATAATAAAATACACGTTATAGAAGAAATTTTATAATCGAATTAGGTAATTTTTGAAATTAATAATAAATTATTAATTTTAGTCAAACATTTACAACCCCTAATATTAATCAAAACAGGATCTATTCCACAGATATAATAGAATCGGCGACAGGGAGAGAAAAAAAATGATCGTTGTAATTTATTTTCTGGTTACGTGATGTCTTATTATGTAAATTAGAGAAAACATAGATCTGTTCCATTAAAGCAAGGAAGGTGATAGGAAGTGGATAAAATAAAAACTACATTTATTTAACTCGGTACTGTCTTTATTATACCGGGTGCGTCTCAAAAGTGGCTCATCCCCATAATTTTTTTATATTTTCAAATAAAAAACAAGATTTAGTATGTTAGTATATGAAATAAATTAGGATTGATTGACGCATTCAATTGTTTTTGGTCACTTCCTGTTTCACCGGAAATGACTATAACTTTTAATTTTTAAACGGCACCCTCGGTATATTTCTACTTTTTCGATAGAAAATGACACTCTGAATAGAATGACATATCATATGTCAACTTTTGACATTTTCGCATATGGTTTAATTGTAATTGTAACACGCGGTTCATAACGACAATTTGACTCGAAATACCAAGTGTGTGGTATCAATATATTCATAAAAAAATGCTTTTTCCAAATATGCTAATGAGTCACCCTTGTTCCATTTGAAAAAATTGATATATGTATGATTAAAAATACGATTTGTACATCTTTTAACAGGCCTAGACAAGACACGAAACCTATTAGTCGATCAAAACTATTTTTCCAAGGCTCCTTGATTAAAACTTAGTGGATTGAAAAAAAACTGGATTGAAATTTAAAATAGGATATGTTTTTAAGCGACAATGTCAAAAGTTGACATATGATATGTCATTCTATTCAGAGTGTCATTTTTTATCGAATAAAGTAGCAATATACCGAGGTTGCCTTTAAAAATCAAAAGATGAGGAAGAGACCAAAAACAATTGAATACGTCAATAAATCCTAATTTATGTCATATACCTACTAACATACAAATCTGTTTTTTTATCTGAAAAAATAAAAAAAGTTATAGGGTTGAGCCACTTTTGAGACGACCCGGTATATTAAAAAATATTGTTTCATAATGTAATATCATTTTAAAATTCTTGTATGTTATTTTAGATTCTGAAGATAATTTTAGAATAAACCGGAATATATTTTTAATAAAAACATTATTTATTATTAACAGGGTTATAATTATGATTTTGTTACAATGTAAGTAAGTAAATAATGTAATGTAAGAGAAAAAAATCAGATTTTACATTTTACTAAAATATTATCTAAATAAGCGCCTTTCTACAACAACGCCACTGACTCCCAATGGGTAAATTGAGAGTTGCCTACCGGTCAAAAGTCGTTTCAAGACTTAAATGGATTATTAAAGTCAAATTTCTTGCAAATTTGGCACTGGCGAACCATATTTTATAGTTTTTGAACAGAAAAAGTCAATAAAATAAACAATTAAGGACTACAAGCTAAGAAAATGCGTTAATACAGCCGCGGAGATAGCGGCAACAAAGCTTTACCGCACACGTGCGACACGTACTACAAGGTAATAAATGAATGAATAGGCTCCCTCGCCTCTAATCGGTGTTGTCATATTGTAAAGAACTTATCCTTATTAAACAGTATCCGACTTATAATTTAGTAGAATAAGGACTATTTAATACATCTATGGAATATTAAAACCTACTTATTAAACTGTAGTATTAATATCTCAATATATGTATATAACAAGAAAAAAAATATTGATAATATTAAAGACGTGACAACATAGGCTGGATGAGGAAGGCTCGGTCGACTGTACCCAGAAGTAAACATGTGTACAAAAAAGGTTGTTTGTCCGCGTTGAGATGTAAATAGTGTAGTCTATATTTTATTTTAAGTCTATGGTTCGGACCATCCTGTTATACCGGGTGCGTCTCAAAAGTGTATATAACTTTTTATTTTTTTCACATAAAAACCCCTATAACTTTTTTTTTTTTCAGATAAAAAAACAAGATTTGGTATGTTAGTATATGACACAAAATTAGGATTGATTGACGTATTCAATTGATTTCGGTCACATCGGTCATTGTTTCACCGGAAATGACTACAACTCTTGATTTTCAAATGGCACCCTCGGTATTTTTTTACATTATTCGACAGAAAAGGATACTTTGACGAGAATTTATTTTTGCTTAAAACAAAATTGTATTTTAAATTTCAATCTAGAGTGCCGTGTTAAACACACTAATTTTTAATGATTTGATCGTCTAATGGTGCGTTTAGACTTGAGCACGCACGCACTGATCCTCCGCGAATGCTCAAGTGTAAACGGCTGTGCGCGCACGCTCACTCTAAATCTGGCTGTGCGCGAGAAGCCGCGAACGTGAGCCGTCTGGTGTCGGTTTTTGGTCCGTGCTCAAAGGGTTTTTATGTGTGCGCGAACGCCCAATTTCGACCGGAAATTTGTTTTGTCTGCGTTCGTGCGTGCGTGTGTGATTTTTGTTCGTTTTCTTTATTAAAATTATGAAGTGGATCAATGAATCTTCGTTATTATTAATTGAAAAATATGAAAAGTTGCCTATATTATTAGATGTTAAACATTCTTTGTATTATTAAAAAATCAAAAAAAAAATATAACGCATGGCAAAACCTTGTAAATAAAATTAATATTGAATATGCCGATATTAATGAAATTGCTATTCTAAAATTTGTATCTTTTGTTTGTAATTTTTGGTGTTATTAAATTTTGTAAATATTTAAAGTCGGGCCTGGTCATTCTTGTAAAGTTTTTGAACTGATCATAGCCCTCCTCAGACACTAAGTTGTTGCAGTAAATTATATTGATTTCTAAAAATTTGGGTTTGCCACCAGCGACGATGTTTTCGATTTTTCTTCTTTTTAATAATTAAGCTGTGCATAACACAATGACTTCAGCCTCGACTATTTCTTGGTAGTCCATTATTTTCGCCAACACAACTCTGCTGTGCGCGCACAAATGGATCACTTCATTCGTCGAAAAATAAGTTGTTAATTTGAACGGAGCCGAGAGCGCGAACGAATGCCGTGCGCGCACGCTCAGCTCGTGCGTGCTCAAGTCTAAACGCACCATAATGTTTTTAGTGTCTTGTTCTGGCCAGTTCAAAGATGCCCAAATCGTATTTTTAATCATATCTCAATTTTTTCAAATGGTCATTTTAAACCGAATGAAGTAACAAAATACAGAGAGTGTCATTTAAAAATCAAAAGTTGTAGTCATTTCCGGCGAAACAGGAAGTGACCGAAAACAATTGAATAGTCAATCATTCTCAATTTATGTCATACACTAACATACCAAACCGCGATTTTTTATCTGAAAAAATAACAAAGTTATAGGGGTGAGCCACTTTTGAGACGCACTCCTAAAATGGATAGTTTCGGAGATACAGGGTGTAGAAGTTTCATTTTTATTTCGATTTTTTCCAAATAATTCCGGAACTAAGGTCGATATTTGGATGAAAAATAGTTTTTTTCTTTCATAACTCCAAAAGAAATTCGTGGAAGCTATTGAAAATGAACCATTAGCTTCATTTTACAAATACATTTTTCTCTAAATTAAAATGGTGAACTTTTATTTAACGTTTTTAAAATTTACATGCGATACAACATACGGTATATAAAGTACTGTTTTAACCTCTGGTTTTAACTATTTAGTTGTTTATTTATCTAACATATGCATTAATTTGTGCTGTATAAAAAAATTAAAATTAAAAAATTGTGGTGTGATTTATTATGCAATTTCTCAGAAAAAATAATAATAAATGGTTTTATGTTTTAATTTTTTAAAATAGGTATATAATCTACATACATATAATTATACTATAATTTGATATTATTTTTTATGGAATATTTTATCTAAAAACGTTCTCTAACATATAATCAAATTTAATTTTAAGTTTAATGGTAAATTTAATACAAAATTATTTTAATAGGTTTCTTTTTGGCAATACTTTTATAATTTTACCTTTTAAGAATAAATAAGTAGATATACAGGGTGTCCCAGGCTGAGCGTGCATTAGAAGATTCTAGAGAACCACAATATGTAGATCGGAGATTTTTTGCACATCATTGTTTTGCAACGAGATCTGTCGATTAAAAATATTTTCAATATGGCGGCACTTCCGGAAATACTGGAAGTTGACAGCAACTTTCTTATTTTAAATGGGTGTGCCCCCATTTTTTATTACGTACCTAAGTTCTCTGTAAAATTCTATGAATATTGATGTTAAACACTCTATACCTAACATTAACCGTTTTTGAGAAAAAAAAATATTAACCGTTTTTGAGAAAAAAAAATATTCAAAATTTTTGGACGAAAAAAGCTACCTGTCAAAAAAATGTGTATAGCCTAAGAGTCAAATTTAGTGATTACCACAGCCACTGTGACATAAAGAGAAGACAAGGCTATCTATTTCAGAAATTAAATTGTTCAAATGTCATATAATAATGGCGGCAGCTGTCATGGAACTGAGTGATTAAAAAATTATCATAAATCATTTTTTTCAAATGGGAACCAACTTTTTTATTTCACTAATGAATAGGTTTTTCAATTCGTTACTTTTTAACTATACATGTTCCTATACCTAAAATAAATCGTTTCTAAGTTATTTAAGATTTAATTTGAAACCGTATATTTTTCTTGATTTTATCTAGCTTCCTTTGACATTAAGTGTCAAACGGTCAGACAATTTGTTTCCCTCTCTCAGAACACGAATTATTTGAATTTCCTGTATTATAAATACTACCTGCCCCCCCCCCCCTTAAGAGTTTAAAAAGTGTATTTATAAAAATATATCTCTAATAATTGATATTATTAATAATATTCCGTATGATCGAAAAAAAAAATAGCGCAAATTCATTCAGGAAAATAATGATGCTTTTTGAACAAAGCGTCACAATATGATATGGCCAGATCTAGTGTTTTACATAATATGTTTTACATCACTTGACATTTAAAGCAGGGTTGGCATGATTTAAATCGTGATTTAAATCAAGTGATTATTTTAATTTTAATCATTGATTTAAATAAAAAAAAATAATTTTATTAAAACTTTATTATAAATCAAAAAATAACTATAAAAGTTATAAAAAGGTGTCCTAGAAAACTATAAAAATGTTATAAAACTATATAAAAATATCTATTCATCAATTTAAATGTTGGACCGATTTTGAAGTAATTTCGTGTGAATCCATTAGACCGCTAAACGCAGGGATTTATTTTAAAATTTATGTATAAGTGACAAAAATTCGCTATTCGAATACATATCATTTGCAGTCTAGTGCAGAACTAGGTTCTTCTGATATAGAGACTATATATCTTCATTCCCGAGAATCTATAATAATAATCGTTGTCAGGAAATATGTTGTTTTATATTTTTTTGAAATGGTTGTATTTTTCCAAATTCTTACCGACATTTTGATCTGCAGTGACTATTTTACACTTTGACTAATACTAATTTCAGTCTCGACTTAAAAGTATTTCCGAACAATAATGTATTGTTTTATTAGGAGTAAATAATATTCTTTTTTTGATGATGCTGTACCTTTGAAGGACCATCGTAAAGCTATTCCGACGTTACAAGGAATCACAAAAAGTACATTTTTACTCCTAATAAAACATACATACTATTTTTTTAAAACATTACAAATCATTTTTAATCAATTTCAAACATTGCAAATAATATAAATACTGGTTGAATTTGACACTTAATATCAGTTTAATAATATATTTTTGTACTTTTCTGCTTAGGCGTAACAGTGCTTTACTTTTATACCTAGGCGTTAAAATGACAAAAATTAATACTTTTGAGACGTTTGAAAAAAATCCTTTTGATCTGAAGCGAGCGATTTTTTTGCGAAATATATTGGTGATCGATGTGGAAAAATGACAAACGCACCCTAGAATTATTAATGTTATTGATATCGGGCAGAGTTATAAAGATTTAGCCATTTAGGATAGGACTTTAATTGGAAATAAGTCCTAGTCATTTGGAAATCCGATTTAAATATTGTTTTGAATTAAAATCAAAAAAATCTGATTTAAATAAAAAAAAATCTGATTTAAATCAAATAAATCTGATTTTTTTTATTTTTTAAAAAAAATCATGATTTTTTCCAACCCTGATTTAAAGTCATAGGTTACTAGTTAAAATCAAGAAAAATATATGATTTAAAAATAAATCTTAAATAACTTAAAAACGACTTATTTTAGGTATAGGAACATATATAGTCAAAAAGTAATGAATTGAAAGGCGTTTTCACTAGTGAAATAAAAAAAGCGGGGTTCCATTTGAAAAAAATTATTTATGATAATTTTTTAATCGCTCAATTCTATGACAGCTGCGGCCATTATTATATGACATTCGAACAATTTAATTTTTGAAACAGAAAGCCACATGTTTTCTCTTTATGGCACAGTGGCTGTGGTAATCACTATATTTGACGTTTAGGCTATACACATATTTTTGACAAGCAGTTTTTTTGGTTCAAAAATTTTTAATATTTTTTTTCTCAAAAAGGGTTAATGTTAGAGAGAGTGTTTGATACCAAAATTCATAAAATTTTACAGAGTATATAATAAAAAATGGGGGCACCCATTAAAATAAGGAAGTTGCTGTCAACTTCCGGTATTTCCGGAAGTGCCGCCATATTAAAAATATTTTTAATCGATAGATCTCGTTGTGAAATTATGATGTGCAAAAAATTTCCGAGCTAAATATTGTAGTTCTCTAGAAACTTCTAATGCACGCTCAGCCTGGGACACCCTGTATAAATACCAATAAATACCTACCTATTTTAAGCATAAATATTCATTCAAAAATAATATTGTTTTCATTTTCATGTTTTAATAATATTTTAGTTCATTATCCTGAATATTTTATTATATTTCTTTAATTTTAATAGCTTTAATAATGTATATAGCTATTTTTTTTCTTAAATATTATAATTTCTTAATTAGATATTTAATTACAAATTTTAAAAAACATAAGTACCTTGCTTTCATAAAAAATATCTAAATCAAAGCATCTATGTAAATCAATAAAACAATATAAAACAATAGACCAATTAAGATAAGGCAAATTGCAAAGTTTTGTAACTATTTTTGATAACAAAATTTCTAATTAATTATTGAATAATAATTGTACTCACCACAACAATGCCTGTCCATTGAAACAAGTTGTGTGTTCGAACAAAATCCCTGGCAAAATTTGCATACTTTGTCATGTGTAAATCATAGGGTATTTCAGCTTCATTTATTATTGGAGCTATCTTTTGTTGGAATATTTGTTTTCCCTTTCCAGCTCCACTTTTTGGATTACACAAAACCAGTAATCTTCTTGTTTCTCTATGCCGATGAGTTAAACTAAATTCATTTAATGTAAAATTATTGAGGGGTTCTCCTTTGATTAATCTTTTGATTACAGATCTCCACCTTTGGGCTTCTTTGTTATTATCTTCATATCGATCAAATGATCGAAACCTTAGAGTAATTATTGTCCTTTCTCTTTTTTTATTTGTTTCCTTATTGCCTTGAATTATATATGCATAAATGTAAAGATAAGCGCTTGTATCTGAGTCATCTGAATCAGTGGAATTCTCTTCTACAACCTGCAAACTATCAGATCTAGGCAAGGATTGGCAAGTACAATTCTTTGTCTTTCTTTTGCTTCTCAAACACTGACAACCAATTATATCTTTAATAGGAATGATCTGTTCTTTGAAATGCTGCTCTGAATCTTTGATTAAATGTAGGCCCTTAAAGGTTAATCTTACTTTGAACACACTGCTTTTCTTTGATAAAACATAGAATGTTTCTTCTAAAAGAATTCGATCTTCAGCCTTTGAATCCATTGGAACTTTAAATTTTACAATTATAAACACCTCTTACACACATTTGTTATAAATACATATGACAATAATAGCTTTATTTCACCTTAAACACTTAATTTAATAATCTCACGGCCCCCTTAACATGGATTTTTTTAATAAATTATAAGTTTACACTTTAACAGAAATAATTTAAAACTTAACACAGTTAATTTTCGACAATACACCATATGGTTTTGACCACAGAATATACTAACGAAAAAGAAGCCCAAGTTCCTTGTAATAAATCGGTTCCATTTTCGTAACGCCATCTCTCGACATAGCTGACATTATAGGTTATCCAAAGGGGTGCGGGGCCGGGGGGAATTGTAAAATACACTTTTTTATTTTAATTATTTTTATTCGCTATTTGCAGTTTTATTTTTAAAACATATTATGTGAAACAATCACATAATATGTCTTAAAAATAAAATTACAAACGGAAACAAAAGGAATTAAATAATCTGAAAATCTACAAAGTTTATTGATAAAAAAGTTAGGCTATGCAAATTGATAAATATATTAAGTATAACCTCTTTGGTATAACATTGTTAAACAAACATTAACAAATCATAACATATCAGATCATAGAACTAAAAAAAGTACTATTACATAAAAACAGGTGATACAATACTTCAAAATTAATTTTAACATAATATCAAAACCGAAAAAATCAAACTGCAAACACAACCACACTTATCACAACAGAAATTAACACACACTTCCGCGGCAAATGTCCAAGAAAGACTGATCATTCTGATTGGTCCTGGTCCGGTCGTAGCTCACGTCGTATTGTCGGTAAGCAAAATCCCTGTCCAAAAATTTTGACGATCAGCGCCATCATCCGTCATAATTGGGAAACTTTTGCTGGAACCATTTTTAATATTTCACTTACATGGCCCTGGTTTTGACATAATTTGACATCAAGACATCTAACAGTGAAATAGGAAAATTGGAAACAGTCATTAGTGTCATTCCTGTCATTCTCCTCACGACAAGTATGGCCGCCGAGACAAGGACAGCAATGTTTCTGTCTAACTATTGTCTAACTTCACAGTTTAGAATTGACAGATTTCAGTTTCAGAGACAACTTCAGATTTGTTCTAGAACAAATTCGAAAATTGTGTCGAAAATATTCGACGCCATTTTAATTCATTCCGTTTAGTTTCGTTTTGGAAGTTCAATTTAATATTTCGGCTGAAATTTATAATTATAAAGGTAATAAAGTATATAAAATATATATTACATGAAGAATCCTGGAGAAAATGACGTTTCTGCCGTAGTAGGTATGTCCCATGTATATGAAAAATAGGTAGTAAATAAACACTGTTTTTACATTTTTTAGATGCAAGAAAATGGTGTTATAATCTCTTTGATCGGCGATTTTTTTGAAAATGGAAACAATTTACAGCAAGGTAAGATCATTTTTAACTATAGCCAACATCATTTATCTCCAATATGTGCGATTTATTGTCAATAATGCAATAAATCGGACTGATAATCTGATTATGTTATCCGACTAAAAGTCTCTTTTTGCTTCTTTTTGATTTATAAGCCAGGTCTCTTTGGGAATAATGGACGCTTTTTTAAACAGTATATTTATATTTTATACCTATTGATATTTTTAGATTGTTAATTTTAGTATAAAAAAATTTGTTTTTCTGTTTTCAGGTTTTTGTATAAGGCTCCCGTTTTCATGTCCCTGTGTCCGTTTTCTGTCCTTGAAGTCTGCGAATACGTGTGTTTATTTACAAATTACTGTAAGTCATGCTTATACCTTAACTAATTTACGTTAAAAGTACATATAATTAACTAATTGGTATTGAAACAATACAATCCTCTATATTTTTATGTTTATTTAGTCACGTTGTTCCATACTTCAAATAAATATATGTGAATAAATTATTTTTTGGTTTTATTTATGAAAAGAAAAAATACAAAATACATTTGAACTGAAAGAGGGCCCGCCATTGAATAACCGGAAACGGAAATGAAAATTAAGCCATCATGTCCTTATCATGTCAACCTGTCAATTGGAAAATTAGTTCTCCAGACGACAACGAAGGCTTTCGGTGGCGTATCGTGTTTCCAAGATTTAACACAGAGTTGACACTTCTTTCTAGTTAATTATTTTATGATCAAGACATCTAACAGAAAGAAAAAACAATTTTCTGTGACATCAAACAGATATCTACTTTAAATTAAAAAGTTTCGCAAACTTCCAATAGATGTCAGAACTGCCACTCTATTTTTCTCTGATTTTTCTATTTTCATTTTAACGATTCTCTTAACTGTTTATTTTTTCTCTCCTCATTTTTTGCGTTTTTTCTGTTTTATTTTGGACTATTAATGTAATTAAGTATTTTTTGGTTTTGTGTTTTGTTTATTGTGCAGATTTATATTTTTTAGGTTCTGTGTTCAGTGTGATTACGTTGATTGTCTATATTGGGAATTTTATACTTTGATAACATTTTGATAGAGAAAATTACATTCGGCATCTTTATTTTCTGTAAAATAAAAAGACCAAAGTGAAAGACTATCACAGATCTCTCCCCAAACATGTAGAGACGACAAGGTATAATACTACATAATACTCTGATAATATTGAATTTTATTTTCTCATGGTATTTAAAAATTATATCTATCAGGTTACAGGGTGTTTCAATATTTCAGGGATAGTTAATAATTGTTTAAACCTTTGTTTAAACCAATAATCTTACAATAACCACTTAAAAATGGACATTGATTTGGAATTATGTGATGATAAAATTGAATCATTCCTCAAGAAAAAATTGGAAGATGTTCGTTCATATAATAAATCTTTGAAGGATGTTTTACAACACAGAAGAGATATTCTACAGACTACTTTTGGTCAAACTTCTACACAAAGCACTGATGTTCAGATACCAAACACTGTATGGAAGAAAATATTCAATAACAAGTACTGTTTGGGTTACGAGATTAAAAATTTGTCCAAGGAGACTCTTAAAGATTTAGAAATTATTTTATACTGGAATTCTAAAGAATCTTTTGATTATAGAGTTCACATGTTTAGTTCGGTCAAAGAATTTGATTGTGGCGACCCTGAAAATTGCTGTTTTATTGCAGATACACTCAAGAAAACATTTACAATTGAATCTACTGGTATCATCTTAATTGTATTTAAAGTCCCACATTTTCTAAATGAAACAGAAATCCAAATAAATGGCAATATATATCGCAAATCAAAAACTGGAGAAACTAATATACAATTGCCGAAAGTACAAATTACACCGAAAGATTCTGATTTAGCATTGCATTTGAATATAAACGATGTAAAAAATATTTTAACTCTTATTTCATGTAATAGCGAAGATGACTTAATTGCTATCTTTCCTGAGGAATGGGATAGTTCAATTAGAAACACTTTTGAGATGCGCAGTTCATTTACCAAAATCGATATACGTTCATGTAAAGAATACTTTATAGCTTACAACATTTCCAAATTGTTTGAAAATGCATTAATCGCAATTCATTCAAAAGAAAACGATAAATGCTTCCTTAAAGTTTACACTAATAATAATGATCAGCTATTAGCACTAATTCATTATTTACATTCTTCTATACCAGGTATTCTGATAATACCTAAATTGTACTATTCTAGATATTTATGTAAAAATGCCACATTCTCCAATAAACTTTTAAAAGATTTTAGTGAAAGTTTAGGCAAAGAACTAAAGGCAGTCTATAAATATATTCAACAAAGTACTATAAACTCCAGTGATATCTCAAAAAATACAGAAACATTGTATGAATTAGAAAGAGAAACAGATAACTTGTTCCTTCAGCTGAGTAATGTGAAATATTAAATAAAACTACGAAATACAATTAGTCTATTTTATTTTTTTAAATAATGTTATCGAATAGTAACAACCACAAATCATTTTATTACATAACTCCATACATTTAATCCCTCTTCATCTTAAAGCCATTCTGTATTATGCTTGTCACCATTCTATAACTCAAACCACAGACATACTAATTTAAATATGTTTAAAAGAAAAATCTTAACTATACTTGATTACTATTAAGTGAAAGATATTTGTCTGGATTAGTAGGACTACACTAAAACATCTACGTTGACTGTAAAATTTGGAAATAATGCCTATTTTAATTGGTGTACCTCTCTAAGTATCAGGATTTATATAAATTTGCAATGAATAGGAAATAAAAACTGGATATTAGGGTGTTTCAAAATAAAAAATATTCTTTACTTGTTTTCTTTTTTCAACTTTTCAACACCATAAGAAAAACATTTTTTTTTATTTTGAAACACCCTACTGGATATAATATATAACATAAATTTGGCAACAAAGAACATTATTTGGAAATTTATTACAGATAATACACCATTTAATTGTGCCTGAAAGAACCAAAAAAATCCAATTAATTAAAAATCTGAAAGTTTGGAAAATTAAAATTAGCTAAAAAAAGTATGAAATTTTGAAAAAGAAAATATTTTAAGTAAATTCAGTAGCGAAGTAGAGGTTTCAAACAGCATTTATTATAATATATTTTTAATCTAAACACCATATAGAAGTAATTAATTATATCATTTTAACAGTTAAAAGTCAACGGTTAAAATCAGTGATGAAACGCCATATTTTTAAACATTTATCCCGATGAAATGGAGTTTTGGCGTGGAACATTTAAATTTTCAGAATATTTCAAAGATCGTAGACCTTCTACTTGTCAATCTCTGACAAAGACAAATGAACTGATAAGCGCGATTAGTTATATATTGTTATTCGACTCCAAGCAGCTATTGGCCAATACGACTTCCAAACCAATAAGGGTGTGTGGCCCCGTTTATTGAATTTCCTCCCTTACGTATAAAGTGACAAAAAGATGGGGAACGTGCGTTAGACCGGCTAGTGAAAAACATCATTTTTCCGTACCCGATCGGGCACAAGTTCCCCGTCCCCCGATAACAGTAAAATGGGCGGAGTGAATGAATATGCCCGCGCCCGCAATACAAGTTATAGGGCGGAGCAGCCCGCCCAGTCGACAGCTTAGCCGCGCCTCTCGCGCTCTACTATGGGTGGTCGGTAGGCGTGTGCGCCCGTTAATTGGCCACAGTCCCGCCTCCGTTCCGCTCGATTGTTTAGTTGACGTGTGAGAGCCAGCGCGCACCCCTTCGGACCGTCAGCCCAGGGGCGCGACTTTACGACGCTCGGGTCACACCCACGGCGTCCAACCCTCGTACAGGAGGGCGAGGTTATCCAAGCTGGTTGCCTCTCGAATCACATAATCAACCTGCGAAAGAAACAAATAAATTAATAATTGTATTATTTTTTCAAGCTGTTTTGAATTTTTGTGTCACTATCAAATCACGTTTTTTGGTAGAATTACCGGTAATCGCAAAGCATTTTCCGATGCACATCATCAATCGTATCGAAACGTCTATCTGTTCTGTAGCTACGGGACATCCGTAAGGAGGGAAACGATATTCTCTCGAGTTTCTCGTAAAAAAATAAAAGGCGCGTCCCATCAATAAAAATTTGACAAATTTGCGAGTAGCCAATGAAATGAGTGGGCGGAGTGTTTTGCGGTGACATACTCGTCAAGTCCACGCCCCTCTCCCGCTACTATTTAGATAGCGATTTATAAAATATATTGATGTTTATTTAAATGTTTTTTGTCCGCATAGGCACAGATCCAGTAGACGTACTACCTGGCAAAACTGTTTAAATTTGTTGTATAATTTAAGATAATGAGCTGCTTTTCATTTTAGTTTATAGTGCAAATGATTGCAAAATAAATAACAGATATTTTATTTATATTAAAGCTGCAAAAATTAGTTTAAACCGAATTTTATTATCGCCATGTTGATCACATTGCGCCGTGTTCAGCAACGTTGTCGTTTATTATTTAACAATTATCATAACGTCAGTCATTATTTTGTATAATATCGTGTTGTGGAATTCTCGTTTTTTGTCAATTTTCATAGTCTTTTTTTAAAAATTGCACTTTTAAACACAAACCGTTCTTTTAAGAACTAAATTTTCGAGTTTTTGTATTGCATTTCTTGAAATTGTGTAATGAAAATATGCCAAACCATTTAAACAGTCGAAGCAAAGAGCGTGTAGCTTTCCTGATAAAACTATTTTGATCGAGAACGTGACAATAAAGGTCCTTTATTACCCTTGACTGCAGTCAGAGAAGTAAGTTTGATTGGTAAGCACCATTATACCACTTTCAAAGTTATTTCTACTTATTTCGATTTGTAGCGAGTAGCTGCTGCCTTAAATTTAAATATTTCTACTGTGAGTGTTGACGACTACTTTACGTTAATAAATAAATAAATTATTAAATTAAAAATAAAGCGTAAAAATCTTTAAAAAATGATATAATAAATATCTATATTGTTTCCCAATTTTAGATTAAGATTCATCTCATAAATCTATCACAATCTGGCAGCGCTGTCGCCATCGCTTGTCATTCAAAGTTGATCACGTGCATCGGAAATTGTTTTGCGATTACCGTAAATAAATACCGTTTCATCTCTGCCTTTGATATATCCTACTGGTAACGCTCGATTTCAGTACGTAAAAAGAGTACAATGCATTTATAATGTACTGAACAAAGAGAGAAAGGTAAAAACGTTGCCAAACGTATGAAATAAACCGAGAACCTGTGCACGTTGCTAAGAAACGTGAAAGGGAATATGGTACCTTCGTCGCTGTCGACACGGTCGCGCCACAAAAATCATGCCTAAAATTGAAATCCAGTATTTAGAATTCTAGGGAAGGGTATACGCAAATACATTATAAGAATATATTGCTAGTACCGCAAGAAATAGGAATATCAATCTTGCATAAGTCTATCCTTTTCGATCAACAGGATTTTCGTGCGCACGCGCCAAATAAAACGATCTGATTCGTCTACTTCATCGTTGAACGCTGTCACCTGCCCGCGCACTATTTTAAACTGTAAATATTAATAACGTATAATATATAATTTTTTTTATTGGTAATGGCGTTATTTCAACCTGTTATTTTAGATATTCATCATATCTATCCGTTTCTTAGTTTTGTTTAAATATGTCAGAGATTAAATTTATAAGTAAAGGTGCGAAGGCTGCCGGAAACACTGCGGCCTCACAGGTCGCAGTGTTTCCGGCAGAGAACGGCCCCTTGTGGAAAAAAAGGCGCGAATAATCAGAAGCTAAATTGATTTACGTGGCAGATTACTGACGTTTTTTCATTATAAAAAAAATGGTGACTCCCTAAGACCCTAACGATATTCTTATAACTCGATTTCAGATGCCCAGAAAAGTATATAATGATCTTATCTAGTTGCCTTTCCAAAAGAATAGAAATAAGCGTCTTTCGACCGGGATTTTACTCAACCAGACAGGAAAAGGCGCACCTGTATCTCCAATAAATGTGGCAATGCCGCAACAGCACACCGTCGCAATTTTTCTCACTCCGACTAAATAAGGTCCCCAAGCGATTCACTTCCACACACGTAAATAGCGACCCAAGATCAAGACTTGCCAGCGTGGTATTAAAAAATGACGTAGTAAGATGCAAAAGTAGTAAAAAAATGGTGACTCCCTAAGACCCTAACGATATTCTTATAACTCGATTTCGGATGCCCAGAAAAGTATATAATGATCTTATCTAGTTGCCTTTCCAAAAGAATAGAAATAAGCGTCTTTCGACCGGGATTTTACTCAACCAGACAGGAAAAGGCGCACCTGTATCTCCAATAAATGTGGCAACGCCGCAACAGCACACCGTCGCAATTTTTCTCGCTCCGACTAAATAAGATCCCCAAGCGATTCACTTCCACACACGTAAATAGCGACCCAAGATCAAGACTTGCCAGCGTGGTATTAAAAAATGACGTAGTTAGATGCAAAAGTAGTAAAAAATCTTACCTGTTCTTGGGCAGTGCATTTTCTACCAGGGTCGGGATCTCGACCTTCCAATTTTATCTTCACCCGTCTCCACACATTGACGGCGTATGCGTTCCTTTGCTGAACCTTGTTCTCGGCTCGCGGTTGCTCATCATTTACGACGCAACTTTGCCGTCGCAATGGAGCCTTGCTATTAAAATCTTTCCTCTCCTGAAGCGACAACACTCCTTCGTAAATATTCTCCGTATGGTCGTCGATAAATTTCAGACGACCCATCATTTCCATCACCGAGTTCTTATCCAAATGTTGATCCTTAAAAGAACTGAACAATACATTAAAGTGCTCCACATATTTTCTGTAGTCGTGGAGGAATGACTGGGTCGCCACGCCATAGTCTTCTATCTTCGTCATCGTTTTAAGCAATCCTTTGACGTCTTGCATCAATTTCGTATGGATATTGTAGATGTTTTTAAAGTTGCTCATTAACAGCATTAGGTTGTCCGTTTTGGAAAACACGTTCGCTTTCTTGTCGGCTAGTTTCTTTTGATACATACTGATGATGTCGGTTATCTGGATAGATACTTGATGTAGCCATTTAGGGTCTTTGATTAGATCCAGGGTAAGCATATCTAAGATCCTTTCTTCTGCCGGAAGTAGGTTTTCGTTTTTCGATTCGCAAAACTGGCAAGCAACGCGCCACTTTTCGCGGCAATTGAGGAAAAGATGATCATATTCTTTCGTCGACTCTAACGTGCTGGTTCTGAGCAATTCGTGCTGCAAAATAACACCGTAAGCATTGAGAATATTGTTAGAAATTTTCTGTTCTACGCCTAAACAAGCGTCTCTAGTTTTAATCGCAGTTTCGAAAGCTTCTAAGATTTCCACCACGTTTGGATTAGCGCCTTTGGCCCAATTCAGTCTCTGGTAGGCTTTTTCTACAAGTTTCTGCTGTTTCTCTCGCGCCTCGACCAACTGCTTGCACGTAGCTTGTAATCCGGCAAATTCCGCCTGCATGTCCACCACGAACTTGGCTCGAACAGATTTAAAATTCTGCATCACCAACACATCGTCAAACATCAAGTTATGAACGGCTAACTGACTTTGCAGTCTAAAAGCGCTCGACTGTAGTACTGCAAGTTTTTGTTCGATCTTTTTCGGTTCTTGAATCTTGTCCCAAGCCACTTTAAGGTTAGTTTCTAAACTAGATGCCTGCGAAACTATATTAGCAGTAAAAGCGTTGTCTTTTAACAACACGTTATAAGCCTTGTGATATAGTTCGTCTAACGGGACTTTGCTCTCGGCACCGATATCTTTCTGTTCGATCTCGTGAGACACGTCCAATTCAAGCTGTTGTAAAATGAAACAGATAGCGTAAGTGATCGTTTCAGGTGTCACTCCCAATAGCTGTCTGGAAATAAATTCTGCAATGAACTGTTTCACCGGTTTAGTGAGCTGTTCATCGGTATATACGACCGGTACAGCTGATATTCCGGTACAGCTGATGCTTCGACTCATTTCCCGAGCCAGCATAAAGAATTCTGATATCGCCACGATTCTTTTCAAGAAAAATATGTTTTCTAAAATGTTTCTGATCTGCGGATTAAAAATATGCGGGGAGATATTTTTAGCGTCTTTAACATGATCGAGCTTCTTCCATGCTTTGGGTATATCTAGGCCTCCTAAAGTGGACACTAAATTGTTAATTTCCTGATTGATTTTTTCAAATAATCCGTTGAATCCCATCAAAAGCATCTTTCCGTGACTTAAAGACTCTGACTGATTCGGAATCAAAGCTAAATACTTCATTTTGATGCTCGTTACTTTCTCCAGTACCAAATCATACTTCGTCTACGATATAAAACATATATTATAAACTTGATTCAACTAGAACATAAAGTTACTTACGTGTACATCAACGTGCATCAAAACACAGGTCAAAAGCTTCTCCAATTGGGCCACCATTTCAACCACGGGCATTTCTGCTTCGACGATAATAGATTTTAGTTCGTCGATCATTGAAACGACACTCTCTTCGTCAGCTTGCACCTTTTTCATAGTTTCTGGTAGAATTATGGTGTGGAAATTGAAGTTTAGATCGTAAAGTCCTTTGTAAACGTTGTTGGAAACTTTAATACCGTTAATTATTTGATAGAACCTGAGAAAAAAAGTGTTATAGAAACCCACAAAGAAAAATATTTATACAGATTGCGAAAAAGTTTGCAACAATTATTTTCCCGTAGGAAATGTAGGAAATTATACAGGGTGGTCCGAACTGTATTCCGGAAACTTCGGCAGCATATTCTACAGATATAAATAAGTAAAAAAATTCGTCCTAAAATGTACAAAGTATGTCCTAAAATGCTTAGTTTCTGAGATATATGGTGTAGAAGTTTCATTTTTATTTCGATTTTTTTCCAAATAATTTCTGAAATAACGTCAATAAAAGAAAATTGGTGTCTAGAAGTTTTTTGACATAAGAAATTTGATTTTGATGTCAATATGACTCCTACTTGTAGAAGGCGCCACCTACATATTTTTTAACTGGTTTGAAGAGCAATACTGTTCGGACCCTGTACATGAAATAGATCCGAGACCCGCCGTGACTGGTTGTTTGTTTTTTATTGTTAACCCAGATTAACAATAAAAAACAAACAAACAATCACAGCGCGTCTCGATCTAATTCAGGAAACGTGGGAACTAATTTTTATAACACGAGTTTATATTTATCGTACTATCTTGTGAAATAGCACGAAACAATCGAGGTTAAATCTTGTGGTGGCTTCAGAAAAATAAGTAAACATAAAAAATCTGATATGAAAACAGTTACCGATGGTAGATTTGGCTATTCCTTGAAGGTTACACAAGAATATTTAGTTTTAATAATTGTCTAATATTATTAATTACAATATAGTATAAAAAATAAAACAGTGACTAACTAGCGGTCTACCATTTATCGGCTTATAATTCGCGGTATTGCGCCTCAAGGACAAAATATACACAAAATTATTTAAAAAATCGTCTATTTATTTCTAGTTTCTGGTTATGGTAAGGTAACATTTATACTGTGAATTTGGTTTTGTTTTTCTAGTTTTAATTGTCTAAATCCCTGCATAATAAATACTAGATGAATGGATTTATATCAAACCATGCTGGGTGCTAATAAAAGTATCGTTTAAGGATTTCTCTTAAGAACGATAAAGGAACATTGCTTTTAAAAAATGTCCATTGACCATACTTTTGTTGACATCGGCTCAATCAATAATTTTCCCAATCAGTTCGATATATTGATAATGTTACCAGTATTACTCATCAAGCAATACTACTTTTATACTACTACTATAATCATTTAACCGTAAAAGAACATATTATATACAACTTTATATACTAATTCATTATAATAAAATTAAATCATAAAAATATTGTAATTATATTCCTGCAGTTTAAGTGAAAAGTTTTGTTCTTAAATATCTACTATACGTATTATAAACGCCTGTTCAAATATTAATTTTGTGGAATATATATCAACATAAAACGAGATGTAATTAATAAAATATCATCGTAACAACAGATATTTTAGAAACGTCTAGGTTTACTTATTTAACTGAGATTTATGAAAAAAAAGTCCTTTGCCTTGGGTATAGATACCGCCACGTTTTAGAAATTGCTCAAAACAAAACAAAATTGAACGAGGCAACAAGAAACGCCAAAAAAATCCCTCTACGCCTTCCTCACGAGTAGTTTTCAGGCGCTTTGAAGAATCGAAAGTAGGTCGAGGCAAACCGAAGTGGGTCAAGACAACCGAAAAAAAAAGGAAATTCGACAAAGTTGGGCGATGAAACGCGACCTTGACCTGTTTCGAAGAGTTTTCCGCATAATGTAGAGGCAATTTTAAGTAACGCATTTTTTATGGGAAAACAATTTTGCACATTTGTTGTGTATCTGTTGAAAGTTCACTGTATACACTAAAAACAAATTTAACTTTTTACTCACCTTGCATCGTCAACTTCTTGCCTTAAAGGCACATTATTAACCAGTTCCACAGCTTTCGTGCTGTGCAGTAGCAGATCGTCCAAAAACCAATCACCGTCTCTAGAAGTCAACTTGATCAACCAATCCCCGCTTCGCTGAGCCGCTATCTCCAGAGTCAAGAAGTTTCGATTCAACAGCAACAATTCCCCGGCCAAGACGAACTTCAAAGCGTTCTCCGCCCCTTTTTCCTGGCCCAAAAACGACGCGATGTTGATCTTGGCGTTGGCGTAGAGCGTCTCCAACGGACTGGGAGGATCTTTTGTCCTGATAGTGGCCAGCTCGTCGAAAAGCTTGTTGACTTGAACCAAGGTTTCTTTGTAATATGCGTCCAAAGTGAAGGCTACGTGGATAATGTGAGGACAGTTCTGCGTTTTGCTCTCGAGGAAATTGCGGAATTTCTCGAAGACGATGTCACAACCGGCCGTACTTTTGGTTTTCAAAAGGTAGTTCGCCCATTCGGCGAAAAGATTGGTACGGTGGTTCTCGATATAAGATTTTGGACATTGTATTAGTAATGAAAAGTAATCCTGGAAACTCTGGATGCATTTTCTGGTTTGTCTGTTGAGATGCTGCGCTAACTTAGCCACCTGTTGATAAATACAGAAAAAATAGATATAATAGGTTTGGAAATATTAACTAAAAACTTAAATTACCAAGACATTTTAATTTGCGCACTGGCTACCAACCGCCGGCGGTATTGCTAGTTTATTTAGAGATTTGATACTTAGTATCTTGACTTAGCATATGACATAAATCTTGATTGATTGACGTATTCAATTGTTTTCGGTTACTTCCTGTTTCACCGGAAATGACTACAATTTTTGATTTTTAAATGACACCCTTGATATTTTTTACTTTATTCGATAGAAAATGACACTCTGAATAGAATAACATATCATATGTCAACTTTTGACATTCTCTTAAAAAAATTGTAGAGTTAGGTTTAGAGCTATGGCTGTGTTAAAAACACTAATTTTGTAATCAAGAAACCTTGGAGAAATATATTTAATTGTCTAATGGTTTTAGTATCTTGGCCTGGCCGGTTAATAGATGCCCAAATCGTTTTTTAATCATCGTATTTTTCATCAATTTTTTCAAACACTCAAACACTGAGTCACCCTCGTTCTAGGGTGACTCATTAGCATATTTAGAAAAAGCATTTTTTTACGAATAATTTGGTACCACACACTTGGTATTTCGAGTCAAATTGTCATTACATTAATGGCCATGGCGCTTTAAATTGAAATTTAAAATGCGTTTTTTTTAATTGAAATTGTCAAAAGTTGACATATGATATGTCATTCCATTCAGAATATAATTTTCTTATTTAAAAATGAAAAGGTGTAGTTATTTCCGGTGAAACAGGAAGTGAATGAAAACAACTGTTTTACTGAATACGTCAATCAATCCTAAGTTATGTCATGAAAAACTAACTGCATCGAAAATTTTTAACTTTCCCTCTATTTATTTTTTGAAAAAGTCTAAAGTTTTATTTCCTACTTTATTATTTTATGAAACGATTAATGAAAATATTTCTTGTGATATAATATATTTTTTTAAAACAGGTAACTTACCTCAGCTTCGGACTGTTCACACTCCGATATTACGTCATCTTTGCCAGCGTTATGCAGAAATTCTTTTACTAAATCAAACACGTGCATAGTTTCATCGGTCCCGTTAAATTTCAATTCATTCAACCACTGAGTGAATTGCTGTTTCTCATACGAATTCAATAACTTATTGAAAGTTTTAGAATGCCCCTCGCATTCCGTGATTATGTCACACAGACCCTGAAAAGCTATTAATTAAAACAAAAACGATTTTTTAATGAAAAAAATACCTTTCTTGCAGTATTCATTGCTTCTTGACTCTTAACGTAGTTATCATATAGAGAAGGAAGCTTGTATAATGAATGTTTTTTCGGACCCTGAGCTTCGGCTTCTTTAACTAAAGCCAATTGTTGATGCAGGTCTTGAAGCTCGTCCTCTATTTGTTCTAGATCTTCAGTTAAAGCTAGACAGGAGTTAAAATGGTCCACTAAGCCGGGGATTTCGTTAACAATCTCTTCTCTATAAATAAAATTAAAAAAATGGTTAAATATATTTGGGCCATCGTAAAAACGTGGTCTGGATTTTAACGTGTAAGACAGTGATATAGACAGCTTAATGAAAAATCAAAAGTATTAAAAAGAGATATAAATTAGATTGATACCTTTCTTCTATGCACAAGTAGGCGTTTATAAAAAATGTTGCATCTAGGGTTCGAACTTTATTTTTCACAATTAGTTACTAATTTAACTACAGCTGTATAGATTATATCTAGCTTAAACATATTATCTTCATTTCAGTAGTATACATGAGAGTTTAAAAAAAACGTTTTTTTCTACACACGTAAAATCCGGCAACACTCTATGCCGCTTTTTAATTTGTCTCTATGTCTGTCAACCGCTCATTTATATTTATCTCTGTCGCACGCATTAAATTACAGACCACGTAGATGAAAAAAGAATAGAAGGACTAAAATAACACCCGAGAGCAAATTGTTACCATACCACCAAACAGTGCCGTAGCACATTAACTTAGCTGCTTGAAGAAATACTTATATTTTTGATAAATGTTTTGACTCCACCTAAGGTGTATGCGGTGATATACTAATTAATTACAAAAAAAAAGCATTAAAATGTTACCAAAAGATAGAAAACTAGTATTGACGTATAGCGCAAATCAAGTACATATAATATCAGAAAAACAATTATCAAATTCAATAAGAAAACGCTAAATAGTTGGAGTGGACTGTTTATTTACCTATGAAACTTAACTCCTGGCTCTTTCTTATAGTTGCGGCTTTTATACTTGAAATCTGACCAACTAATCACCATTGTAATAAAGTTTATACAAAGTTCACTACCCACAAACTATTAAAAATCGCTAAAATTGTCGCTAATAACCAGCTGATGGCTCATTCGTTACAACCAAAAAAATGGCGTCTAAAATAACAAATTCTACTGCAGCCCGTATATGGGCGTTACGTGTTCTTGTATTCTTTCATTGACGTAGATAAAGTGTCCAGGATTGTATATCTCCTACGACATACTAGGCCAGGGATAACGAACCTTTTTTCGCAATTTTTTTTTGAGTTATATTTAAAAAAAATAACTGACTATTTTTAAAACTAAACATCTTTAAAATTCAATTGGCTTAACTGGTACAAATGGTCGACGTTAATATCACAAAGTGGTGTAACTCATTTTTTGATATTTTTCGGGGGAGCGGTTTAAAGCTTCTTACTACTTTAGTCTCAATACCAACCAAAATATATTGTGGTCACTCTGTTTTTTTAAACAAAAAAGAAACACAGTAGCTTCAATATATGTTGGTTAGTATTGAAACAAAAGTCGGAAAAATACTTTAAACCGCTCTCCTGAAAAATATCACAAAATGCGCCACTTCGTGATATTGACGACGACTTGTCGAATGTGAGTAAAATTATACACTTTATTTAATATCTTGTAGGGTTAGTTGGGGTAATGGTAGACGATTTTAACAAGGTATAACTTTGAAACTTTAATGTTTGCACTGAAAATTCAAAAAGGGTATATTTTAACACTTTACTTAATAGGTGCTTCCATATACAGCTAGAAATTTGCAATAGATTCAAAAAAAAAACTCGTTTACCATTCCTAATAGAAAAAGCAAATATTGTCATATTTTGGGGTAAACGTAAACATATTGCTTACTGTGCTATAAGAGGTAGGAGGTTTGAAATGGGGATAATAACAAAGAACTATACAAGTTTGCTTTTAGTTGGATTATAAGTGTGTTTAAAGAATGTTACATTGTAAACATTCTTTAAACGCCCCCATGGAGTCAAAAAATATATATATATTTTGTCTTTATGGGGGAAATATAAAAAAAAAATATTTTAAAGACTGTTATTTATGTTAAAGACTGTACATTATTACTGTGGGATCAAAAGTGTACAAAAAATATTAAGGTTTTTCAAAAACATCTACTTTTTCCGGAAAACGACTACATATATTATCCTCCTTCCTATTTTTTTTACTATTACACCAAAATCAAGTTTACTTACACAAATTACAAGTTTTAATTGCCCCGCCTCATATTTTACTGGGGCAATCTTGTTACAAGTCGTTTTCAATACCCAAAAGGGGATATTTAGATATATCAGCTAGAGATTTCTTTCAGGAAGTTTGCGTAAAAGTATAATTCTGATTTCACTTACTTATTTTCTTGCCATTCGATTTTCATCTCCGTACAGCGCACCTTGAACATCGCCAAAGTCACCTCTTTCTCCAATTCCTTCTTGTTTTGTCTACGTCCTGATTCGGCCGATTTGGCAACGCTGCCGAAAGAAGTACCAGCTAGTACCTCACCGCCCACGGTCCAATCTATCAGCGGATCGTAGACGAACGCTTCCAATAGGGTCAATAAAGTTTCGCGGCCTTTGCGCATGGTTTTCAACACGTTTTCGCATGCCAGTCGGAATATTCCCTGGAACAAACAGAATACATAATTAATATAACCCTATAAAATAAAAAAATATGGTTTGGATATTCTTAAAACTAGATTATAGAATTGCACAGAGTACCATTAGGAGGGCCGGGCGCCGCGCCGTAACTTAACGACCAGTGTGTGGAACTGTTGATTTCAGAGTACTCCGTCCGATCCTCGAGTACGGTTACTTTATTTATTTAAATAATAGTTATTTATTATATAAGGGTTTGAAGTGGTTGAAATACAAGAGAAACACGAATGTAATACATATATGTACAACCTTTTATCCAGATATCTGATATATATTATAAACGCGAAAGTTTGTACATACGGATGTATATTTGATATCAATTAAACTTTTAGTTACGTAATCGAGGAGGCGATTTTTAAATTCATTGTTGCCAACCATGGACATATTTGGCGCCGGGCTGACTAACTCGAATTTAAATTTCGCGCTGGGGATTCAGGTCATAGCTCTGCTGTAAAAAATGTCAAGTTACCACATTTATTTATGTATTTCTTGACATTGTCATTCGTTTTGACACTTCAGTTTTGTATTACGAGTTTTTGGTTTAAATAAATAGTGTTGTGATACTTTAAGCTTAAAAATGTTTACTATCAGACCTCGCAGTCGAACATTGTTCTTTTTAAAACCTCTTTTAGTGCGAAGTTTACAAGATAGCTTAATAGCCGTAAAAAACTCATCGCAACTTTATTAGAATATTTTGAACGAGAAAACGGTAGTAATGACCCTTTATGTCCCTTAAGTGCTGTTAAGAAGGTGAGTTTTGTTGATGTAAATAATAACTGTTTATATATTTATAACTAATTTATTTTTGTTTCCTGAAATATTTTGATTAATATTAAGCTTAATCACGTGACTAAAACTTTATTTGATACTAGCGTGTACCGGCGACTTCGTTCGCGTCGTATTAATCATTTGTAATGGTGATGATAAAGCAAAGCGAGAATTTCCATTAACATACAAACTAGATAAAATTTTCTCACATTTATGTCTAAACTAAAACTCAGCATGAGAAAAAGCAATATGGCGAACAATATGGATATTATATGTATATATAACTTGGTAATATTTGAGGGGTAGTTTCATCTCGTTGGAATTGACTTTCGAAAAATCCGTTTGCCAAAAATAAGCTTTTTACGTCAAGCAGTTTAAGCAGAATCGTGGTTAATCAATTACCCAACTTTTTGGAACACCCTGTATGATTTTTTTCAAAATTTCAAAATATGTAAAAAAACAAAATAAATTATGCCTGTCCAAGCGTTTTCCCGAAAGATTAACCATTTTTTAAATAACAAATATTGAATATTTGAGGGGCGTTTTCACCCTTTTGGAATTTGAAATTCGAGAAACCCCTCCTTATCGAACCTCTACACCTCACAGTCAATCCGTTTGCCAAAAATTAGCTTTAAACGTCAAGCAGTTTAAGCAAAATCGTGAATACTCAATGGTCATATTTTATGAAACACTCTATAAATTTATAAAAAATCTTAAAATATGTAAAACAACAAAATAAAATATACGTGTTTAAGTTAAGAGTTTTTCTGAAAAACTCACCGGTTTTTAAATAAAAAATATTTTAATATTTGAGGGATAGTTTCACCCCCTTAGAATTCGAGTTTCGAAAAATCCCTTCTTATCGAACCTCTACACCTTAAAGTCAATCTGTTTTCCAAAAAACAGCTTTTTACGTCAAACGCTTTAAGCAGGATCGTGATTAATTAATGACCAGATTTTTCGAAACACCCTGTATACATTTTTAAAAAATCTTAAAATATGTAAAAAAACAAAATAAAATATACGTGTTTAAGCGTTTTTTCGGAAACTTGACCGTTTTTTAAATAAAAAATATTGTAATATTTGAGGGGTGGTTTCACCCTCTTAGAACTGGAATTTCGAAAAATCCCTTCTTATCGAACCTCTACACCCTAGAATCAACCTGTATGCCAAAATTGAGCTTCTTACGTTGAGTGGTTTGAGCAGGATCGTGAATAATCAGTATGTCAGTCACTTAAGGATTTTATATATGTATTAGTATAGATGAACCATGTTTGTTCCTCTTTCACGCAAAAACTACTGAATGGATTTTAATGAGACTTTACAATAATATAGCTTATGCATCAGAATAACATATAGGCTATAGTTTATAAAGATATAAAGAATAAAAAGATAAATATTAGGACAGCAATAAACTAACACAAGGCTCTGTCCAATTCCGTTCTTCATATTTATTCATAGACCATCAATTACAACTAGACACAATACATGTAATAGATACTTCCAAATATTTCCACTAGGTGCTATGATAAATATTACACCCTATACAGACTTTATACTTTATACTAATAAAATTAATATAATTTTATGCGGACGAAAAAACTAGTACATATACATATACTATAATTGACTCCCGAGCCAGACCAGTGCCGGTGTGATCATCATTAATTATATTTATTTTAGTATTTAAGAAAAAATATACCGCCCAATAAAAAATATGTTCTTAAGTAAATACAGCAGCAACCGTTTTAGTCATATCTTTAACATATATCTAAATGAAACCACAGATAGAGACAGTACTCAAGTGTTACAAAGCTTTTTACCAATTGTTTAAAATGTTCTGATATTCAAATTGATAAAAATCAATAAAATCATATCAGCTTTAATTCCTTTTTAAGACATTAAACAAACTATACCGCTACCGCTATAAATAGAATGTATATCGCTATATGAATTTCTGCAACGCCTGTTTTTAGTCTATATCTCCACCACACATCTAATTAGAACTAGATATTAAATGTACAAAAGCGGTTAGTTAATATTTTTATTATGGGGCTTTCAAAGTCGGCTTTTTGTTATGCCCCGTCTACACATAACGTTTTGCCTATCAGTTTTGCTTGTTAGGTAAAACGGGCGATCGTCTAAAAAACTCATTTTCTTTGTGAGGAATTAGTTCCTTAGTTCTAGTTCGTCCAAAGGAATAGTTCCTTGAACTAGGTCTTTAGTTCACATTAGTTTCCGACTAACATTGACATCCCCGTTGCTTGCTCATGGGTTTCGTTATAAGTCAGAACTATTCATAGTATGATCTGTATAATTTTTATATTGTGCGAAATATTACGAGATGTGTAATTGGTGTAATTGCGTATATTAAAAACATATCTATAGATACATTTTATTGGAGATAAGAACAAAAAATTAAAAAGAAGCTCAAATCAGAGTTTGTCACAAATCAGTGAGTTTGTCACAAATCAGTTGGAGCAAATAATACAATACTTAATACTGACAGATGTAGGTGAAGCTAAATTATAAATACAAGGTAAAGTTTTCTCTTAATTAAAATTGCATTTTTCTTCACTTCGAGCTCTTTATTTTTGTCTAAAAAGTCAGAATATCTACTTCGTTTTATAAGATATTTCTTAATTTGAAGGACCTAAAGTGAAACATTTCCATAAAATATTCAAAGAACAAACTAAAAACAGTAGGTATCCTCATACAGTAGGTATTCTCTGATAATTACGCCGGCCGCGGCCATAGACAAGGCCGGATCCGTCGTGGTCGCCTCTTATTATATTTCGAAACTGCGCTGCGGACCGAATAGATTCCCGTGAACTAGTCTTTTAATTAGTTCCTCTCGGTCCGGGACCGATGACATACTGGGCGATCCGTCCGTGAACTAGTGTTTTCTTTAGTTCCTCTGGTCCTTTCGGTCCGGGACCGATAACATACGGCTGGCACTCCCCACTCCCGCCTAGCATCGAGCTACGATCGCGCTAGCCGATCCGTCGCCGGCGCCGTCGCTTATTATTATATCTCGGTCACAGTATCGGTCCTCGGAATAGGTCCTAAGAAACTAGTCATGTAAGCAACCGGGACCTAGTTCTTTTCGTTCCGGGGTCGGAATAGTTCATTGGAACTAGTTCGTTCACGAATTACACACCTGTCAGACCTCTATACGTCTTCAATCAAAAAATCAAAAAAAAAAAATGTTTTTGTCTTTTATAAAAACATTATGTTTCTAATAGATGCAAAATGTTTTATTTGCAATCAAATATGCAGGAATGCAGGGATCATCTTGATTGTGTCTAAATGAGCCTAAACCTGTCTTAAACCTGATCAGTGTGCGTTAGCTCATTCAATTTGCATTAAAGCATCACATGAAAACAGTTTTAGCCAAAAACGTTTTTCCGTTGATTGAAAGAATTGGGAAGACCCGCAACCTAATTGACAAATTCGTGACAAAGCTGATTTGATTTCCCTTATGTCTCAAGTGCTGTAAGCTGGAGCCTCTACTCGTTCTGCGGCCAACGCATAAAACACTCATTTTCCCTAATTCGGCTAGCGAAGGCATATATAGAATTGTAAAAAATGTCTATACCTATGTGGCGGATTCATCTTTCCAAAAAAATCCTTGGCGAAAATCAGTGGCGAAATACCCATAAATGATTTTTTTGGAAACATATATAGAATAAACAACAAAAATAAAAATTCTTTTATAGATACTGAATATTTCGTATTTTCGAAAAAAATCATTTAGTTGGCTTATCAATGGCGACTATTGACATTTACCATAATATTTTACATATGAAATAACAGCGATCTTCATTTTCAAGACAAATCTGACGCCGTTTTTTTAATGATAGAAAATCCGTATTATTAACGTACTGTACCAAAAATCCTTAAATCTACGGATTAATCCGTCGTTCTGGCAACACTGTTTCCGGCAAGCACCCACTCTGTCGACTGCTGCGCTACAAACGACTATCAGCGCGCAGCGGCGCAGTGCTAAACTAAATCTCGGTTGCGCATCTTATTATTTCTTCGATCAACGGGTTTTCACTAAAACTGTTTTGCTTTTTCTGTGTGCGTATAACTTAAAATGGATCGTTTTTTAATCCACACACAACATTTTACTTGATAATTTTTGACTGAACAGTGAACAGATAATAAGATGTTATGTGTATACGGGGCTTTATGC